CTTAATCATCATTGAAAAATAACCTCAGGCCGAAACCTCTATCTGTAGCCTTCAAAATACAAAGAAAATGGTCTTTCGTTTCCTAAAAAATTACAAAAATGCATTCGGAAATAAATTGGCCCAAATTGGTGCTTAATGGACTTATTTTTCGTGGAGAATATGATCAATAGACTTCATTATCGGTGGAGAATAGCCTCGGCCTGATTCCGTGAACCTTAGCCTCTAGAATCAAAAGAAAATGACATTTCGGAAAAATCGTCAGAAATCTGTGATGGTACCCCTTTGTAATCTGCCAAAAATTGACCTGGAATAAATCCGCCCAAATTGGTGCTTAATGGACTTAATCATCGTTGAAGAGTAGCCTCATGCCGAATTCGTGATCCGTAGTCTTCAAAATCCAATGGAAATGGCCTTTCGTCGCCCAAAAAATTAAGAAAATGCCAGCCGAAAATAAATTGGCCAAAATCGGTGTTTAATGGACTTATCTTCCGTGAAGAATAGGATCAATAGACTTCATTATTGGTGGAGAATAACCTCGGCCTGATTCCGTGAACCGTAGCCTCTAGAATCAAAAGAAAATGACATTTCGGAAAAATCGTCGAAAATCTGTGATGGTACCCCTTTGTAATCTGCCAAAAATTGACCTGTAATAAATCCGCCCAAATTTGTGCTTAATGGACTTAATCATCGTTGAAGAATAGCCTCAGGCAGAAACCGCGATCTGTAGCCTTCAAAATCCAAAGAAAATGGTATTTCGTCGCCCAAAAAATTACGAAAATGCCAATAGACAATAAATTGGCCCTAATCAATGCTTAATGGACTTATCTTCTGTGGAGGATAGGATCAATAGACTTCATTATAGGTGAAGAATAGTCTCGGTCTGATTCCGTGATATGTAGCATCTAGAATCGAAAGAAAATGGCATTCGGAAAATTAGCCCAAAATCTGTGTTGGTCCCCCTTTGGAATCTGTGAAAAATTGACCCGGAATAAAACCGCCCAAATCTGTGCTTAATGGACTTAATCATTGTTGAAGAATAGCCTCATGCAGAATCCGCGATCTGTAGCTTTCAAAATCCAAAGAAAATGGCCTTTCAGCACCCAAAAAATTACAAAAATGCCATCCGATTTTTTTTTTTTTTTTTTGCTCAAATAAGTGCTTAATGGAGTTATCATCGGTGGAGAATAGTCTCGGTGTGATTCCGTGATCTGTAGCAATTAGAATCGAAAGAAAATGACATTTCGGAAAAATCACCCAAATTATGTGTTGGTACCCCTTTGGAATCTGCCAAAAATTGACACGGAATAAATCCGCCCAAATCGGTGCTTAATGGACTTAATCATCATTGAAAAATAGCCTCAAACCGAATCCGCGATCTGTAGCCTTCAAAATTCAAAGAAAATGGCGTTTCGTCGACCAAATAATTACAAAAATGTCATTCGAAAATAAATGGGTCGAAATTGTTGATTAATGAACTCATCATATGTGGAGAATAAGATCAATAGACTTCATTATCGGTGGAGAATAGCATCGGCGAGATTCCGTGATATGTAGCCTCGAGAATCAAAAGAAAATGACATTTCGGAAAAATCTCCCGAAATCTATGATGGTACCCCCTTTCGAATCTGCCCAAAATTGACCCGGAATAAATCCCCAAAATCCGTGCTTAATGGATTTAATCATCGTTGAAGAGTAGCCTCAGGCCGAGTCCGCGATCTGTAGCCTTCAAAATCCAATGAAAATGGCATTTCGTCGACCAAAAAATTACGAAAATGTGATTCGAAAAAAATGAGCCCAAATTGGTAAATAATGAACTTATCATATTTGGAGAATAGGATCAATAGACTTTATTATCGGTGTAGAATAGCGTCAGAGAGATTTCGTGATATGTAGCCTCCAGAATCAAAAGAAAATGACATTTCGGAAAAATCTCCCGAAATTGTGATGGTACCTCTTTCGAATCTGCCAAAAAATTGACCCGGAATAAATCCCCAAATCGGTGCTTAATGGACTTAATCATCGTTGACGAATAGTCTCATGCCGAATCTGCGATTTGTAGCCTTCAAAATCCAAAGAAAATGGTTTTTCATCGCCAAAAAAATTACGAAAATGTCATCCGAAAATAAATTGGCCTAAATAGGTGCTTAATGGACTATCATCCATGGAGAATAGGATCAATAGAATTCATTATCGATGGAGAATAGACTTGGCATGATTCCGTGATCTGTAGCCTCCATAATCGAAAGAAAATGACATTTCGGAAAAACGCCCGAAATCTGTGTTGGTACCCCTTTGAAATACGAAAAAATTGACCCGGAATAAATCCGCCCAAATCGGTGCTTAATCAACTTAATCATCATTGAATAATAGCCTCAGGCTGAATCCGAGATTGCTGATCTGTAGCCTTCAAAATCCAATGAAAATGGCATTTCGTCGCCCAAAAATTTATGAAAATGCCATTCGAATATAAATGGGCCCAAATTGGTCATTAATGGACTTATCATACGTGGAGAATAGGATAAATACACTTTATTATCAGTGGAGAATAACCTCGGCTTGATTCCGTGATATGTAGCCTCAAGAATCGAAAGAAAATGACATTTCGGAAAAATCGCCCGAAATCTGTGATGTTACCCCTTTGGAATCTGCCCAAAATTGACTAGGAATAAATCCGCCCAAATCGGTGCTTAATCGACTTAATCATCATTGAATAATAGTCTCAGGCCGAATCCTCGATCTGTAGCCTTCAAAATCCAAAGAAAATTACGAAAATGCCATTCGAATATAAATTGGCCCAAATCGGTGCTTAATGGACTAATCATCCGTGGAGAATATGATCAATATACTTCATTATCGGTGGAGAATAGCATCGGCCTGATTCCGTGATCTGTAGCCTCCAGAATAGAAAGAAAATGGCATTTCGGAAAAATCACTTGAAATATGTGATGGTACCCCTCTGGAATCTGCAAAAAAAAAAAAAAAAGACCCAGAATAAATCTGCCCAAATTGGTGCTTAATAAACTTAATCATCGTTGAAGAATAGCCTCAGTCCGAATCCGCGATCTGTAACATTCAAAGTCCAAAGAAATGACCTTTTATCGCCCAAAAAATTACGAAAATGCAATCTGAAAATAAATTGACCCAAATCGGTGCTTAATTGACTTATCTTCCGTGAAGAATAGAATCAATAGACTTCATTATCATTGGATAATAGCGTCGGTCTGATTCCATGATCTGTAGCTTTCAAAATCGAAAAAATGGCATTTCTGAAAAATCGTCCAAAAATCGATGACCTCATTATCGGTGGACTTAATCTTAGGTGGAGAATAGGATCAATAGACTTTATTATCGGTGGAGAATAGCCTCGGGTTGAATCCCTGATCTGTAGCCTTCGAAATCGAAAGAGAATGGCATTTCGGGAAAATCGCCTGAAATCGGTGATGGTGCACCCCTTAAGAGTCTGCCAAAAATTGACCAAAAAGAAATCCACCCAAATTGGTGCTTAATGGACTTAAACATCATTGAAGAATAGCCCCAGCTTGAATTGTGATCTGAAGCCTTCAAAATCCAATGAAAATGGTCTTCCTGGCATTATTTCAAAAACATTATGAAAATGCCCTCTGAATAGGAATTCGCCCAAATGAGTGCTTAATTGACTTAATCTTCGGTGGAGAACAAGATCAATAGACTTCATTATCGGTGGAGAATAGCAACAGGCTGAATCCCTGATATGTAGCCTTCAAAATCGAAAGAAAATTGCATTTCGGGAAAATCGCCCGAAATCGGTGATGGTACCCATTGGGAGTCAGCCAAAAATGGACCCAAAAGAAATCCACCCAATTCGTTGCTTAATGGACTTAATAATCGTTGAAGAATAGTCTCAGGCCAAATACGTGATCTGTAGCTTTCAAAATCCAAGGACTATGGTCTTAAAAAAAAATCGCCCAAAAAATAACGAAAATGTTGTCCGTAAATGAATTTACCCAAATAAGTGCTTAATGGACTTAATATTCCGTGGAGAATAGGATCAATAGAGTTCACTATCGGTGGAGAATAACCTTGAACTGAATCCCAGATTTGTAGCCTTCAAAATAGAAAGAAAATGGCATTTCGAGAAATAGCCTGAAATCGGTGTTGGTACCCCTTTGGAGTCTGCCAAAAATGGAATCGGAAGAAATTCGGCCAAATTGATGCTTAATGAACTTAATAATTGTTGAAGAATAGCCTCATGCGGAATCTGTGATCTGTAGCCTTCAAATTCCAAGGAAAATGACCTTCCGAAATAAAATCACCCATAAAATTACGAAAATGTCATCCGAAAATGAATTCGCCCAAATGGGTGCTTAATTTATTTAATCTTCAGTGGAGAATAGGATCAATAAACTTTATTATCGGTGGAAAATAGCCTCGGGCTGAATCCGTGAAATGTAGCCTTCAAAATCGAAAGAAAATGATATTTCGGGAAAAACTACCGAAATCGGGGATTACCCCCTTTGGAATCTGCCAAAAATGGACCTGAAAGAGATCCGTCCCAATATGTGTTTAATGGACTTAATCATCGTTGAAGAATAGCCTCAAGCCGAATTCGTGATTTGTAGCCTTCAAAATCAAAGGAAAATAGTCTCTCGAAAAAAAATCGCCCAAGAAATACGAAAATTCGGTTTGAAAATGATTTTGCCCAAATCGGTGTTTAATGGACTTAATTTTCGATGGAGAATAGGATATATAGTGTTCATTTTGGATGGAGAATAGGATATATAGTGTTCATTTTGGATGGAGAATAGACTCAGGCCGAATCCTTGATCTGTAGCCTTCAAAATCGAAAGAAAATGGCATTTTGGGAAAATCGTCCGAAATCGGTGATACCCTTTGGAATCTGCTAAAAATGGACCCCAAAGAAATCCGCCCAAATTGGTGCTTAATCGACTTAATCATCATTGAAGAATAGCCTTAGATTGAATTCGTGATCTATAAACTTTAAAATCCAAGAAAAAATCCAAGGAAATGGTCTTCCGAAATAAAATCGCGCAGCAAGCAAAAGAAAGGGTAAGAAAGCTCAGCAAAGCAAAAGTCAACTCAAACTGCGCAACAAACAAAAAGGCAAATCCTTTTCTTCCATTCTCTAATCAGTTGGCAAAAATACAAACAATCTAAGAACTTGAGGACATCACAAATTGGGTACTACTACAGCTGGGAGTAATATACAAGACAAAAGGGGGTTGAAACAAAAGGCTACACTCCCATCATCCAATGGGCTATTTTAAGTTAGTAATAGCCATGTTGTACTTAGGCCTAGTTTCTAGAATTAGAGCACTCTATCATACACAGATGGGTTGCTACAAGCAGAACTGATGATGATGATGATCATCATCATTACCCCCCAATAAACAAGGAAAAGAGAACTCTACCCTCCCTGACCATCTGGACCTCTGCTACTTTCCCTACCGCTGCCGCCGAATTCATTGTTGTATCTGTTATCTCCAACCTTGCTCTTGCTCCAACCGCCCATGGGGAAACTGCCGCCCTCCCTCCTCTGCAACAGATAGAAATTGAATGTTTCATCCTCAAACTCCACTTCATTTAGGCATTGAAGGTTATTCTAACTACTAGACATAGGTCAAAAGTATTCGACACTCAGAAAAGTTCAATTATTAGACCCATTCTGCATGATTTTATGGGGAAACTATGACCTTCAGTTTACTATTGGAAACACAAAAGGATCAGAAGCTTTTTCAAGGGGAATGATACCAAGTGCCTAGGGCGTGTTTGGTTCAGTGTTTTGGTAATTAGATATTATTTGTCTTAATTGCATGCTATTAGCTTGCTTAGCTTAGCCTCGGTGCATCTGTACAAAAAGTTGTGCCAAGAAAGTGAAAGATAACAAGTGCGACCCAATTCTCTACTGCGCATTTTCAAATACTTCATACTCTATATCAAGAGGTTGCATAATTTCGATGCATTTGAGATCAATCTCAAATACATTTGAAGATTCAAGAGTTTCATTTAGATGGCACAAGGAAAAACGCAGCTTAATTTTAAATCAAAATGAGGATGAGTAAGAGATATATATGTATTACCACTCACACCATTGGAAGCATCTTCAAGCCTTGCGATTGCATCTACAAGAGCTTGTTCATGTTCCTGCAGTGAAACACGCAATCAATCCCACACCAATGGCAAATGTGTGGCATACGTGAATTTGAGAACATCAACATAGTAATTGATTTCGGCAGAAATAAATGTTCAATGCTTCCTCTTACTCTCAGCACTTTCTTCGCTTTCTCAATTTTCTGTCGGATCAGGAAGGTTAGTGCCGAAAACTTTTTTCCACCTATTTGGAAAATGACAGGTCTGGGTTACAAAAAGTTCGCAACTTGCAATTACATCCAAATAACAACTGGAACCAGGATGGATACCTCCTTGATTAGTGTCTCAGTGTGAAGGATCTCGATATCACCCAAAGCCTTTTTCCCAGTGCCATTCTGTGATAGAGGAAACTCCCTTTTTGGACCTTTAGTGTTCCCTCTACCTCGTCCAAGCCCAGCAGCAGCAGCAGCAGAACCACCACGCATCATGGGCTTCTTATTCCCCCGACCATGTCCAGGCCGGCTGCCTTTACCAAAAATGGATTGATCCTCATGCTCCCACCTGATGTCTTCAGGAGGTATCTATTGTAAACAAGCAAGCAATTCAGCATGTGGTTTATTCTTTTAATTCCAGAAGTTACAAATCTAGAGTCATTCCTTTCAGTATCTCATATGCAGTGAAAATGGGATGACCCAGTGCATAAAAAATGGATGACATGGCATGAGTTCATCAGTAACTACCTCTTTGAGATTGACCCATTCCCATGTTTCATCCTCTGTGTTCATATCATACACCAAAGCATGTGTCCCCTGTCAAGTGTGAAAGACTGTTTGCTAAATCGAGAAACAGCAGGCAAAAGGAAGTTGCTAGGAAAGTGATAAGGTAAGACATACTTCTTCTGGTTTGTAGTCGGTGATAAGAGCCTCATAGAAGTTATTATCTTCAGGCCACCGAGTCCAAACTTTTCTTCCAACCAATGGATTCACACTGGTAGGAGCTGCAGGCTCATTGTTTAAAAATGCTCCTGCAGAATTCCTGTTAGCAACCTGGGCCCTTCCACCTTCATTCATACCAGTAGAAGGAGGGTATTGCAAAGTCTGCACTCAGGGAATAGAAGATAGTATCAAACAAGAGAGGAAAACACCGGACAAACAAAATCATTCCAGTAGAAAACTGAGCCGACGTACTGGCTGGGGTTTCTTGTTTCTTGATGCAGGTGGAGCGGGAGGCCCTCGTCTTAAGGCTGATGTTGATGCTTGCATTGGTTGGTGCAATGCAGGAGGAGCACCCATGGATAATGAAGCAGCCGACTGTGATGTTTTCTGTTTCTTGCGTGATACCGAAATCGAGGGACTAGGGGCACGATCATGGGCAGGCTGGACGCTGCTCGGCATCCCTGATTGGGACCCACTAGTTCTCCTCCACTCCCTATTAACCTCAGGATATGAAATTTCATTGTTTAAATCAGAAGCTAGAAGATTTACGAGGATAAAATAGCCCGCACAAGTACTATAAAGACATTTTTAGACCTTATCCTTCGAATCATGTTGTCATTATTGACCCTGGATAAGAGTTCCCTATGCTCCTCGTCCGACACTCTCAACTCCTTTCTGAGTTCTGTTATTAAACCCTCCTTTTCCTATAGGGAACAGAGAACAAAACTGTTTCAAATCAATCACTGTATGGCAACCGTGATACGTGCATCAGATTAATCAGAGTAGATACCCAAGTTAATAGCATCTGATTGAGCTTTAAAATGCCCGAAGGACTGCACTATAGGCTTCTTGTTCGATATTGTGAATTTGAATTTCCATATCGTTTTGCCTTGGCATGGGAGCAGACCCACCCGCTGCTGCTCTCCCATTCCCAGCAGGTCGCATACCACTTTGGAACTCGGTTTTGTAGTTGTGGAGAACATCCTCGTCTGTATCTACATAAAGAACAAACTTCACCATTAGGCAAACTCAGGAGAAGTATGCAAACAAGAGATCAAACTTCAGAAGCTTCCTAGTTAGTTGATCCCTCTGTAAAGTCAGTTGATGAAGTCATGGACAAGTGATTTCAGAATCTAACTTACCACTGTTATCCGATTCCATATTCCTCAACATGAAGCCTCTCACTCTGAACTTACAATGAACTTAACAAACTGCAAAACCAAACAATTTCTTCATCATATTAGTTCATCAACACCCAGCAGAGGAAAACTATGCCTTCGCATCGACAGAGGAACCCATTCAAACAATCCGACTTGAATTAAACAGCTAAAGTAAGAAATGCAGTTAACAACTACAACGTCTCAGCACCAACTTCAGCAGTCCCAACATCAGTCACATAGAGCAGAAGAACCGTAAAAGGAGATGTCTTCTACCCTAAAGGTCGAAACTTTATTCTCATCCAACAGCATTAAAGAAAACCCGCTCCAGAATCATTAGTTAAGGCAACAGTAGTTAAACCCCACCAAGTTGCAAGAAGGAAAGATCCCATATTATGGTCCCGTTAACTCACCAGTTCCAATGCAATACCGCTAGTGGCTAAACTGAAGCTCTTAAAACCCCAGAAAAGGGCACCACGGTCCGAAAAGCACAAGCAGCTGCCAGTAACAGTAAGCAAGTCACAGTCTTGGACAAAGATTCCCCAGAAAGAAAATTCGACCTTCAAACTCAAGAAGCTGGAGAAGGAAAATTTTCCGGCGGAGACAATCCCTAACCAGAAAATGCCAGAACTCCAAGCTCCTTACGACACGGACAAACCCAACAATTACCGGCCAAATTCCTCGAAAAGAGCTCCAGAAACCCGCACCCGACGGCCTGAAACTTCCTCCGGTGAAAGCCTCGAGCAAACCCAGCGGCCGAGGAATGAGAATAGGGCAGCTCTTCGACGGGGGCAAATTTCTGGTCCGTTTTTTGGAATCTCAATGACGCAGGAGCCGAGATTTCAAGCCGTCAACTGATTGATTGATTCGAACGATGATACGGACAAAGATCGAGGACGAGCAAACGCGGACTTGAAACAATTTCTATGGCGGCTCGGCTCAATAATCGCATCGAGTTCCGCGGCGGCCGTTTTCCCGGTCGGAGCAACATTAGCCGCGCCGTGAAATGGCTCAACCTCCCCGCGCGCGCATAGATGGGCTTAACCTAACCAAAGACTCTGGGCCTTAGTTCAGGCCCAGTCAATGTCATGAAGGTTGCAAAGTTGTCCACCTAACATGGGCTGAGAAGCGTCCACGTCGACACCTCGTCGATAGCCCCAGGGCGTCGCCCTCCACGGCGGCCGTCGTTAGTTCGCGCACTTTCCGAGGTCCAAAAAACCAAAACCACCGCCTGCTTTTTTTTTTGTTTGTTAAATTCAGCACAAACGTATAGAACGAGAGATGCTGCTTTCTCATTTCTCTCCGAAGTCTCCGCTTTCACTCCGTTCCCTCATTTCCTCGTCCTCTATTTCTTCTTCTTCTTCTTCCATTCTTCCGCGGCCCAATGTAACACATGTATTAGAATGTAAGGGGAAGAAGTACAAGGACCATAAGTGTAAATGGCCAATAGTATATAGGTACAGCTGTAACAGTCTAACGGTCATAAGAAAATCCACAACAAACTTTCCCTCTCACTCTCTCTCTCTCTCTCTCTCTCTCTCTTCTCTGCCTTTCTCTCTTCTTCTTCCTTGCCGAGGCTACTTTCCGATCCAGATCACCACAAATTGGTATCAGAGCCATACCTCGGCCATGGCTACGACGGTGCGTCAGCTCGACGATCGCCTGAGTTCGTTTTCTACGCGTACAATGGAGGCCGAATCCGCGTTCAGCACTCAGATCGCGACGCTGGAAGATCAGAATCGGATTCAGTCGACGCAGCTCCAAGAGCTGATGGCTCGTTCGGAGGGGCATTCGCAACAATTCGCGGTGTTGACGACGAGGTTGGACGGCATGGAGGATCGTTCTGTGGCTCGGTTTGCGCAAATTGACCAGAGTATGCAGGAAATCCTTCGTCGGCTGGAGACTCTTCAGGCAAGACCGGAGGTCGCCGGCGATCAGCAGGTTGCTCGTCACGACGGCCGCGGAATTCTGCCTCTTCCGGTTGCTCCAAGGGTTGCGATGAATGTTCAGCAGCCGCGGGGAGGAGTACAGTTTGTTCCAGAGGTGGAGCAAGGTCCAAATCCAGGTCAGAATCGAGGTAATAATCAGAACATTCAGCTGCCGCGCATTGAATTTCCTCAGTTTCGCGGGGATAACCCGAGGGATTGGATTCGCAAGTGTGAGAAATTGTTCGATATTTACACTGTCCCTGAGGATCAGAAGGTTCGAATGGCTTCGATCTATTTCGATCGTCGTCCGGACATTTGGTTCGAAGGATGGAAGATCGAGCATCGTGAATGGATCTGGGAGGAGTTCGTGACTGATTTGTGCCAACGTTTTGGTGATCGAGAATTTGGGAGCATTGTGGAGGAATTTAATAAATTGCGTCAGAAGGGGTCTCTACTCGAGTACCAGGAGAAATTCGAGGAATTGAAGTCTCAGATGGTTCGTTACAATCCTGCTTTAGGGGAACAGTATTTCATTTCCAGCTTTGTAAGTGGCCTGGAGGAAGAAATTAGGCCAGTGATTAAGATGTGGCAGCCGGTAACATTGTCTCATGCGTTCCAGTTAGCTCAGTTGGAGGAAGAATCAAATGAAGCCAGAAGGAAGAAATGGAGATTGGGGTCGAATGGGGGTATGAGGATGGCTCAACCAGTAGGTCCGAGCTCCAGTCAACAGCCTAGGAAGTGGGAAGGGGCTGGTGGTCGTTCTAATTCAGTGGGAAAGACACCAGTCCAGGCCAACAACAGATCCAATTTTGCAAAAGGGGCGTGCTATAAGTGTGGTGACAGGTACTATTTTGGCCATGTGTGTGACACCAAAAAGCAGTTGAATGCTATGCAGGCTGATGATGGGGAAGTGTTAGCTCCTGAAGATTGGAGTGTGTTGGATGATGATGATATGGAGGAAATTGGGGGTAAGGAACAGCAGTCTGAGTTGGAGGAGGTTTCTATGCAGGCTTTGAGCAGTGGTGGACTTTCTAGTTCACTGATTGTTAAGGGAAAGGTAAGGAAGGAAAAGGTCTATGTGTTGATTGATACAGGTAGTACACACACTTTCTTAAGTGAGAAGAAGGCTGTGGAATTGAAGTGCAAAATTGTGCAGGCGGCTACACCTTTGAGGGTTAAGCTAGCTGATGGCACAGTATTGTTGAGCACTATGGTTTGCAGGGATTTCTGTTGGGAGATGCAGGATCAGAGGTTCACTTTTGATATGAGAATACTGAATTTGGGTACTAATGACATAGTGTTGGGGTTGGATTGGTTGAAGACCATTAGTCCAGTGAAGTTTGATTTTGTGAACTTACAGTTGTTTTTTGAGTGGGAAGGTCAGGAGGTAGCATTGCAAGGAATACAAGATATGGCTCAATGCAAAGTCATTTCGGGGAAGAATCTCCATAAGATGCTTAAAAAGACTAAGGCAACTCTGGTGGGTCATTTGTTCAGTATTTCTATTGAGGCTGCAAATCCAGGAAAGGTTCCTGAGTTCCTGGAACCAGTGTTGAAGGAATTCCAGGATGTATTTGGTAAACCTACAACCCTTCCTCCTTCTAGGGATTGTGATCACACTATTCCCTTGCAGCCTAACACTCAGCCTGTCAACCTTAGGCCATATCGTTATTCCATACCCCAGAAAAATGAAATGGACAGGTTAGTCAAGGAGATGATGGAGGCACAATACATACAACCCAGCAGAAGTCCATTTGCATCACCAGTTCTCTTAGTACTCAAGAAAGATGGTTCCTGGAGGTTCTGTGTTGACTATAGGCAGCTCAATGCCCTCACCATCAAAGATAAGTTTCCTATCCCTGTAATTGATGACTTGTTGGATGAATTGAAGGGTTCTAAGTTCTTCACTAAGCTGGATCTCTTGTCTGGGTATCATCAGATCAGGATGCATCCACCTGATCAGTATAAGACAGCTTTTAGGACACATCAGGGTCACTATGAGTTTAGGGTAATGCCTTTTGGCTTGACAAACGCCCCAGCTACCTTCCAAGCTCTAATGAATCAGATTTTTGCTCCACATTTGCGCCAGTTCATTCTGGTGTTCTTTGATGACATATTGGTGTACAGCCCTGATCAGGAGAGTCATAAGAAGCATCTGGAAATCACTCTTAACATCTTGAGGGAACACACCCTTTATGCTAAGCCCTCTAAGTGCTCCTTTGGCCAAACTCAGGTTGACTACCTAGGTCATGTCATCAATCAGGAGGGGGTGTCCACTGATCCCAGCAAGGTAGAAGCAATGGTGGCATGGCCAGTTCCTAAGAACATTAAAGAGTTAAGAGGATTCCTAGGCCTAACTGGATACTATAGGAAATTTGTGAGAAATTATAGTATCTTAGCCAAACCCTTGACAGATTTATTAAAGAAAGACTGTTTTAAATGGTCTGAGGCAGCACAAGGTGCTTTTGAAGTTTTAAAGTTGGCAATGGTGCAGGCACCAGTATTAGCTCTGCCTGATTTTAACAAGCCTTTTGTGCTGGAGACTGATGCTAGTGACATTGGTATAGGGGCTGTTTTGTCTCAGGATGGAAGGCCTTTGGCTTACCATAGTCAAGGGTTGGGACCAAGGAAGCAGGGGCTCTCTACGTATGAAAAGGAATACCTGGCTGTGTTGATTGCTGTGACTAAGTGGAGACACTACCTAGAGGGAAGGAGATTTGTGATTCTGACAGATCATGAAAGTCTTAAACATTTACTTGGTCAAAAGATTCACACTCAGATTCAGAAGAAGGGATTGATCAAGTTATTAGGCTTGGATTTTGAGATTCGTTACAGACAGGGCAAGTTTAATCAAGTTGCAGATGCCCTGTCTCGCCATCCACAGTTGTCTAAGCAGGCCCAGTGCCAGGCAATTACAGGGGTCCTACCCTCTTGGCTGGCTGAGATTGAATTGACTTATGCAGGGGATAGTGCAGTACAGGACCTTTTGATGGAGGCCTCGGTTCCAGTAGTAGGACCTAAGATCTATACAGTGAAGCAAGGCCTGCTGTACCATAAAGCAGCATTGTATGTGGGAGCTGCTGGTAATATGAGGAAGCAGTTGATGCAACTCTTCCATGAGTCACCTATTGGTGGCCATTCTGGTTTGCAGGCTAACTATCAGCGTTTGAAGAGATATTTTTGGTGGCCAGGCCTCAAACAGGATTTGAAGTTGTTTGTGCAGGAGTGTGATGTGTGCCAACGTTGCAAGACTGAAAATGTGCCTTATCCAGGGTTGTTGCAACCATTGCCTATTCCAGATCAGGCTTGGAAGCACATCTCCATGGATTTCATAGAGGGGTTGCCTAAATCACAAGGGAAGGAGGCAGTGTTTGTGGTGGTGGACCGTTTCTCTAAGTACAGTCATTTTTTCAGTCTGTCAAAACCCTATACTGCTAAGTCTGTGGCCCAGGTTTTCTTTGATGGAGTGTTCAAACTCCATGGTCTTCCCCAGACCATTGTATCAGACAGAGACTCCCTGTTTACAAGCACATTTTGGTCCACTCTCTTTCAACTGCAAGGGGTTAGACTCCACTACTCCACTGCCTATCACCCTCAGTCAGATGGCCAGACTGAAAGGGTTAACAGGTGCTTAGAGGAGTATTTGCGAGGTATGGTTCATCATAATCCTCAGCAGTGGGCTAATTGGGTGACATTAGCTGAGTGGTGGTACAATACCAACTACCATAACAGCTTGCAGGGTTCTCCCTTTGAAGCCTTGTATGGATATTCCCCAGCTCAGTTCTCAGTCACTAATCCACTGTCTACATCTGTTGCTGCTGTAGCTGATAGATTACACCAGCAGCAGAGGTTGGTTGGGATTCTCAGAGCTAATCTTGCTAAGGCCCAGAACAGGCAGAAGCAGATGGCGGATGCACACAGGACTGAGAGGAGTTTTCAGGAGCAGGAGTGGGTGTATCTTAAGCTGAGACCCTATAGACAATCTTCTGTGGCTTCAAGGTCAAATCAGAAGTTGTCTCCCAAGTTTTATGGGCCCTTTGAGATTGAGAAAAAGATTGGCAGTGTTGCTTATAGGCTCAAGCTTCCTCAGGGGTCTGTCATTCACCCAGTTTTCCATGTATCTTTGTTGAAGCGAGCTCGAGGTAGACAGTTGATGGCTCAACCTGCTTTGCCAGAAATGGATGATCAGGGTGAGTTGAAGGTGGAACCTGCTGTCATTTTGGCAAGAAGGGTGGTTGCTAGAAGAAATGCAGCAGCAACTCAGGTCTTGGTTCAATGGACTCATCAGACTGAGGATGATGCGACATGGGAGTACTTGGATGAGTTTAAGCAGCGTTTTCCTGAATTCAAGACTTGAGGACAAGTCAATTTCTGAAGGACGAGGGAGTTGTAACACATGTATTAGAATGTAAGGGGAAGAAGTACAAGGACCATAAGTGTAAATGGCCAATAGTATATAGGTACAGCTGTAACAGTCTAACGGTCATAAGAAAATCCACAACAAACTTTCCCTCTCACTCTCTCTCTCTCTCTCTCTCTCTCTCTTCTCTGCCTTTCTCTCTTCTTCTTCCTTGCCGAGGCTACTTTCCGATCCAGATCACCACACCCAAATCCCGATTATACCCTTCCTCTCTCGGGAAATCCCACTTCCCGCCTTCCTTCGCATGCCGTCGCTGCTGCGTCAGCTCGTGTAGTAGCGACAGAGTCTCCATGGAATCCGCCACGTCGTCCGTCGACGCCGTGACGGCCGATTTCAAGAACCAGAGCCTGAGCGCCGAGGGGAATGGCGCGGGGAAGACTGGAGGATTGAGGCTCGAGGATCTCAATTGGGACAATTCGTTCGTCAAGATATTGCCCGGGGATCCGAGAAGCGATCCACTTCCTCGTCAGGTAACTCGTTCATAACCTTTGTTTGATTGTTCAGATTAAGCAGCTGAGATGCCAGTGGATGTGGAATTTGGTTTAGTTAGGGGTTTTTTATTTTGCTTTCGAAGCGTTTCAGGTTTATCATGCTTGTTATACGAAAGTTAGCCCTTCGGCGGAGGTGGAGAATCCGCAGCTGGTTGCCTGGTCAGAGTCAGTTGCTCGGTTGCTTGATTTGGAGTTAGAGGAGTAAGTGTATGTATATATTTGGAATCTCATTGGGCTTCAATGAATCATTTAGTGGGATTGATGGTGGGTTATTATGCGGGATTTGCAGGTTTGAAAGACCAGATTTCCCACTGTACTTCTCAGGGGCATCGCTTATGGCTGGCTCGTAAGTGAACTATTTGGATAATTTGGTTGAAATTGGTCTTGGCTTTAGGTTTATGTCCTTACTGAATGCTCATTTCGGCAGGGTGCCATATGCTCAGAACTATGGAGGGCATCAGTTTGGAAGCTGGGCTGGTCAGTTGGGTGATGGTAGGGCAATAACCCTAGGGGAGGTCCTGAACTCCAAGTCCGAAAGATGGGAGCTGCAGCTCAAGGGTGCTGGAAAGACTCCATACAGCCGATTTGCTGATGGTCTTGCAGTGTTGCGGAGTAGTGTTCGAGAGTTCCTTTGCAGTGAGGCAATGCACCACCTGGGGATCCCAACCACCCGTGCACTTTCTCTTGTGACGACTGGGAAATTCGTTACCCGGGATATGTTTTATGAGTATGTTTGACTGTTTTCATGCTGAAGATTTTTTATGATATGCAGAACTTTTTGAGTGAGTATGACATCTAATTGCTAAATCTGGACCCTTGTTCTTGCAGTGGCAATCCCAAGGATGAACCTGGTGCTATTGTTTGCAGAGTGGCCCCATCATTTCTACGATTTGGTTCGTACCAACTACATGCTTCCAGAGGGAAAGAGGATCTTGAAATAGTTAGGGCTCTGGCGGACTATGCGATTAAGCACAATTTCCCTCATATTGAGAATATGACTCAAAGTGAGAGCTTGTCTTTTACTACTGGGGAAGATGAGGATTCTGTTGTTGATCTAACTGCCAATAAATACGCTGGTACGTCCTCTTAACATGGTTTAACTATGCTGTTAGATGGCATCTCTATGTATCTTGCTGAATCGTAGTTTGCGTGTTATAAAGAAACAGCCAGACAGATAGATTATAGAGAGATAGTAGAACTTTTCAACTCAGTTATTTGCTGTGCGATCCGAACTAGTGCATTATCATGCTGCAGAATTAGTTCCAATCCACTTCTACCATTTTGTTGGTCTTCTTACCGATTTAGACCTTTCAATCTACTTATTGAGTTGCAATGGTATTTCAGCATGGGCAGTGGAGATCTCTGAACGCAGTGCTTCCTTGTTTGCAAGATGGCAGGGAGTGGGTTTTACACACGGAGTGCTCAACACCGACAACATGAGCATACTCGGTCTGACCATTGATTACGGTCCATTTGGTTTCTTGGATGCTTTTGACCCTAGTTTTACCCCAAACACGACAGATCTTCCTGGAAGGAGGTACTGTTTTGCGAATCAACCCGATGTTGGTCTATGGAACATTGCTCAGTTCGGAGCTGCTCTCTCTGCTGCTGGGTTGATAAACGAGAAGGAAGCAAACTATGCCATGGAAAGGTAAATAAATGGAATTTTCATCTAACCAGTGAACTAATGTCTAGAGAATTGGTTCCTTTGGTCTTAGTGTTTTTGTTCTGATCAATCTCAGGTATGGGACTAAGTTCATGGATGAGTATCAAGCTATAATGACGAGGAAACTCGGCATTCCCAAGTACAACAAGCAGTTGATTGGTAAGCTACTGAACAACATGGCTGTGGATAAAGTCGATTACACCAATTTCTTCCGGACGCTCTCCAACCTCAAAGCTGATCCAAATCTCCCGGAGGATGAACTGTTGGTTCCATTGAAGTCTGTGCTGTTGGATATTGGCAAGGAGCGGAAAGAGGCATGGACTACCTGGGTGCAGTCGTACATTCAAGAGGTACTTTTTTTTTTTTTTAATTTCGGTTCAATGTATTCCTTGAGGTGGGGTTGGTTTTATTTTGTTTAACCGAGAACCCAAGAGACGAGCATTTGCCAAACCGAATCAATTTCAGCTTCGGTTTTGATAAACTTAAAGTCATGGATCATGGTTTTAACCAAACCCTGTTTTCCAATCCTAACTCTTAGCCGGTAGAAGAACTAGCATTGTAACCTCTTTTTCCTTGTGTGCAGCTCGCTGCCAGTGGCATTTCAGACGAGGAGAGGAAAGTGCAGATGAATTCAGTAAACCCAAAGTACATCCTCCGAAACTACTTGTGCCAGACAGCCATCGATGCAGCCGAAGTGGGAGACTACTCGGAGGTGAGAAGGCTGCTGAAGCTAGTCGAGCGTCCATATGATGAGCAGCCCGGAATGGAGAAGTATGCTCGTTTGCCTCCAGCTTGGGCTTACCGGCCGGGGGTTTGCATGCTTTCTTGCTCTTCCTGAGCGCTGTTTTTTGTAGCTTGTTAAAAGTGTGACGAGAAAGGGGAGTCTTGTTTTGTTTTGTTGTACTCTGTACATAACATACTTGGAAAGTTGGAATGCTCCGCATATTTTGAAGGCAAAGTATGAATCTCTGGAAATGGTAGTATGTATCTGTATTTCAGGAAATGGCAAGTCTGAATCTCAATTCTCAGGAAAAGCTAGACCCAGAGTTTGTATTTCCGGCGTACCATACGGGCCATGCCCAAACAAATTGATCCATCCGTTTCAGCCCACAACTTGCCAGCCCAATAGAGCCCGTATTCATGCAAATGAATAATGAGCCGAAAGCCTTTCATATTGCTTCGTCTTCGCCCGGCCAAGCAGGAAAAAACAATTTTCCGGGAAAATGAAAAACCAATCGGAACTGAACGGACTTTCTGATTATCCTAATCCTCTTCTCGTCAACCGTCGGCAGTTTTCGAGTTGCTCCTCTCCTACCATTCTTCCTGCATAATCCTGCTGCTTCAATTTTCCCAATTTGTTATTAGTTTGCCGCAATTTCAACTCCCGCTCCCGGAGAAGACACTGCTCGGTCAGTGTTCGACGAAATGCCGCAGTGAGCTGCGGAAAAATCCAGCAGAGACTTGGAGAGGGGGATGAGATTGTCGCGGAGTCTACACGTCTGGAAGATGGGGACGGTGAACTACTTGGAGGCGCTGAAGCTGCAGGAGAAGTTGCTCTCGGAGAGGAAAGCCCAGAAGATCGGCGACACGCTTCTCTGTTTGCAGCATCCTCCAACGTACACTCTGGGGAAGCGACGAACGGAGCACAACTTGCTCATTTCCGAGTCCGAACTGAGGAACATAGGGGCTCAGCTCCATTACACCGAGAGAGGTGGAGACATAACCTACCACGGCCCTGGTCAGGCGGTGCTGTACCCGATTCTGTCTCTTCGGGAGATTGGACTCGGTGCTCGGAAGTACGTTGAGCAGCTTGAGCTTACTATGATTGAGCTGGCGTCTCTCTATGGAGTGAAGGCTTCTGTTGGAGAAAAAGGGGAAACTGGGGTCTGGGTTGGAGATGGGAAAATTGGTGCCATTGGAGTTCGTATCTCTGGCGGGATCACTTCACATGGATTGGCGTTCAACATTGACCCGGATTTGAACTACTTCAAGCACATTGTCCCGTGTGGGATTGCGGATAAGCGAGTTACTTCGCTGAGGAAGGAGACAGGTACGGTGCTTCTTACTGAAGACGTTGTTCATGATCAGTTGATTTCATGTTTTGCTAGATTGTTCGGTTTTAGTGATCTTATCTGGAGGGAAAATGGTTTATGTTCTGAAACCAAAGATTTGTGATTTCTAATTTTATTCACGGGTTTAGATAAGCCATCTAAACTTTGCATTCTCTGTGTGACTTGATCCATTGTAAGAACAAACTTGTTGATACTCTATGCTTATGGCTCGGATTACTTTGATCCTTGTCTAATTGAAGTGTATAATCCTGAACCAGAGAATAAAAGAACATATTTTGAATAAGAAATTGAACTTTATTCCGCATCTTGACTCTACTGTTTCTTGATTAGATCTTGAAAACGAAGCACGCTTCTTGTGAGTAAGTCACATGGAAGATGAGATTTCTCGATATCTTCCTGAACGATACAATATTCGCAGTTAAGCCACTGGATTGCTGAATTCAGCACAATGCTCTTTGTTCCCCCTTTTCTCATTGAATATTGATTGGTAGGAGGTTTCCACTTCCAAGTAGATACTTCTCTATTTTGTCTTCAAGTGACTACTAAATCCACGTTCTATAACTGAAGCATCTTTGAAATTTTGGAAATCTGCAGTCTTGATGTAAATTTTGAATACAAGTACGCACATAGCATAGAGTCACCAACTGCTGAACTGAACCTAGTTCCAGACTATGTTAAATATGGATGAAGCGATCAAAATGTAAGTTAGAGAAGATCTCCACTAGAGCCAATTACCTACAGCAAATTAGTCTATGTGCTATGAATCTAGATTGTCATTGTGTAGAGACACTGGTTGGTTCAGGTCATTAAGGGCAGGTTATCACAGCTAATCTTAGCTGGATTTATGTACTCTTCATGAGGTACAGCAGTAATAAGCCATTTAGTTTATAAAAAAGGGAAGGTCAGAGAAAAAGGTGAATTATTTGTTCTCATCTGACTCATCACATGATACTTTCACTTTTATAGTTAGATGGGCTGCAGATTGGTAAGACAAATATAATACTCAATTCATCATCACATGGTTAGCTGCTTCCAAGCTCCTACCTAATCAAAAGGCATACCACTAGCATAATGATACAATTGAACATGTAAATTGTTGAAAATTTATCATCTATGAGAATGCGATCACAGGGGCCACTCAAGTGAGACTACTATCATAATCGAATGCATATTACACATTGAACACTTTCTGTTATTTTATACCTCATTGACAGAAGCATTGTTAATTTGAACTACATGTTTTCAGTAGACTGGATCTGAGTATCTTTTTGAAATCTGCGAGGTGTATGAACCAATTGTTGTTTGACTTGGTCCAAAAAGGGTCTAGATCTACTTCTTTTACTCTTTGATGTGATATGGTTATACCATCCATGCATTTAGTTTCTTTACTGTCTTAAGCTTTAGAATGTTTGACACCAAGTAAAGGTTAGCAGAGATTAAATATATGGCAGACCGTTTTCGCAGTCTTGGGATTAAATATACTTCTTAAGACCTGCAAGTTGCAACCATATATATGTAACTGGCATACCTTCCTGGAAAGATTCAGCATATCTTGAGCCTAAACAAGACTGTTGTCTCTTTTTTCCTCACAGAAACACAGTATGAGCACCAGCTACAGAGCTTTGTTTGCTCTAGTTTCTCTTATTCTTTTCCATTTTCTTGTGTCCTCGTCACTTTCTCTTAACAGAGAAAGAAAGATTCTTCCTCCCCAAAGACTATCCCGGCGATTTGTAGGTTCTGTCACCTTTTCATCACATGAGAGCAAGTCCAGTGTTGCTGATGGAGATCAGCAGAAAGGTCTGGATACAAGTCTTAGGAAGGCACCGCCAAGTTATTCAAATCCCATCCAGAATAAGTGATGTCAGTCTGATGTGTTCAGCAATCCTTGGAAACAAGAAACCAGAAGCATGGTTTCTTCCAACATTTTTGTAGTTTCCATGTATAGTTTACTGTTGGATAGTTAGAGAGATTAGAGGTTGAACAAAGTTAGTATGTTTCTTTTGGACATCATGACCATTTTTTCATTTTTCCCCTCTCATCTCTAATTTACTCATTCTTTAGTAATTCGTATCTAACATTAGATTACTTCTTATTGCTGTATCTACGGCAAACATGTCATATTTAAGTGTCTATTGCAGAAAGTTCAAAGTTTCTGTTTCTGGTAGTTGATAATGCACAGAACTGTGTCCTTGGATTATCGTCTAGAAAAGATGCATGTGTTCTGGTTATCCCATATCGTCTTGTACATTTCTGTGTTAAAGGCTCTATTTAATGCTTCCCCAAATTCTGGCTCGTATCTCTCTGTTTAAATCCTTTCTATCATTCTCCACCTGAAAAGGAAAAAGGGAAAAGGAAAGCAGCAAGGAAAGAGCCTTGAGTTACTTACTAAAAATTCTGCATATCTTCAATCAACAAATTGAGATTCAAAGCTGAACACTACCATTGGAAGTTAAAGTAGAGTGCCGCTCAACACTAATTGGAAATGATCTTCTCCGGTTTCTTCGTAAATACACCCCTGGGTTGTATTTGCTCTTGTTTCAAACAAAATATCATTTCATTAATAAAAACATACCACTTATTGGAAATAAATTTCGTGTAACAGATCCTGAAATCTCATAAAAGCTGTATTTCTCATGTTGGATGGGAAATTCATTTTTTCCCATAGAAGAAGATATGATATGTGAAGAAAAATGGTGAGGGCAAGTTCCCTATCTTCCTGTGGATGGTAGTGTTATTGTAGATGTAACGTTCTAGCTTTGCACTTGAAGATTTGCTGCTTGTACACTTGCAAATTTCAAAGTTCTCTCTACTATTTAGAAATATAATTGTGTCGTTGTTAATCCTGTTCTTCCTTTATTATGTTGAGGAGTAATGCTTGTATAGTGTTAAACTAGTTACAGCTCAAAGGAGCGAGCGATTGCAAATACAGATCATCCCCCCTCTTTTTCCTCCCACCCATGGAAAAAGAAAACAGTGGATTTAATGATTTCTGGGTGAAGACATTGTCTACTCAGGAAAAGCCAAACTGGAGGTTTCTCGCAGCTACACGTGTGTGGAATGCAATGGAAGAATGGTCCAGGCACATTCAATGACCGGAAAGACTCTATGTAACGGGCATTTTTTTGTGTTCTGTTCGTGATCAGCAATAAGACCAGTGAATGCAATCAAGAGAGTGGGTTTTATTTTGTGTGCTCTCTTCACTGATCTCTGAACATGAGAATTCGTAAGAGCAGGTCTCCCTTCCCCATTCTGTATCTCAATGCCCAGCAGAACGCTTCAGTATCATCTCAGGATCAGTCTAAGCGAGGTAAGTGTTTCGATTTATCATTTCTTGTTGATAAAACCATCAGATCCTTTGCTCATGTTGCTTGATAAGAAAATATTCAGGGCAGGTGATGATGGATCCAGAATTGCTTGATCAGTTGCAACTAGATGAGGCAAAGCAGATCGGTGGAAGCTCTTGTGCGCCAGATATGCAGAAACCGGTAATTTTCCCATTTGCTTCCATCTTGTTTTAGTACAGTCCAATGATATCATCGAAAAAAGAAAATATCGGCAAAAGAATCCATGAATATATATTCTTGTTTTAGGTATCGAAGAGACACAAAGGAACTAGCAATCGAGGAAGAGCCACAAGCAAGCCTGGTATTTATACAAGGTACATGTTGTGGCTTTACCCTTCTTATATCTTCAACAGATTGATCTTACTGCCCTTCAGCAACTGATCCTTCAAATGATTAAATCTCTTCACAACTGATATATAAAATAACAGGAAAAGGCGTAGACCTGAGTATCCAACTATAATTGTGTTAGGACTGAGAGCTCACCTTCCATCAGGTAAACTATAAGATTCATGATAGAACCTACGCCCCTTTGTATGGACTAAATATTTTTGAATCGTTTCTCTCAGATCATAAGAACCCAACTCCCATAAGGAGAAGTAGAAGAAAGGTAGATAAAAATGAAGCTGCAGAAACAAGGTTGGTGTCAGCTGTGTCTCCAAAGAAAGATCCTAGTGGACCTGAAGTTAATAAGGAGGCAAAGTCCAACAATTGTGTGTGGAGGAGTGAACCGTCCCTCCCTCCTTCTCCACCAAATGATACCGTCGAGGATCGAGACAAGGAAGATCAACTATTGTTCTTGGAGGTGGTTGAGGCTCTGTAAGTACCTATTTGCATTTCCTTAGAACCCTTTTATGTATCATCATTTATTGTAGCTGTGTGCTCTGCGTTCTGTCCCAAGTACAGATGTGTTTGCTAAATAATATATGATTGTAATTGTAAAGGCAGAGGGTGGAGCCAAAGAGACGAAGGGGAAGGCCAAAGAAGGTACCTACAGACCAGCTGGCGGAGGTAGAAATCGAATAACCATTCAGTGAATCAAAAGGTCAGTCATTGTCCTCTTCTCACTCTCAGTCATCCAAAGAGTTGACTACGTTTCTACACAAACCTCTTCAGATTCTCTGCTCTGATTGCAAGTTAATACCCTCGCCTCTCTTCTTCTTTGATGTTGTGTAGGTATCGGCTTTAAAGAATCTGCAGTGGCCCAAAAAGTTACCAGCTTTAAAGAACAGTACAGCTAAAGCCACCTCTGGTTCGTATTATCCCCCTGGTTATGTTTCAGTTGAGTGAAACTGTCTTTGTCTCTCAATCTATCCTTTCGCGCTTCAGTGACTTGTTAAAGCTCGGTTAAACTCATACCTGGGCCAAATGTTGTGGTTTCTGAACTTGATGTAATAAGGTTAGCATGTTATGCAGCAGCCATCTCAGTGGTGAATCTCAGAGATCCAACCAAGTGCTGCTGCTTATCGTTGACTGTTTGATATTGATGCTGCCCTATATTCGATATTCATGAAGTTTTTAGATCAATGTTAAAGGTTCTGATGGAATCGAATTAGGCAAGTACAGAAGGAATTAACCCAACCATTAACCGGGTTGGGTGCAAGAGTGAAACATACAAATAATCAAACAGTAATTAAGCTTCAAACAACTGCTGCTAATAAACAGTTAAAAGTAAGTAAAGAGGGCCTAGTTAGAGCTAGAAACTCCTGCCCCAGTAGGTCCACTTCTTCGCTGGCTTCCCTGTGGCAAAGCATAGAGTCCCTGCATGCAAAAATTTCAAACAAAAATCATAATTACAGAGGGGTAAAAGTAAGTGTTAACCACTTCCTAAGTAGTTCATAATTTGTAATGCTGCTAGTAATTAATTACTTCCTAACCTTCATGGAGTTCTGGCTGCTCAAATGGAGTGCAAAGGCTCTTGACAGTTCCTCCCTCTTCATCCTTTATTCGCTCTTTTATCTCTTTCTCCACTTCCTGAAGATCAATACGCAAACAAGCAAGTCTAAAGATCATAAACAAAACGAAAACTATGTAAGCTTTCTTTGTTTCATTGACGAGTATAAGTGTCATCGTTGCAGACCTCCTCGTCGCACCAAGGAGCTAAGATCATCTTCTTCTGGGCTAGTGCAGCTTTGAATTCATCCCACGTCTTCACAACCTGAACACAAGCGTCTCTCTTCTTCTTAGCAGCATCAAACATGCTTTGCTGAATGTCATCCAGCAATTTCTTCACTTCCTCCGCCAAACCCTCGTCTCTCTTTACATATGACTTTGAATTGTTGTCACGACGAACACAACAAACCTACATAGATAAGCAATCAAAACAACACAATATATTGAAATAACCATATTAGGCGCTTATTGATGCACTCTTTCGATCATGATCACCTGTTGTTTAGCGAGTTCGTTTCGTCCGATCTCGATCCTAAGAGGAACACCCAATAATTCATAGCGAGAGTACTTCCACCCAGGTGAATAGTTATCTTTGAGGTCAATCTTAACACGCTTAACACCAGCATTTTCCAAAGCCTTGGCAGTTGCAGCACAAGCATCAAATATCCCTCGAACATCGGCTGCATCCTTGGAAGGCACAGGAACCACTACAGCTTTGTACTTTGCCACCCTAGGCGGGATGACCAATCCTTTGTCGTCTCCATGAACCATTACCATCACTCCGATCTACACCTGCACAAACGATTGACATAGTCAAAACTCAAAACTTAAGGCTAGCTTTCTTCACATGAATGAATGAAATCAACGAACGAATGTACGAAACAGAGAGCTCTTTGAATCGTTCGATATGGCTCACCGTCCTTATACTGTAACCCCACGAGTTCTGCCACACCATTTTCGTCTCTCCCTTTGCATCTTGAAACTTGATGTCGAACATTTCAGGTTTGGCAAAGTTGTGCCCTAATGAATGGGACGTCGCGCCTTGGATGCCACGTCCAGCTTCAGGGATGAACGCCTGTATGGGGAAATTCATCAGTTCATAACTGAATCATATATGCATATGCAGCAGGGCAGCAGCAGCAATAGCAATAGCCTTACCTCGATGCTGGTTGTGTAATCCGCACCAGGAAACGTCTCCTTCTCAGTTTTCTGTCCCTTTACTACGGGGACTGCCAGAAACTCTTCATAAATCCTTCTGTACAGCTCCAATATCTGAAGGACCTCTGCATCTGCTTCCTCCTTGGTTGCAAAAGCAGTATGGCCTTCCTGCCAGTCGAACTCGCGGCACCTGATGAATGGAGGGCTACTTTGCACCACTGGTTCGCTTTGAATGGCAGGTCACGTTGACCTCTTATCCAGTTGGAGAAGTGGGGGTATATCGCGGTTTCGCTCGTTGGCCTAACCGCAATCGGAGGTGTTAGCTCCGTCTCACCACATCTCGTCACCCACGCAACCTATACAAGCGAATCAGCTCTTCGCGCGCGCGCGATAACTCAGCGCAGGAAACATCAGACATTGTTCGCGAAAAATGGATCAGCTCGCTCACCTCGGGCGCAAAGTCCTGGAGGTGGTCCTTCTCCTTTTGCAGGTTGCTGTCTGATATAAACATAGGGAACTTGTACTCTTCGACTTCCATCTTCTCGATCTCGGCCTCGAAGAAATCCTACAAACAAACTCACCGTATATGAATGGATACAAGGAAAGATTGTACGTTAACTTGGGAAACAAGGTAGGTTTTGCAGAAGCTAACTTACTTTCATGGTTCGCCATACACTAACTGCAGATGGACGCAAAACATAACAGCCAGCGATTTTGCCGTCGTAGTTAATCAACTCGCCATTGACAACTACCTGTGAGTACCACTCTCCGAAATTTTCATCCTTTTTTACAGACAGCCCCAAACCAGTCTCTTTCTTCTTCTTCTCCTTCTTCTCGTCTGCATCAAATATTCAGTAGTGTAGGTTTAGTACGGAACCCTGGAACTCAAAATTCAAAACGAGCTATAAACCTAGTTAGATATAATACTGACCACACATTTTTCGGCAGCCGGAAAACTCAGGAAAAAGGGGCGAGGTCTGTGCCGGCGGGAGCTACTCTTCCGTTTCTGGCGGGTGTTAATACTGATATTTTTGAAGCTAGTGCCGTAAACCCAAATTGCTGGATCTTTGTACATATTTATATACAGGGTTGCTGTACCTTTCCTTGCAAGAAAAGGAATAGAAGGAAGCAGGGTGGGCCTCGGTTATAAACAAATAAAAGCCCAACAGAAACAAAATAGAAGCGGAGGAAGTGAGTGGGCCGAAAGCCCGGGTAATATATTACATTGGCTTGTTAGTAGTAACCGAGAATCAAACCAGAAACAAAGCTATCTAAAGAAAACAACCAGCAACTGATCCTATCATGTGCTGAAAATTCTTCTCAAATTTCTTATTCTTCTGCTACTAATCGCATCCTTTTCTTCTTGTTCTTCCACTTCCTCATCAGACTCCATAATTTCTTGCTACTTAACTCTTCCTTCCCTTCGCTTTTCTCGATCTCAATGCCTTTTTCCTTCAAGAACTGGACCAGCCCATTCAGAGCAACCTCCGGTTTGCCGGATACCATGAGCTGCTGCGCAACTTCGGCCGGAGTAGCCGGAATCTTAAGCATCAAATCCTCAATTCTCTTGAAAATCACATGGTCCTGAATCCCCAGGTATTTTCCAGCCAGCAGTTTGAACCCTGCAGCTGTGCAATGACCCATATATAGATGAACATCCATTCTTCCTGGCCGGAGCAACGCCGGATCCAACTTCTCCTTGTGGTTCGTCGTGAAGATGATTATCCTCTCATCCCCGCAGCTCGACCACAACCCGTCGATGAAATTCAGCAACCCAGATAGCGTCACCTGCCAGAATAAAAGAGTCAATTTTTAAACAGCCGAAAAAGGGGAAAAAACAGAGTAATCAAGAAACAGAGTTGCTCTGTTTATTTACCCCTTTATCAGAAGAGCGCTTCTTCTCATCAGGATGATTCTCATCCTCGTCATCATTCAAAGTTTCATCAACAGAACGGGGCTTTGTGGAATTGGAGCTGCAATCCACGTCCTCAATGAGGAGAATGGACCGATTGGTGGTGGCGGTGAGGACCCTGCGAAGCTCGAAGTCACTGCGAATCCCCTGAAGCTGAAGATCGTAGATGTGGAACCTGAGGTGATTGGCAATCGCAGCCACAAGTGTCGATTTCCCAGTCCCAGGTGGCCCCCAAAGAAGGTAACCTCTCTTCCAAGCTCTCCCCACGGTCCGGAAGTATTCCTTCCTTCGGACGAAGAGATCGAGATCGTCGATGATCCCCTGTTTCTGCTCTGGCTCCATAGCCAGAGTCTCGAAAGTCGCAGGGTGCTTGAAAACGGTGGATTCCCAATAGAATTCCTCCCGGTTGTACGTGTAGATGCTGAGAATCTCCCGATCTTTGAAGATCTCCTCCGCAGTCCTACAAATGTGGGGGATGTAGCCGTCGAAGACTCTATCTCTGTCGCTCCTCTTGCACCTCAGCTGGAACCATTGTTTTTTGGGAGTGTAGTAGTGTGAGTTCTTGCTCTCCTCCTTCTCGTTCAGCGTCCACTCCAGCTTCATGCCTTGGAAGTGGTCGACGATTCTGGTGTAGACGGAGACGCCGGTTTGAGCCGCCGCGAGGAGGTTGTTGTTGTCGTTGTGGCCGAGGAGGAGGCAGCCGGTGTCGGGGCCGACCTTGGTCGGGAGGTAAGCCTGCACTGCGCGGAATGTCTCGTTGTCGACGGCCTCCCAGTGGTCCTCGATCAGAAATGTGAAGTCTCGGGAGAAATAGGACGAGAAGAAGTCGGAGGCTTTCCAGGAGATGAACTCCCGGATCGATTCGGGGATCATGTCGTTGAGGATCGTGCGGACGATCATCGCGACGGCGGAGAGGGAGGCGTAAAGGGAGAGCAGGGTTGACATGGTTGGTAGCTGGAGGCCTCCCATTTTGACCGGTCTTTTTTTATCTCTCTGGTTAATTGGATTTTTTGCAGGGTCGGGCCGAATTCGGAGGAGGAACGAAGTTGCTCGACTGAAAGGAGATGGGGGAGAAATGTATAGAGAGGAGGACTATGGTGATGAATGATGATGAAGATACTGGGCTCCTGATCCGATCACCCAATTTATATGTAGAGTGGATAGAGTTTGAAGGATCAACCATGTGATTCTCGCTCTCCATCTTCAGGAATATAGTATTTGGATTGGAGCTCTATAAAGAAGCTTTCGGCCACATGCAAAAGTGTCAAAAATTCCTTAGCTACGCGGTTCTTAGCATTTTCAAATGAAAAAGAACCATTGGTTTCGCATTGTTGTTGACGGAGGGCCACCACTAGCCGGGACTGAGGGTATCGCCGGCGACGGTGGCTCTGGGCCTGTATTTGCATATGGTTGTTTTTTTTTTTTTTTTATATCGGACAATGAGAATTGAGAACCCTGCTTTTGTTTGGCAGTGCTCAAACAGTGTCGGATAAGTTGGCGACGGGTTCTATTCATGATGTCTCCGATGTGACTATCTTGTGCGAAAGTAAATTTCTTACCCGTTTGACCATCACTTCTAGTTTATTTTACAAGTCGACACATGAGTCGGGTTGCTCATTTAGTGACACGACAATATATGCGTCATTCTGATCTTATTAATTTTGTCTATGACTTCACTTATCTATTATGTGTTTAAGTCTATGAGGTTGTCGTAATTGTTGCATCACTCCTCGCTCTTACCTAGGTTATTGGCAGGCTTATCTGTGACCAAGAAAACTTTGGATGAATAATCGTTAGTTAGAATTATGCTCGTTATACTAATGACACATACCAAGTTTCTTTCTTCTTTTACGTTACACACAACTTTTTTCTCAAACTTTGTCTAGGTTGTCTGATCAATGCGTATTCAATATATCCTGTATCGTCCAAAATGTATCATATATATCCTTCCAGTTCTCAAATAAAAAAACGATACATGTATTTTATTGTTGATGTTTCATTTTGAATCATTCAAATGAATGATTTAAAAAAGAAATACACACAAAATTCCAAGTATTTTTAAGAGACATGTGCTCCAAATATCATCCTCGACATACTCTAATCCACTGAGTACCTAAAAAGGAAATTCATTGATCTCTAAATTTCCACCGGGCACCTGGCTGTTCTTCATTGCGTGATGGTTAAGTAGCAGATTCCTCACGTTTGTCTTCCCATGAGATCTTAATTAATCTCTTGCTAGTGACAGAGTCAGATTAGTGCTCCGGCCAGCCGCTTTTTCTTTCTTTTGCATATTAATACCTTCATTAGCTTGGGCTCCAATATCTCTGGAATCTAATGCATCAAGATCAAAAGAGGGAAATGGGGATTTAATTTTATTATATACAAGAAGAAAATTGAGGAAGCATGTACAAGGAAATTGCAGTGGACCAAACACATTGCCACACCACAAAGCTAGAAACAAGAGGGGAAAAAGAGAAAGGGAGATGAAACAACAAGAAGGTGGTTTACAAGAAGAAGGTATCTCAACGTTGTATTCACACTTCAAAGAAGAGGTTTATCTAGAGATGATTTCATCACCAACAACATAAACATTGCTTTCAAACCTTAAACCAATCATAATCGATAAAAAGAAAAACATTCTATTTAAGATTTTAGGATGGGATACACAATACACGAAATATTCCGAAACTATATGCTCGGGCCGATTCAAATGGTGCCTAGGTAGGATTCAGGATCCGGAGGAGTAGGGACGTGAATGGATCCTTCCAGCATCTGAGCGACCTTCTTCATTTCAGGCCTCCGCGTGGGATCCTCCTGCAAGCACCAGATGGCAACCTTCAGAAATCTCTCCACCCTCTCCATGTCAGCCATGGCCTCCTCATCGCCTTTCACCAGCTTCCCCAATTTCCCGTCACTGAAACAGTCGACTGCCCAGTCCGCGAGTATTATCTCCTCTTCGTTCAACGCCTCCATGTCCAAGTTCTTCCTGCAGCTGACCAGCTCCAGCAGCACGATCCCGAAGCTGTGGACATCGACCTTGGATGTGATCGGCATGCTCTTGAACCACTCCGGAGCCACATAACCTCTTGTTCCTCGAATCCCCGTCATGGTCCGAGTCTGGTTCGCCTTCAGCAGCTTCGCGAGCCCGAAATCAGAGATCTTAGCCGTCATCGACTCGTCCAGCAGAATGTTCTGTGGCTTGATGTCGCAATGAATGGGATTAGCGCGGAAACGTAACGACACGATCGATGTACGTGGTATCCCCGTATGTACGGGACTAGTCCACGGGAGAGGAAACCTCTCCAGTTTGTGTGATATTATTATTGCTCGGTGGTTTGGCCAACGGCCGTACACAAACTTATATACCCTTCTTGTCTATCAACTAGGGTTACATTATGGGTTGAGGCACGTCCGCATGTAGCTGGCGGATTACAATGCTGGGCTACAGACCTATGATGGGCCGAGGCACAACTTGTGGGCCGAGTGTCCTCCAATACTCCCCCGCAAGCTGGAGTGTGAAGATCACGAACACCCAGCTTGGACAGGAGAAAGTGAAAACGATCAGCACCAAGGCCTTTAGTAAACAGGTCTGCAAGTTGAAGTTGAGAAGAGACCTTAACTGGGGCAATATCTCGAGACTGAACACGCTCGCGGACAAAGTAGCAGTCCATCTCGACATGCTTTGTACGCTCGTGAAAGACCGGGTTGGCGGCAATATGTAATGCGGCCTGATTATCACAATGTAACGGGGTAGGTCCGGTCTGAGGAGCACCAAGCTCAGAAAGGAGCCAACGTAACCAAATGAGCTCACTGACCGTACTCGCCATGGCACGGTATTCAGCTTCTGCAGAGGAACGAGCAACAACCTGTTGTTTCTTCGTGCGCCAAGAAACGGGGGCACCACCTAGAGTGATGAAATAACCAGTGGTGGAGCGCCGAGTGGACTCGCAGCCACCCCAATCAGCATCACAGTAGGCAGTAAGATGCAGATCACCAGTCGACGGGAAGAAAAGTCCTTGACCTGGAGAGATCTTCAAGTACCGGAGGATCCGATGAGCGGCAGCCATGTGGGCATGAGTGGGAGCATGAACAGCCTGACTGAGAATATTAACTCCATATGAAATGTCAGGGCGTGTGACCGTTAAGTACAAGAGACGCCCAACAAGGCGCCGATACGCGGAAGGATCCGCAAGAGGAGTGGCATCATCGGTGCGAGTAAGATGGTGATTCTGCTCGACGGGAAAGTTGCTAGGACGACAACCAGTAACACCAGCATCAGCTAGAATGTCCAAAACATACTTCCGCTGACTGAGAATAATCCCTTGAGGGGAGCGGGCTGCTTCAATGCCCAAGAAATAACGCAGACTGCCAAGGTCTTTAATGCTGAACCTGTCATTGAGAAACGATTTGACCTTAGATATGAAAGAAAGATCATTACCAGAAAGAAGGACATCATCGACATAAATAAGAGCCACAACAAAGGTGCTTCCCTGATGGTAGATGAAGAGAGAATGGTCAGCCGGAGAAGGCCGAAACTGAAGCTCACAGAGGGCATCGGTGAACTTGTGATACCAGTTACGGGAGGCCTGGCGGAGACCATACAAAGACTTGTGCAGACGGCAAACCCGAGTCTCCCCCGGAGCTGCAAAACCCTGCGGAAAACGCATGTAAACCTCCTCATCGAGATCACCATGGAGAAATGCGTTGTTGACATCAAGCTGATGGATGAACCAGCCTTTGCTGACAGCAACGGCAAGGAGACAACGAACAGTGACCAGTTTGGCCACAGGAGCGAAAGTGTCATGAAAATCGACACCTTCAATCTGAGTATAACCTTTTGCGACCAGGCGAGCTTTAAATCGCTCAACAGTGCCATCTGGGTGAAACTTGATCTTATAAACCCACTTGCAGTCAATGGCACGTTTCCCGGGAGGTAGAAAAACTAGACTCCATGTGCCATTCTTCTCAAGAGCTTCAATTTCAATGCGCATAGCTCGGCGCCAGCGTTCATCAAGCATAGCCTGCTGGAACGTGCGAGGCTCAGTGTGCAAAGCTACTGCTGCAACAAAATCACGATAAGCAGGGGTTACACGATCATAAGTAATATGGGATGAAAGGGGGTATCGAACTGCATTAGCATCGTGGCCTGTATAGTAGATGTCAAGATGGCGGGGTTTGACCCGATTGCGGGTGCCGCGGCGAAGCTCAGCTGGCTGGGACGCGCGCGAGCTGGGCAGAGGGGCGCTAGCTTCTTCAGTCGGTTGGGCTGGGGACTGGGGGCCCAGCGGAGAAGAAGCAGGAGGCTGGGCAGGCGAGGGCGGCTGGGCCGGCGAGCCCAAAGACGGAGAGGGCTGGTCATCGTGGGTGACGGGCCGAGGCGGTTGAGCCGGCTCAAGAGCAGTGGGCCGAGTCGCAGACGGGCCAGGAGCAACCAATTCATCATCATCAAAGTGGGGTCGAGTAAACACCTGCGGAGAGACCCAATTGAAGTCAGTAGAAACAGAGGGACTAAAAGGAAAGATAGTCTCGTGAAAGACGACGTCGCGGCTAGTGATCACTTTCCGGGTGGTAAGATCATAGGCCCGGTAACCCTTCTGGGTCGCAGCATAGCCTAAAAATACGCAGGCTCTCCCCCGTTCCTGGAATTTGTCCAAACTGGCATGCGTGTCCTTACAGTAAACAAGGCACCCGAAAACCCGTAAGTGGGAATAAGAAGCGGGTTTGCCAAAGAGAACATCAAAAGGAGTCTTGCCCGTAGCAACAGTGGGCAAGCGATTGATTAAGTAGGCAGCAGTAAGGATGCATTCACCCCAGAACCGAATGGGCAAAGTGGCCTGAAAACGAAGCGCACGTGCAACCTCAAGCAAGTGACGGTGCTTCCGTTCGACAACGCCATTTTGTTGCGGCGTGTCAGTGCACGAGGTTTGCAGGATAATGCCATGCTGCTCATAGTAGCGACGAAGCTCATGACACTGAAATTCCAGCCCATTGTCAGCCTGAATACGCTTAACCTGACAACCAAACTGAGTAGAGACAAACTGGCAAAACATCTGCACATATCGACTAACTTCGGATTTGAAACGAAGAAGGTAAACCCAAACTCCACGACTGAAATCATCAACAATAGTTAAGAAATAGTGCGCACCACTCAAGGATGCAGTATGATAGCCTCCCCAAATATCCATGTGTAATAACTCAAAACAAGCTGTCGTACGAATAGAACTAACAGGAAAGGGATTCCGAACTTGCTTCGCACGAGAGCAAGAATGACAAACTGTATCAGGTGACCGAGAAAAAGAAACAATGTGACTCAGCATCTCCATCTTTCCTGGTGAAGGATGACCAAGCCGAGCATGGAGTAAGCTCTCGGATGGGCCGCCAGCAGCTGCGTGTGCTTCAACCTGCCGACAACCAAACAAACGGAGGTAATAGAGACCTTCACGGAGTTCCCCCTTCCCAATCACGTTCTTCGAGACTAAGTCCTGTATGACGCAGAAATCACCCATAAAGATTAATGCCACACGGTGCTCTTGACATAAACGACTGACAGATAATAAGTTGCAACGAAACTCAGGAACATGTAGAACGCAGCCCAAGCTAAGACCAGAGTCAAAATTCACCGAGCCAATCCGCTTAACCGGAATACTGGAGCCATTTGGAATACGAACGGGGGGACTTTGATAACCAGAATCATAAGAGGAAAATGTGGACTCATGCATGGCAATATGCTCATTACAACCTGAGTCAATGAGCCACTCAGAGTCGACAGAGGTAGAAAACATACCAGCCATATTACTGACGGGATCGGTCGGGCCATGGAAGGAGCTGCCGATCAATTGTTTTAACTGCTCAATCTGCTGGGCAGTAAACCCAGAAGTCGGAGTAGGGGACTCGGCCTGAGAGGCGCGAGGCTCACGAGGCCTGCTGCCCTCACGATCACGGTCACGCCGCCGCTGGCCCCGATCACTGCGATCACCACGGTCACGGTCACTTGATTTGTCACGAGCCGGCCAGCCGATGAGCTCGTAACAGGTTTCTCGTGAGTGACCCACCTTTTGACAGTGCGTGCAGATGATGCGCTCGCGCTCGCCAGAGGAACGATCACGGGAGCCGGAATTGGAGTCACGACCCCCGCGACGATCGCCGCGCTGCTCTCCACGTTGATCTCCGCGCGGCACGGTGCCAAGGCGATCCGCCTCACCTCGCGTGGCAAACGCAGCAGCCTCAGGTGTGGTCTTGCGATTTTGGGTCAATGATCGCTGCTGCTCGTCGTTGTAAACGATGCGAAAAGCTTCCGGGAGAGTGGGAACAGGAGTCATGGACAGAATCTGACTCCGAACCGTGGCAAAGGAATCATCCAAGCCAAGTAAAAAATCAAGCAAACGAAGACTCTCGTTTTGGTCCTTCCCGCGACGCCCACAGGAGCACAAAGGCGGCGGAAGTATAGCCTGTGTTTCTTCCCAAATTTTGCGCAGACTAGCATAAAAACTCGAAACAGTTTGTTTTTCTTGTTGAAGGAAACTCACATTGCGCCGGAGCTCATAGGCGCGCGTTAGGTTGCCTTTGCTGAATCGATCGCGAAGATCTTCCCAAATTTCTTGCGCCGTCTTCGCGTGCATAACGCTACTCCTGATTTCGGCATCCATAGCCGTCCGCAACCACCCCTTGACAAGGGCATCACAACGCAGCCACTGCTGGAGGTCAGCGGACCCAGTTTCAGGGCGAGGATAAGTACCATCGACGAAACCAAGCTTGTGCTTGGTGACAAGAGCGTCTGTCATCTCCAATACCCACTCGGCATAGTTGGTGGGTGTCAGGGGACTGCTGACGTGGAGGTGACCAGTGCTATCGGACTGGTGAACAAAAAAGGGACTGAGAACATCTATGCCAAAGCCGCCAGAGCCGCCAGAACCACCGCTGGCAGATTGGGGGGACTTCTCGCCAGTGAGAAAAGAAGAATCATCACCGGCCATGATTGCAACCTGAAATCGAGCTTCACAGCTCTGATACCATGAGAAAAACGAGATTAGCGCGGAAACGTAACGACACGATCGATGTACGTGGTATCCCCGTATGTACGGGACTAGTCCACGGGAGAGGAAACCTCTCCAGTTTGTGTGATATTATTATTGCTCGGTGGTTTGGCCAACGGCCGTACACAAACTTATATACCCTTCTTGTCTATCAACTAGGGTTACATTATGGGTTGAGGCACGTCCGCATGTAGCTGGCGGATTACAATGCTGGGCTACAGACCTATGATGGGCCGAGGCACAACTTGTGGGCCGAGTGTCCTCCAATAAATGATGTGGGTGCTGCACTCCTCGTGAAGGTAAACCAGACCCTTGGCGACGGCGTAAGCGATCTCCGTCCTCGTGTCCCAACTAGGCCTCGAACGATCCCGGTCGAACAACAGATCAGCCAACGACCCGTTGCTCATGTACTCGTACACCAGGAGCCGGTGCTTCCCTTCGTTGCAGAACCCCACGAGTTTGACCAAGTTCTTGTGGTTAGTCCCGCCGATCACCTTCACTTCCGTTGTGAATTCCTGCTCCTGGGTTTTGCTCACCATCTTGTCCAGCATCTTCACTGCCACCAGCTGCTGATTACGGCCGAGAACCCCTTTGTAAACCGTTCCAGAAGCACCACTCCCAAGTACTTCCTTGAACCCTCCCGTCGCGTAATCCAGCTGACCATACGAGAACTTCTGTAGATTGGTAGTTAAGCTATCAGCTTCTCGATCTGAACCGATTCTTTCATCGTTCCTCCTCTTCCTTAGAATAAACATTGCCGTTGCCAAGAGAAGATTGGCCAATGCTGAACTACACAAGAGCACCAACACAGAGATGATCAGAGCCCAATGGTCTCTCTTCCTCTTGGGAGCTGGACATTGTCCAAGAGGCAAAGTGGAATTGGATACCCTCACTTTGATCAGCGCCTTGACTTCAATGCTGGCGCCCACTCTTCCATTGGACAGAGGCATCCTCTTCTTCCAGCAATATCCTCTGCCGTAGATTGCAGCATCACAACGACAATCACTCAAACAAGCCTGTCGGCACATAGCCTCGGAGTAAGACTCCAGCGCTGTGTACTCTGCATCAACGTAATCCATGTTGGGCATCGCCACGAGATCGAACTTGTCGCTCTCGTTTAATCGGCAGTCCTGTGGCGCGAAGTCCTGGATGCATCCTTTGTACTCGTCGAGCGGATCCATGAACACATATCTGTTGGATCCATGAAACCTGTTAGGATTCTGATATAGTAAAGTAGATATCACCATGTAATGAAATGAAGATGATGAACCAAGAATTTACCCTTGAGGGCACTTGCAGATGGGATTCTGATTACCATCCATTTGACAGTAGCTATTGTAGCCACAAGCTCCACTGCCTATTTTACCCATCACGACAATGCAGAAATTTCTTGGCTGGAAGAACATAGTAGTCCATCCCGTCGTCCCCACTCTTCCGCTCGAGTTACGATTACCTTCATTGCCATTTGTTGGGCCTCGGCCCACTTGCACCACGACAGAGCAAGTCACAGCCCAGGAGGATCAAAGAAGTCCTCAGCCCAAAAGAAGTCAAGAAGCGTCTTCGCCATTCATCCCCAAAATCGTCAAAAGCCATCAAAGCCTCGAGGAAGAACACTTCCCTGTTATTCCTCATCAGAAACCATTTTCCCCGAAGACTTCGTCCAACGGTCTCATCATTCATGAAGAGAGAGATAGGATCGCAAGATTCATGCCGAGAATTTCTATAAGAGGCGCTGCTCATGAAGACGAAGGCAACGGTTTCCTCTATCGGAAGAACGGGTTAGTTCTTGGGATAGCTGGTTAGGGTTCTTGAGTTAAGTGTCTGGATTCGTAGAGTTGGGGCTGTTGCCAGGAACTCTACGAGATCTGGGCATAGCTTGTAGGGTGGCTTGCTTAATCGTTTCTGTCATTTCGCTTTCTTCTTGTCGATTTCAGCTAAAACCCAGCTTTCTCTTCATTCTAGAATCGACTTTGTGTCACTAAATTCACAAGTACATTTCTATAAATCGAAATGAGTTGAGACCTGGTTTCAACAATTGGTATCAGAGCCCCCTTGTCGTGGAACTTTAAGTTGCCGATAAGGAGATCCGGTGCCTCACCATGTCTTCTAACTCATTTCCCACCAGCTCAAACCCTCCTTGGTTCTCTGGTTCTAATTATTCTGTATGGAAAAAAAGAATGAGACTTTACCTCCGAGGAATCGACTGTGAATTATGGGCAATTGTCCGAAATGGACCAATTGACATGAAAGAGGACGATGAGGAGGATTGGTCTAAAGAACAAATGAAAAGCGCTCAACTAGATTCTAGGGCAATGCACATTTTGCTTTCTGCTATTTCAGATGATGAAGGAGAAAGAGTTAATAAGTGTGAAACAGCTAAAGAAATCTGGGAAATCTTAGAAACTACCCATGAGGGAACCTCAGAAGTAAAAGAAACCAGAATTGACCTTCTTCTTAAAGAATATGAAACCTTTGATATGTTGTCTGGAGAATCAATCTCTGAGATGGACAAAAGATTCACTACTTTGGTTAATCGACTAAAGGGTCTAGGAAAAACCTTCTCTAGTAAAGAATTGGTTAGAAAAGTACTAAGGTCTCTTCCTCTAGAATGGATGGCTAAGAGAACAGCTATAGAAGATGCTAAGGATCTCAACAATTTGTCTCTGGAAAACTTGATTGGATCCCTACTAAGTCATGAAGAAGTGCTAAAACAGATGACTTCTCTTCATGACAAGAAAAATAAAAATATAGCCTTCAATTCTATATGTAACAATGAAGGAGAAAAACTGGATGAGGAATTCGAAAATGAACTTGCCCTCACCAGCAAGAAACTCCAAAGAATGATGAAATACAAACATGATCAGAATGCTAGAAGAAATAGTCAAACCAATGGCTATTCCTTTAGGCCCTCTGGAAACATGAATCCTCATAACTCTAGATCTCATGGACATAGCTCTGGACATCCAAATGATAAAAACTCGTCTGGATCAAACAGACATGAAAACAATCCTAAAGAAATTAAAAATTCTACTGACACCACTATATGTTTTAAATGTGGCAAAACAGGTCACATAAGAGCAAACTGCCCTCTTAACAGAAAAAGAGAAAAGGCCATGGTGACCACCTGGAGTGACTACAGCTCAGAGGAGGATACTGAAAATCTGGCTCTCATGGGAATCAACTCAAACGATGATAATGAGATCCCTTCAAATCAGGTTTGGTCAGAAACTTCTTCTGAATTTGGTCCTGAAAATCAAAATGAAGATTTCTTTCTAAATGCTCTATCTAACCTACAAGATGAATGCAATAGATTGAAAAGCAAATACTGCCTTGTTGTTGCTCAATTAAATGATAGAAACACTGAAATAAAAAGACTAAAAGACCTCATAGAAACTCAACAGCATGCTCAATTCATACAAGACTCTCAAGTTGCCAACCTAACCAATGAAAATAAAATCTTAAAAAAACAACTTGGGAACCTCTCGAGAACCCCTACTGTTCACTCGTGGAGGCCCTCTGTTTCCTACAATTCTAGTTGGAATTGTCATAAGTCTGAATTTTATATACCCAAAAGACCACATAAATTCAGAAACTACTCCACCTGCTCTTACTGTAGAAAACCAGGACATAACATTGAACACTGCTATTCTAGAAGACAAAAACCCAAACTTGTTTGGGTGGTTAAAAACTCTAATTGAAATCACTTTCCTTTCAGAATAAAATGGGTGGAAACATCTGGTATTTAGATTCTGGATGCTCTCACCACATGACGGGTAATAAAGCTCTTTTTTCATTTCTGAATCCTAAGAAGGGAGGTAAGGTTTACTATGGTAACAATAACTGTGCTTCTGTGGTAGGTAAAGGTACTATTAGTAGCAACTCTTCTCTGATCATTGAAGATGTACTTTATGTGGAAGGATTAAAACATAATTTGTTGTCTATAAGTCAAATTTGTGGTTCAACCTATCGAGTCATCTTTGATCCATCTTGCTGCATAATAGAAAGAATATCAGACAATGCAGTAATATTCAAAGGAAAGAAAATAAATAATGTATACACTGTTGACTTATCATCACTTGATCTATCTGAAGATATTTGTTTAAGTACTGTAACTGAATCTGCTGTAATGTGGCACAGGAAACTAGGCCACATGAGTTTCTCTAGACTAAGCAAACTGTCTAAACTCAATTTAGTTAAAGGACTGCCTGAGATAAAATCCTCAGATAATCTTTCCTGTGAAGCCTGTATACTAGGAAAACACTACAAAAAGTCCTTTAAAAGTAAACAAGATGTAACCACCTCTGCTGTGTTTGAATTGCTGCATATGGACCTATTTGGACCCACAAATATCCTTAGTCTTGGGGGGAAATCATACGTTCTGGTCATTGTAGATGACTTCTCAAGATTTACCTGGGTCTACTTTCTCTCATCAAAGGATGAAGCATTCTCTAGATTTAAATCCTTTGTTACACTGATGAAAAATCAATTTGCCTACACCATTAAAGCAATCAGAAGCGACAATGGTGGTGAATTCATCAATGAAAACTTCTGTTTATTTTGTGATTATCATGGCATTCTGCATACACTCTCTGCTCCTAGAACACCTCAACAAAATGGTGTTGTGGAAAGAAAAAATAAATCTCTAATTGAGACTGCTAGGACTATGCTTCTTGAATTTGACTGTCCCAAGTTCCTATGGGCAGAAGCTGTGAACACTGCATGCTATGTGATAAATCGAACCTCTATTAGAAAATCAATAAACAAAACTCCATATGAAATTCTCAAAGGAAAATCTCCCAAGATTTCCTACTTCCATCCTTTTGGTTCAAAATGCTATATCCTTAACACTAAAGATCAAATTGGAAAATTTGATGCTAAATCAGATATAGCCACCTTTCTTGGATATTCCAGCAAAGGGCAAGCTTACAGAGTGTATAACAGAAGGTCTAGGAAAGTTGAGGAGTCTGTTCACATCAAATTCGACTCATCAGACTCACCACTGTCTCTTCCTTCTGATCTAAGTAACTTTGATTTCCTTCCTATTAGTCCCTTGCTTGAGACAGGTAACAGCTCCTGTTCCAACGAAGCTGATGAAGACTCTCAAACTCCTAAAGACAATCAGACAGAAACTGACTCTCCAAATCAGCCTGAAGCCCCTGCTCACATCAGAAGGAGACATCCTCCCTCTCAAGTCATAGGTAACTTGTCTGATCCTATCCAGACCAGAGGTAAGTACATTCCAGGACAATATGCATTTGTGTCATTACTTGAACCTAAAAACTTTAAAGAAGCTCTTCTTGATGAAGAATGGATAGTTGCTATGCAAGAGGAATTATCTCATTTTGTTAGGCTTAAAGTATGGGAACTTGTACCTAGGCCTTTAAACTTGACTGTTATTGGAACTAAATGGATATTCAGGAATAAATCAGATGAATTAGGATTCATAATTAAAAACAAAGCAAGACTTGTTGCTCAAGGATATAATCAAGAAGAGGGAATTGATTACGATGAGACCTTTGCCCCTGTAGCTAGGATTGAATCAATCAGATTACTATGTGCCTATGCAAGTTTAATGAATTTCAAACTCTATCAGATGGATGTAAAAACAGCCTTTTTAAATGGTGAAATAAAAGAAGATGTCTATGTAGAACAACCTCCTGGCTTCATAGACTTTGAATACCCTGACCATGTCTTCAAACTCTCTAAAGCCCTCTATGGTCTCAAACAAGCTCCCAGAGCTTGGTATGAGAAGTTAACCAACTTTCTAATATCACAAGAGTTCTGTCAAGGGGGAGTTGACAAAACTCTCTTTATTAAGAGGAAAAATGAGCATACTCTTATAGTCCAAGTCTATGTAGACGATATTGTGTTTGGAAGTACTAACCCTAGCATGTGTGATGAGTTCTGCTCTGCCATGAAAGAACAATTTGAGATGAGTCTCATGGGGGAATTAACCTACTTCCTTGGTCTTCAAATTCAACAAACAAAGTCTGGAATCTTTATTCACCAAACTAAATACTTGAACTCAATGCTTGCTAAATTCAATTTGATGAATGTAAAACCTAGCAAAACTCCCATAGCCTCCAACCTACATTTAGATTATGACTTAAAAGGACAAGCTGTCTGTGAGAAAAAATATAGGGGAATGATAGGGTCTTTACTCTACTTAACTGCCAGCAGACCTGACATTCAGTTTTGTGTATGCCTCTGTGCTAGATTTCAAAATCAGCCTAAAGAAAGTCATCTTATAGCTGTTAAAAGAATATTTAGATACTTGAAAGCTACTCAGGATATTGGATTATGGTATCCAAAATCATCAGAGTTGTCTCTCACAGGCTACTCTGACTCAGATTTTGCTGGTAGTATGACTGATAGAAAAAGCACTAGTGGAACCTGTCAATTCTTTGGAGGATGCTTAGTGTCCTGGTCAAGTAAAAAACAAGGTTCAGTGGCCCTTTCAACTGCTGAAGCTGAATATGTAGCAGCTGGTAGTTGTTGCACTCAAATTCTCTGGCTTAGGTCCCAACTTGCTGATTATGGTATTAAATTAAACAATGTGCCTATCCTTTGTGACAACACCAGTGCCATTTGCATGTCAAAAAATCCAGTACATCATAGTAGAACTAAACATATTGAGGTTAAGCACCATTTTATTAGGGACTTAATTCAGGATGGTCTGATTGAACTAAAGTTCATATCTACTGAATTTCAATTAGCTAATATTTTTACAAAGGCTCTCTCCTCTGAAAGGTTTATTAGACTATGTGATGACCTTGGTCTCAGATCCCTTCACTCGATTCAAAATGAGCATTAAACAGGTGCTGTTCTCTCTGTCACTCTCTTTAATTTGCACACTTATCCTACTTATATTTCCCATGTTGCTTGATTGAGTTTTCGCATACTGAATGTTCTGAATTCCAATACTTAGACTCAATCAATAATTGTTTGACTGCCTGTTCTCTGCGGCCCTTGCTACTTATTGCTGTATCTCTTGGTCTTCCCTCTTGTAGTATAAGTATCCTCCCCATCATCATCATTCATACCACTCATCAAACTCCCCTGATAGCTACCCTAAAACATGACCGAGCTATTCACTTCCTCTAGCATCCCTGGTGCCATTGTCACCTATGTGGGGAAAACCTATCCTGAGCCTATTGAATTCAATCATCATAGGTTCAAAGAATACTTTGCTTCCAGACGCCTCTCTGAACCGATCACCCTTGATCTCTATGAATTCAAAGCTCTAGGGATTGACATAGCTCCTTTCATTCGAAATCTTGGCTGGGAATTTCTTCTCCACTATCCCTCTCTTCCTGCATGCCCCCTGCCAGTCAAAAACTTCTATGCCAATCTTGACTGTCAAGGCATTATCACCAGAAAACTCACTACTCTCGTGAATGGATACTTCATATCGCTCTCAGCTGAGGCCATTGGGACTCTGCTCAATCTTCCTACAGAAGGACCTCTTCCTCTGGCTCATGAGGATGAGTTCCTCTTCTATGACTTCGACTATGAAGTAGAGTACTCTCGTATAACTCAGCGTCGAGTCTCCAGCAATGAAGTCATCACCACTGCTGATCTCAACCCATCTCTTCGCACCCTGCATTATGTCATTACTAGTCTGTTTCTGCCCCGGACTCACGGTCTCAACATTGTCACAAAAATCGATCTCTGGGTGCTCTCTAATGCACTGACAGGGAGAAAAATTGACTACACTCAGCTTCTGTTTGGGTCCATAGTTCGCAATGTTGATGCTCATCTTGATGGTAGGCTTCCCTATGGGGGATTAATCACTCTTCTTCTGGCCAATCTCGGGCTTTCTTTAGATGGTTATTCCTCTGTTGACACTTCTGTCTATGTCCCTGCCACCACTATTCTTCTCCATCTTCACATCGAGCCCCAGCATTCGAAAGGGGGAGGATCCTTGGACCCAGCCAATGCTAAGCCAATTAAAAACAAATCCAAGATCCTGAACCCTGAAAACTCTGACTCAACCATTAGGAAGAACCTAATAATCAACTTCGAAGAGGAAGATGCTGAACTCGAACCAGAAACAGTATCAGAGAAGGACATCAGACTGTTTGCTGCTGAACTAGAGAAAGAAATAATGGAAGGAGCTGATGGATCAATGGAAGATGATGCTACTGAAGCTCAGGAGGACAATATGATGGAAGATGTGGCTGGAACTCAGGGGGAGCCAAACAATGGTCCTGTCCCATGACTTGCTGAATGTGTCTAAATGTGTTGAGTGATCGAGTCCTTATTTTATCAAAGTATGCTGAATATGTGTCTTAGTGAATAAAGACCATAATGGTCTAAGTATGATGAAATGATCGAGTCCCTGTGTTATTGAGTGATAAGAGTCATTGTGTCAGACTATGGATAAACGACCATAATGGTCTAAGTTTGCTTGCTGATATGTTCTAAGTGTGCTTGCTGATCTGTCTCTTCTAGCCATTCCTCTTAAACAAGGGTCAATAAGAGATGTCCAAGCTGAGTGATTCATGTTCTACTGATGCAAGTCTCTCTTTCATTGATTCTCTGCATTTTTTTTCAATATTCTCGATGCTTTGATATCATGCTTTGATAAGAACAGGAATGAAAGCTCGAACGCAGGGGGAGATTGTTGGGCCTCGGCCCACTTGCACCACGACAGAGCAAGTCACAGCCCAGGAGGATCAAAGAAGTCCTCAGCCCAAAAGAAGTCAAGAAGCGTCTTCGCCATTCATCCCCAAAATCGTCAAAAGCCATCAAAGCCTCGAGGAAGAACACTTCCCTGTTATTCCTCATGAGAAACCATTTTCCCCGAAGACTTCGTCCAACGGTCTCATCATTCATGAAGAGAGAGATAGGATCGCAAGATTCATGCCGAGAATTTCTATAAGAGGCGCTGCTCATGAAGACGAAGGCAACGGTTTCCTCTATCGGAAGAACGGGTTAGTTCTTGGGATAGCTGGTTAGGGTTCTTGAGTTAAGTGTCTGGATTCGTAGAGTTGGGGCTGTTGCCAGGAACTCTACGAGATCTGGGCATAGCTTGTAGGGTGTCTTGCTTAATCGTTTCTGTCATTTCGCTTTCTTCTTGTCGATTTCAGCTAAAACCCAGCTTTCTCTTCATTCTAGAATCGACTTTGTGTCACTAAATTCACAAGTACATTTCTATAAATCGAAATGAGTTGAGACCTGGTTTCAACACCATTTGGAGTGGCATAGTACCTTAGCACTCCATCATGATCGAGAGTTACCCTCTGGTAAAACTCTTGGCTGGATTCTCCATTCCTAAACACATAACTAACAACCGTCCCATTGCTGGAAGCTAGATACAGCATCCCTGTCTGGTTGAAAATCACTCTGTAGCCCAAGAAACCCATTAGTGAAAAAGTTCGAGATCTTTTTCCATCATTTTATGAACAGAATGTGAATTTCATGTACCTTGTAGCTGTCGTTGTTGAACTGGCCCAATACGGAAAGTTGTTACCCATTTGAGGATAAGTTGTGGTGTACTGGACCAAATTCCCATCGGGTTGCAGAGCCAACTTGAATCTCCCTTCCGAGAAATTCGATCTCGAGTACTTAGAAATCAGTTGCGCGCCTCGAACCAGAAACTGGGACGGCAGCAGAGTATCAGTCGGCTCGTTGAAGCTCGCCCACAAATAAGATAAATCTCGCCCTGTCACCACGAAATTGCCGGTGTCCAACATCGCCGCGCCGGTGGCAGGGGAGCCGGGCCCCGGGTTCCGCGTCCAGACTACCCGGCCTGATGGGTCGGCTAGGACCAACCGACCGGAACCAACTTGGCCGTCGGCGGTCAGCTGAATCGTCGATCCATTGGGAACCAACTCGTTTCGGTTGGCCGACCACACGGCGGTTCTCTCAGGCATTTTGTCGAACACTACGCAGAGCAAATAGCCGTCGCCTTCGCCGCGGCTGTTGTTGATGCGTTGGAACCCAAATGCGAAATCGCCAGAAGGGGATAGCCAGCGGTCGTTGCTAGATGCTCCGGCGGTGAGAGTTGTGCCCAAGGTTACATTGCGGTAGCTCTGCGAGTTGGCTGAAAACGGCAGCATGAACAGTAGCAGAAGGAAGAGATCAAGCAGTGAGAAGTGGGAAGCCATTATACAAAACAGACCCAGTTGCAGATATGGACCAAAATCGTTGCTTTTTCTCTACCTCTATAAATGGAAATCGCTTGCTGGGTTATAAACAGAAGTCAAGATGAGGAATCGATCACCATCGTACAGTTTCAGTAGTCTTTGTCTGAGTTTAATAATCTCAACTACCAGAACAGAAGCCAAGTTCAAATATTACGCGCCAGTGAGTGATTAGATTGAGACAGTCTGAAAAAGTCAGCATCTTTGACTTGAGGTGCATTATGAATTTATGATATGGTGGTCTGAATTTGGATGATCCTGAATCCTGATATCTGAAATTTCAGCAAAATTTTTTGGATGGTGATAGATATGCCATGGAGTAATCTAGCTAACACGATTAATGAGTATACGACTCGTAATAAAAAATCGTATAATTTAAGCGCATCTATTGAGAAATTAGAGAAGAAACTATTTGTTGTGAGAAAAATCATGAATATACAGATAATACAAACAATTAACAAAGTTTATAATTCATATTGATATTTGAATCTTCAATAAATTTGCTTGGATGGTGATTGATATTGCCAATATTGATTAGCCCAAAATCTAACATCATTAATGGATATGTGACTCGTTGTGGTCCTAATAAGAAATTAGAGAAGAAACTTAAAAATAAGAACACAAACTTAATGTAAAGAAGTGTTACGAGAAAACGTCATGTACCCGTCCATTCATTATAACGAGTCATGGGTTTGAAAGAACTAATTGTTCTCTGTCATTTTTAAATGGACAAGATAACATGAATCGTTAACAAAATTTATACTTTTCGATAAGTTTACTTATGTTGATTAAGTTCAATTCTTTAACTTCATATCGATGATCAAATGATTTCATAATTAAAACCACATTTCTAAATGATTAGTTCCGATCACAAAAATCGAATAATTTAAAGACCTCTTGAAAAATCACCAATGCATTATCCTTGTCTTTTTTTCTCGATGAATAGTGTGATCAATTTTGAGCTCAATCTCGGGACATGTCTCTAGAAATAGGATGATTAGTCACTACCAGCCTGCTCACCTTGGAATTTGTCAGCGGAGAACAATTTGCCTTGTCATGGTTTACATGCATGAACCTGCCGTTTATCAATAGTCCTCTTCTTGGAAAAGAATGGTATAGCTGCTCCCCAAGGACAGAAACATGGGTTTGTGGCCAAAGACCAAGTCACATCTTTCTTCCCTGTCTACTGTTATAAGTCAAGATCATGTCCTGAGTAGACAAAACCATTCAATCAGGGTCGTCGGAACGAAAAATTCTCGAAACAAGATGTAATGTTGAAATAGTTACAATTCGAATTAACTAAATTACTAAAATGTTGTTATTTGAATAGATAAATTTGAAAATATCAAACTGATACCAGGACTGTGCTTAAATGAACAAGAGTTGCCGACTCCTCGAGTCCTTAAATATATGCAATAAGTAACATAAAGCTAGGAATATATGACTTGAACAAATGAAACAAAGTAACAATCTTATTCGACTTCGGCCTACTTGCAACTTTCTCATAGTTGTGTATATTTTGAAGGGTTAAGCCTTCGAGATCGTTGTCACGGTGAAACCGCTAGGGCACGGAGGATCAGGTACTTCAAGGACTCCTTCGAGCATCTGCCAGACCTGCCTCATCGTAGGCCTGACGGAAGGTTCCTCTTGAATGCACCACAGGGCGGTCATCACAAACTTCTCGAGCCTCTCCCTGTCATTCAGCACCTCCATCTCGTGGTCGACGAGGTCGTCGATGGCTCCTTCGGCATAACAGTCGAAAGCCCAATCGGTCAGGATGGCTCGTTCTCCGGCGCCCTCGTTGCTGTCCACGCCCTTCCTGCAACAGATGAGCTCCAGCAGCAGGACCCCGAAGCTGTAGACGTCGACCTTCACCGTGATGGGCGAGTTCCTGAACCACTCGATCGCCACGTACCCTCTGGTTCCCCTAATCGCCGTGTGCGTCTGGCTCTGGTTCAGCTGCAGCAGCTTCGCCAGCCCGAAATCCGAGATCCTGGCATTCTGGCAGTCGTCCAGGAGGACGTTCTGCGGCTTGATGTCGCAGTGGATCACCTGGGTGCTGCACTCCTCGTGCAGGTACAACAGTCCCCTCGCGACTCCCAATGCGATGTGGATTCGCTTCGACCAGCTCGGCTTCACCTCTCCGAACAGGTAATCGGCCAGGGTCCCGTTCAGGTACTCATAGACCAACATCTGCCTCTGCTCTCCTTCCTCGCAGTATCCGACCAGCCGGACCAGATTCTTGTGATGAATCTGTCCGATCACGCTGACTTCGGTTCTGAATTCCTTCGCCGTATCGTTGTTCACCGAGGAGTTCAGCTTCTTGACGGCGACAACGCGGCCGTTGTCCCGAATCACGCCTTTGTAAACTATGCCAAAAGCTCCCCTGCCAAGCTCTTCCTTGAACCCATCCGTTGCTTCTTCTAGCTCCCTGTATGTAAAACACCGCACATTTGGCTCAATTGCGCCAACGCTGTCATTAGAACCTGAATCAAACCTGTTCTTCTTCCTGTAAACGAATTGAAACCCTAAACAGATCGCGATCACCAGCGCCACATTCACGAAAGCTGAGATCCCAAAAAGAACCGAACCCATCACGATCAACCCTTCCCTGTCCTTCCTCTTCACAACATCCCCTGCCTCCGGCGCAATCGGCCACCCACCGCCGCCTGTTCTCCGGCTCACATTCACATTCCCCCTCCTGACTTTCAACAGTGCCTTCCCGTTCAGGTTCCCGTCCAGCCTCCCATTCGACAGAGGCATCTTCTTCTTCCAACACATGTCCCCTGACCGGAAAATCGCGGCGGCGCACATACAGTCGTGCAGGCAGGAATTCCGGCAGCCCTCCTCCGTGAAAGGCTCCAACAGAGCATAATCGGAAGTTGGCCAATCGGTATTCTCAATCTCCACGAACCCGTACAGCTCTTCAATTCGGACCCCGCCGTTGTCTTCTTCGCAGCCCTGTGTGTAGTTCGCTCTGCAATTTCCGTACGGATCGTCGGGATCCATCAACGAATACCCTGTCGGGCACCGGCAACTCGGCCGGCCGTCGGATTCGAGGTCGCAGATGCTGTTAAATCCGCAGGTGCCGCTGCCGATGTCGGTCCTCGCCGTACAGATGTTCTCCGGCTGGTTCCAGAGATGAGTCCAGCTCCGGTTACTTCCCCCCGATTTCGGGTAATAGTACTGAGTCAAAACTCCGTCGAACCTCAGAATTGCTCTTTGGTAATACCCTCCGTTTGATGACGACGGCACCGACTCCGTCAAATTGAATCTGCTGCCGCCGTTAGTTCTGACCACGGAGAGAAATCCCAATTCGTCGAAAGCCAGCTGCGTACCAGGGTCGGTTGCAGAATTCGTTCCGGCGGCGTAGTACGCACCGTTGACCTGCTCCGTCGGGAGATTTACAGTGGTGAGGACTAAATTCCCGTCCCCCTGGAGAATTAGGCGGAATCTCCCCTTTGAGAAATCAGATTCGGAGCGCCGGGAGGAGAGGATGATGCCGCGGCCTAGCGTTTGCGAAGGGAGGATCGTGTCGGTGGGATTGGCGAAGGTTTCCCACAGAGGAGAGGAATTTCTAGCTCGGATCACGAAATTGCCGGAATCGGTGAGCGAGGCGGAGGCCACTCCGCCGGAGAGTTGGCCGGAACGCCAAATCTCGGAGCCTTGTGGGTTCGCGAGGACGAGGCCGACGGTGCCGGATAGCTGGACGGTGGAGCCGGCGGGGGCAGGGGAGTCGCCGTTGGCAGACCAGACGATTGTGCGGTCGGGGAGGTCGGCGTACCAGATGCAGAGGAGGAAGGTGGTGTTGGTTTCGTCGAGCGGGCGGAAGCCGAAGGCGAATTCGCCGGATGGGGAGAGCCAGGCGGTGGAGTTGGCTGCGTCGGCGGAGAGGGATTGTCCGACGGTGATGTTTTGGGCAGCGGCGAAGGTGGGGAGAAGGAGGAGGGAAAGGAGGATGAGGAGTGGGGGAGAGCGGCGGAGGATCGGAGACAAGGAGGCTGCGGTGGCCGCCATCGGAGAGGTTTGAGTGAGTTTGCTGAGGAGAGGTAAATTGTGAGTGTGAAATAACAGAGTGCCGTGGCCGGAGGGTAGAAGAGAAGAAGAAGAAGAAGAGTCAACGGAAATGGTGATCGTCCAAGTAAACGGAAAAGTCTTTGGCGGGACTTATAAATTGGCGGGAGTGGGATCATATGGTATTTTCATTTTTAATCCTTGATCTTCTGAAAAGGACACACACGCCGTTCATTAAAAAAAAATAACATTTAATCTTCTATTTATTACAACCATAATTAGTTTATAGAACTTAGTGGAATAGAGTCGACGACCTTTATTTAATCAAAGCATAGAATGTAGATTAAGTATAACCCATTTCAACTAAATACAAAAAGAAAGATTACGCTTAAACAATAAGGTATGCATATTTTCTCAAATGGGTAGGCTCAAAAATTCTATGGTTTTTCTTAAAAAAAGATTTTATAGTTACTTTTACCACTTATTCTCAATAAAAAGGTTAACATGATATCATCACACAAGCGACAACTTTGGTTATCACACTCGATTCTTTTAAGGACTGATTATGGTGGATCGAGAATTTGGACTAAACACCTAGATAATTGTCATTTCTACTAACTATATAGTTTTTCTAACGAATCCTATGTAACATCTTCCATGTACATCCCACCCTCATATCCTGTGGCTTTTCCTATGAGCTCGTTTGCCCCGTCTATAACTGAAACTCTGAAAGGACAAAATGATTGATCGCATCTCGTGTATCTTGAGGATCCGGCGTGATGAGACTTGATCATGTATTGTCTACCACCTTGCATGTAATTTTCGGTGTTTGGTGGTATAAATTCCTTGTCCTGATTCCATTATCCTCTTACTGCTAAATTTTATGTGATCTAACGCTGATATTTCGAAGAATAATATAATCTGGATGGACATAATAAATGTTTTGTTATCACTTTTTGTTAAATATTTATGTCCACTTTTTGTTTAATATTTATAAAATTTATAGTGACCCCAAAGTTTAGGGACCATTATGTAATTTATAGGAGCTAAGTGTGGACAAGACGCAAATGCATGTCAGCTATCTAGTCCAAGCCCAGCCAAATTCTGTCATTTCTTGATCGAGTCAATTCCACGTCTTTCTTACCTTCTAGAGATATAAACTCAAAATGGGGTTTCGTTTAGGACTTATAACACGTTGTGATATAAGATAATTTTTGGTTGATAAAAAAGTAATTGAGGGGTAGATTGTTTTAAAACCACTCCATTCAATGAAAGAGTGTAATTGAAGCGTATTCTCTTTGGTGCTATTTTCATTACATTATAGTGGTGTTCAAACATAGTAGTTAACTAGTTATCATAACCAAGTATTTTTATTGGCAGTATTCGGATAATTTGGGTTGGATAATTTGGATAATTGGTATAGTTTTGTTTAATTTTTTCAACTTGTTTGATTTAATTTAGATGATTTGGTTTGGTTCAGACATGTCATATTTGATATTTTGCACAACCACTCAAGGGTCCATCGATTCTTCCCTTTGAACCCATAAAAAATAAAGTTCATAATTGTTCATGTACTATATTTGCTCTTGTAGAGTGTATGCAACAACATATGGGATTCTAGTTTAGGTAACAAAAAATTATAAATTATATTGAACCAAAACCGAACAGTGAAGGATTTTTTTCCAACCTCTCATAACTGCTAAGGAACTAAGATAATTGAAATAAACACACCCAATTCATTACCTCATCCAATTGGTATATATCTTTTTGTTTATGTGATCAAGAACCTATGTTAGAAGTTGTTACAGAAGTGATCTTACATGGTCATGAGTATTGTAGACTAGAATAAGTATAACTAATAAGAGTAGCCACCTAACAAAAGTAGCCAATTCTTAAATCAATAAAAGTAGAAGTATTATCAAGATCAAAATTGCTTACAAAAACGAGTAGAAATACAAATGCATACAAAGTTACTAGGATAAATAATTTGTAGGGAGACTCTAATGAGGATTGTGAAGCTACTATTTAATTGAGATAGTGCTAATGAAGGATACATAATTTAGGGTCTGTAACTTGAATGGATCCTTCCAACATATGTATACTTCTTTTATTCCAGACCTCAACGACGAATCATAATGAACATATATACTATATTACGACATTCATAAATCTCTCCATTTTTTTTCATATTGGCCACCACCTCCTCTCCTATTTATGAAAAAGATGTTCAACAATGAATGTGGGTGATTATATAAATGTCTAATTTAAAGTTACGAAAATAAATGATTTTGTGGACAACTCGAGTGAGCATTGTGTACAGTGGCGGACCCAGGAATTACATCAAGGGTATTCAACGATGAAATAAATCACCAAGGATTGTCAAATAGCTTTGAGTTCAAATACTATCATCACAAAAATAAAATTTTACAAAGGAATTTTGTCAAAAAATGAAAACAAGATTTGTCAATTGACAAGCCTTGGGTTAACCTAGGTCCGCCACTAATTGTGAAACTATTATATTATTAAGGTCCGCCACTAATTGTGAAACTATTATATTATTATTCAGATACTGCTAATGAAGGATTCAGATCTAGAGTAGCAGGGACATGAACGGATCCTTCTAACATATGAACAACTTTCTTCATTGCAGCCTCAAGGATGGATCCTCCCGAATGCACCATAACGCGATCTTCACAAGTCTCTCAACTTTCCCCATATCGGCTTTTTTTTTGTCAAAAGATAATCGATATATTGATCAGAAAAATAGGTAACTACACCCTGGAACTAAGCCAGGCCAGAAAATTAAAGTAACGACTTGTAGTCGGGTACAAAGAAAGAGCCTTTCTAGCCACCAAGTGGGCTGCCCTATTACTACGCCGACCTACAAACCGAACAGAGAAACCTCTCAACGAACCCAGTACCCCAACAATCTCCTCAAGGAGTGCCCCAACTCTACTATCCCTCGTATTAGCCTGAGCAATCTTCTCAATAAGCACCTTGGCATCACCCTCAAAACGCACCTCCACAAACCCCGAGTCTCGGCACCAGAGAACAGCTTCACGAAGAGCTAGAGCTTCAGCAACCAGTGGGTCCTCAATGCCTGCAAACTGAAAGCCTCTGGCTATCAGAATGTTCCCCAAGTGATTCTTCACCACCATCCCCCCTGCCGAGTGAGAAGCTACCTTAGTAGCCCCATCCCACAAGCAGATTATAGGGCAATGCGGAACCTCACACTCCGGAGTAACAGGACCACCCTGGCTTTTAACCTTCGGAAGATTGATCCACTCCTCGTATTGCTGGTGATATTGTCTCATCAAAGCTGGAAGCCCAAACTGTTTTCCTTCAAACACCACCCAATTCCGGGATCTCCAAATTCGCTAGAGGACAGCCGTAACCGCCATAACCAAGTGATCCTGACGGAGGAGATTCAACAATCCTTTCAGGAACAAGGGAAAAGTGTGGCGAGGCAGCCCCTGCCCGAGATATTCCAATCCAGCGTAGTCCCAGAGGGCTCGAGCCACCGGACAATCCAGGAACAGATGCTCCAAGGTTTCGGATTCCGCCCAGCAAACCGGGCAACGAGGGTGCACTGGGATCTTCCTCTCAATCAGAGCTTCAGTGGTTGGAAGGAGGCGATTTAGGATTTGCCAAAGAAAGACCCGTAGCTTCGGGGGAACAGGGGCCTCCCATACGCGAATCCAACTAGATCTACCCATCCAACTGACCGAAGAACGGCACCGGTCCTCCATCCTCTCCAACTGCCCCGCCAAATGGTAAGCCGATTTCACAGTAAAAACTCCATCCTGCGTGCCATGCCAAATGAGTCGATCCGCCACATTGCCACGAGGGAGAGGAATCTCCTTGATGAGCCGACAAGTACGCGGATCGAACCACCTAGCCAAGCGTTCTTCACACCAGGACCCCTCATCCCTATCGATAAGAGAGGCCACCCGCAAGACCTCATTGGCTAGCAATACACAGGGATTACAAGCAGGGATCATAGGGTGCAGGCTGGGGATCCAACTATCCAGAAGAAGCGGGGCAGTTTGCCCATTACCGATTTGCCAGCGAAGGCCCTTGCTCAATAATTGGCGCCCGAACAGAATACTCTGCCACCCCCAGGAGGGTCGGGACCGCGCTTGAGCGTCAAGGAAACCGCTCCTTCCCCATATCAGCTACTACCTCATTTTTATACTTGTCATGCCACACTGTTCCTCCCATTACTTTCCTACTTTTGTTTTTAGTCTCAATATTAATAATAAACAGAGCCTAATGTTGCAACCACAACAACAAAACTGTATTCCATGAATTTAGCATCTGTTATCTAATAAGTCAATTGAAAAGTCTATGGCGGGACTAATAAAGTAGCGGGTTAGATTGCCAAAGGTCACATAGTACAACTGGTAAAACTATTGAGAGTCCCTCGATTGGGAAGTGTGAGGTCCCGTGTTTGACCCACTTCAAGGCTACACTACAAGAAAAATTTCTTTTTTGCAACCAATAAAATTGGTCCCAAAAAGTATATATTTGGTTATTAATACATTTTTCGCGGCTAAAATTTTTTGGTAGCAGAATTGGTTGCTATAGCCGCGGTACGAATACCTAACGCAACCAAAATGATGATTGGTAGCGAAAAATAAAGCTACTGCAACCAATTTTGTCAATAGTAAAAAACCTCAGCTTTTCGTAACTATTTTAATTTGGTTGTCATTGTGCAAATGATAACCAAATTATGTGACTATTAGTAACCTATTCTTTTGGATGTAAAGTCTTATAAGTGATCATTAAATGTGGTTGAGAAATTAACATATGTCAACCAATAATATAATTATAATGATCAATTTTTTGTATGAAAGCTTAACACAAACATTAATTTTGGTGGTGAAAAATACATACGTAGACCAATTTATGCTATTTAAACAGGGTTTTAATAATTTGGTTGATTCACACCCACTTATAACTTAATTAATAGCCAGCCTTTTTTCTGAATGAACTATAGTTATTCCAACAACTAAACCTAAACCTAGATATTTATATTAGATTCGTGAGATATCATGTTCAAACCTTAATATTCTTCATTTCTGTGTTGCCTCTTTGATGACCACAGAAAAAGCCATCGAAATTCGAACTCATCATTTCAAAAGCGCCAAAATAAAGACCAAACGAAACAATATTTCTGGTTTGAATTTGGCTCCCTCCGCTATATACCAACCTAGCCATTTGCCCATAAAACAATGCGATCATTGAACTACATACTAGCTAGTACAAGGTTTACAATGACGTTTCTCATGGTTCATGAAAGAACAATAAGATACTGCTCTAGGGTTTGATATGGACAGGCAGGTTTATAGCATGAATCTGTATATTGTTTTCATCGGCAAGAAACTGTTCAATAGCAAACCAGTGTTATTAAAACCGAGCCGAGCATCTCGGTCCGACCGGAAAATCACCACCCGGTCACAGAATCGGCTCGGAACAGTCTAAAAGCCGCTCTGGTTTTATGTAGCGGTTGACGAGCGGCCGAGGCGGTTAATCGCTCGAGCCAATCGAGCCGCTCATCCGGTTTTTGCCATTCAGCCATTAAATTTAATTAAAAAATTGCAAGAAATTGAAAATTGAAATAAACCTAAAACGTCGGGCTCTCAAACTGAATCCTTATTTCCCTTTCACAATTTCGAAGGAAAGAGACGAGCTCTGATTAAGAAATGTCCACTATCTATAATGATAACTTTTATTAGGTACCGGTTCTCTAACGATTTTTAAACGTTTTAATGCCGGTTGAACCACTAAAGTACGAGCCGTTCGCATTATCAGATCATGCTCCGGTTCGATTCTAACAACATTGTAGCAAACATTATTATTGCCCTCGTCTCTTGTCTCTTTCTTCCTAAGCTTTATTCCTATTCGGCAGATTCTTCTCTACTTTGTCTCCATCCACTCTTTCTGGCCGGCCGAAGCTGATCAAGCTTGTTACAGCCTACAATTTCATTCCAAGTTGGCCGCCCGCCGCCGGCATGCTTATTTAACAATGGTCAAGTCTTGTTTATGTATAATTAAGTTTAGACCAAATCACCATAGCAAAAATCATTAAGTATCCCTTATTTTCTTACATTCCGATGGCTAATACTCTCTTTCCCCCCAATATAATATTTTAGCATAAACAAATTATGTCTTACATATTTGAATTTCATTTAATAAATAATCTCTAATCGTTTCATTCAAAGGGTGGGAGACTTTGATAAATTCGTTATTTCGGTTCGAAACATATCTCAAAATTTGCATTATGGTAATTACTAGCAATATTTTCAACAACATTTAATTAAAAATTAATTTAACCCTAAACTATACAACTAGTCGGTGCAGTTTTTAGCTTGAAAATTATGTTTGTAATTAACACTTTAAAACACTTTTCAACTTTTTTTTTTATAAATCTAATTTATAGAATCGTTTGGTCACTATCCTTTTGTCTTCAATATTTTGAAAATCTCTTGGACTTCATTTTTTCATATAAATCGTAGAACCCAATCAATCCCCAGAGGCAAAGCCATTTCCCACAAATGGCTAATTGCCAGCCGACACTCTGCCTCTCCTTATCACTTCTTCTTCTACTGCTTTGTTCCAAACCAGTCAACTCACAGCAGCCTCAGGCCAACATTTCATTAGGCTCGTCCCTTGCCGCCGGCGCATCCCAAGACTACTGGCTCTCCCCGTCCGGCGATTTCGCTTTCGGTTTCCAACAAGTCACCGGCGGCGGCAGAGGCAACAGCTTCCTCCTAGCCATTTGGTTCAACCGGATCCCTCAACGAACCGTCGTGTGGTCCGCCAACCGGAACGAGTTGGTGCCCGACGGGTCGACCATCAAGCTCACTGAGGACGGGAACCTGATCCTGGCCGACCCGTCGGGTCGGCCAGTCTGGAACCCGAACTCGGTCGGGTCCGGAGTTTCCTACGGCGCCCTTCTTGATACCGGGAATTTCGTATTGGCCGATCGAAACGCAACCGTTTTGTGGGAAAGTTTCGATCAGCCCACTGACACAATACTACCGATGCAAACTCTAGCGAGAGGTAAAAATCTCAGTAATGTTTTTTTTTTGTTCCGCTCTACAAGAGATATGCCCTTCTGCGACGGGTAATGCGGTCGCTAAAAGTCTTAATCGGTCACATTTAGTGACCAGTGAGTTTTGGTTGCGACTTTTTTTCCGACCAATTTTTGGCTTTAGTCACACTACATGATGATTTTCAAATTTCGTTTACATCCTTATCTAAAATGAATATTAGATATTTACCTGCCAAATAACACATTACATATAATTTTTAGCTAATGTAAAATAAGTATTGGACCATCTCATCGTTAGTAAAGCTTAAAATAAGTCGTATTCGACCATTCATACTCATTTCGTTACCTTAATTATAAATTTACATTTTTTTTGCTCTGATTTTCGTGATTTCACGATAAATTATGATTTTTTTACTACATTAATGAAGGTACTGAGCTGATAGCCAAATACTCCCGCACGAACTACTCGAACGGGCGATTCAAGCTCGACTTTCAAACCGACGGCAATCTGGAGTTCGAAACGACCCACTACCCGCAAATGCGGAGCAACTACCCTTACTACGAAAGCGCGACCGTCACAGCCGATAACTTGTCCTACAACCAGTCCGGGTCGCTGTTCATAGCCTCTACCAACGGGACGATCCTCGGCAACGTGTTCGACAACCGAGAGTCGAGAAACGATTTTTACCAGAGGGTAACAATCGATCACGATGGAGTTGTGAGGCAATACGTTCACCCAAAGCGAAACAACATGTCACGATGGCCAATGGAGTGGACCGTTTCGGATTCCCAGCCGCCGAATATATGCACCGGAATCAAAGGATTCATAGGCAATGGGGCTTGTGGGTTCAACAGTTACTGTCAAATGGAGAGTGGCATGTTCCCTAGATGCAACTGTCCACAAGGGTACGTTTTTATGGATCCAACGGATCATAGCAGTGGCTGTGTGAGGAATTTTGCTCCTCAAGATTGTGTTGTGAAGGATGGAAATGATGATGATGGTGACCAATTCGATTTCGTGGAGATGGTCAATACCGATTTTCCGAATGGGGACTACCAATTTCTGAACTCGGTTTCGGAGGATATGTGCCGGGAGGCTTGTTTGAGTGATTGTCTTTGTGACGCCGTGCTTTTCAGAGGTGGGTTATATGCTCTACGATTCTTAGGAGTTTGTTTGGTGATGATGATTGACTAACATTGAAGTTAATTGGTTTGATCATCATAATGTAGATGGGCAGTGCTACAAGAAGAGGATGCCGATGTCTAATGGGAATGTGGATCCAGCAAATGGAGGGAAAACCCTATTCAAAGTCAGGAGGCAGGATTCCACTTCCATTACAAACAAGAAGGATCACTCACATCTTAACACAAATGTTGGATGGTTTCTCTTGGGAGGTTCAATTTTTGTTAATCTCATCTTTCTCTTGGCTAGTTGTCCATGGAGGAAGAATCCCCCAAACAGCATAGATGGTGAAACCCTAGATCGAGGAGCTTTATCTTCGAACCTTCGGAGATTTACATACAGAGAGATGGAAACAACTACTGGAGGGTTCAAGCAAGTACTTGGTAGTGGCTCTTCTGGGGTAGTTTACAAAGGGGTTATTGGTGATCACAGCTCGAAAAAACTAGTTGCGGTCAAGGTTCTCGAGAAAATGCACGAGATGGAAGGCCACGATGTACGAGAGTTCACCACAGAGGTCACCATAATCGGTGAAACTAACCACAAAAACTTGGCAAGACTTGTGGGGTTTTGCGATGAAGGGCAACACCGTCTTCTGGTTTATGAGTTCATGAGCAATGGGTCTCTAGCCGATTTGTTGTTTAGAAGAGAGGTGAGGCCTAATTGGTATACGCGAACCCAAATAGCTTATTCGATAGCTCGAGGACTCGCTTATCTTCATGAAGAATGCATCACACAGATAATCCATTGCGACATCAAGCCACAAAACATCCTCCTGGATGACTCAATGACGGCCAAAATCTCAGATTTTGGCATTTCGAAGCTCATGAAGGCGAACCAGACACGAACTACAACCGCAATTCGTGGGACTAAAGGATACCTAGCACCAGAGTGGTTTAGAAATGTTCCTGTGACGGCTAAAGTTGATGTGCACAGCTTTGGAATTTTGCTCCTGGAGTTGGTTTGTTGTAGAAAGAACTTTATGATGGAAGTTGAGAAGGAAGAGGAGATGGTACTTGTTGATTGGGCTTATGATTGCTATTGTCAAAGGAAGTTGCATAAGTTGGTGGAAGAGGACAAAGAGGCAATGGAGGATATGAAGAGAGTTGAAAGGTTTGTGAAGGTTGGGATCTGGTGCATTCAAGAAGATCCCTCTTTGAGACCTGGGATGAAGAAAGTTGTTCATATGTTGGAAGGAGCGGTTCTTGTTTCCAAACCACCTGATCCCAGTTCCTTCATCAGTTCCATATGAAATGCCAACATTTTTTCCCCACACACTATAGGGAGCTTGGTCTTTTGTGTGTACTTGTGTAATGATTTGGATTCTAATGATGTACATATGGAGTAATAGTTCTTGGTGTATTGCTAATTGTAATTAAGATAGATTATTGGTTCATTTGATTGTTGGTTTGTTAGTGCTTTCTTCCTCTACATAGATTATCAGCTTTTTTTTACCTTCACATGATCTAGTTTTGGGTAGATCATGATAAGTTAGATAAAGATATGTTCTCTCTTGATAAAATTTCAGTTACCAATTAAAAAAAAAAGTTTAAAGACTGTCTAAAATGTTCTAATCATTTCATTTTTGGCATGTAACGCAAGGATATAAGTACGATATTAGTATATTTTACCATATTTATACAAAAAACTCAAAAAAATCTCAAAATTTAGGAATAAGCTCGAGGGTTGTAATGGTTTGATGGATATCACGACGCATTTGGAGCTGGATTATGTTTATTGTACATAAACAAAAGGTCGAACAAAGTACAGTAAATTGAGATTCGAACTCACAATCACGAAAGCCTACTATACGTACTCTCTCAAACACTAAGACGTAACAATATTCTAGGTTTTTGGATTTGTTAATGAAACCATATAATATAATCACTAATTAATAATTATATTAAACTACATACTAATACAAGTTACGGGGCATTTGTCTCATCATTCAGGAAAAAACATCAGTAAGGCATATTAATTATTCTAGGGTTTGATATGGACAGGCAAAATATAATGTGTTTAAGATATAGATTTGATCGGCAGGAACTGTTTCATTTGCAATATTTGCCAGTCTCTTTGTTCCCGAGTCCTGACCTATATCCGATCCCTGTTCGGCAGGTTCTTCTATCTCTCGTCTCTATTCAAACTTTTTGGCCGGCCAAAGCTCGGCCAAAGCTCCGGTCAAGCAAACTTTTTCCAAGTTGGCCGCCTGCAGGCTTTGTTAATTAACAGCGGTCACGTCTCACTAATTCCACTTATATATCAATTTTAGTGTCTATAAAGTCGTTTGTTGTTTGATGCACAAATGGTCGATCATTGCACTTTTGAATCATTGACAAATTACTCACTGATGAGCTTAGTGTGTTAAGTATAAACAAAAATTATAGTTGCTTTGGAGGTTGGGCTGACTGGCAGGATAGTAACTTTAATGACATAAGGGTAATAAGAAAATAAAAGCATGCACATATTTACGTGATTTGTTAATGTATGTTAGCTTGTTCATGACCTATAATAGATTAGTTTGTCAATGATTATATTGAGTTTGTGATCAAAAGGAGTTTATTAGTTACCTTCTCTAAACCATAAAAAAAAAGGCAAAAAATCATTTAGCATTAAGTTCTATTTAAGGATTAGAGTCCGCGACCTTGAGGGTGAATACCAGTAGTAATACCACTACACCAAATCATGTTTGCCAAGATTAAGCTTTAGTAATGTAAATATGATTTAAAATTTGCAACCCATTTTGAGCTACCATAAAAAAAACTCGTGCACCATAAAAAAAATTATGACTTTCAATCGATGATGGACAAAATTTCAAGTCATAGAGCTCATAGCAAAAAAAACTCTGTCTATACAAACATATTAACAACTACATACAATAGTTGGTTAGTTTCATCGTTAGACATCAAATCGAGTCCGAGTCCAGCATTATGTCTATAACGTTAATTAAATTCGGTAATTGGGGATTGCTCGGCAGTAGGCGCTGAACTTTGGGCTTTTAAGCAAGGCTTGGAGTTGGCTTGGAGGCGCGGATTTAGACTTCTCATCGTGGAAACGGATTCCCAGCTGGCTATCGACCTCATCCATCACAGGACGGACCAAGTTCACCCTTTAGCTTCCCTTTTGAGCTCTATTCGCAGGTTATTGGTGCAGGATTGGTTGGTCAACATTGGGCATACATATCGAGAAGGGAATAGAGTCGCGGACTGGCTCTCGAAGCATGGTCTCGTCTATCCCTACGGTATGTATGAACTTGTTGACCCGCCAACCCCTCTAGTTGGTATTCTCCAGGACGATGAACGGGGCATTGCTTTGCCTCGAAACGTCGTCATCCATTCTTCATCTCCCCTGTAACCCCTGTTTCCCTTTCTTGGCGGTTGGCGCCTCCTGTGAATAAAAAAAATTAAATTCGGTAATCGAGGTGTTCTTAAGCCATCCCGCACCAATGGAGAAAAAAACACAGGACCATCAGCAATGCCGCCACATGGCCTTGGAATTGCGCCGGCTGAGCTCCAATCTCCATAGCACTCGGTCAAATTATGGTCATCACTACCCTTTACTTTCTTTTGTCTCCTACCATTTTTGTTAAAAAGAATTCTCCACATCGCAACCGATCTCATATTCGAGCTGTCTTTATATAAAGCATCTAACCCAAACATCAACCTCCCCCAAAAAGACCAAAAATCATTTCCGGCAAATGGCTAATTATTACTCTCCCCAATCCAAATTCTACAACAACTACTACTACTCGTCGTTATTACTCCTCTTTCTATCCTACCTGCCGTCCACAATCAACTCCCAAAACATTTCATTAGGCTCGTCGCTCACCGCCGGCGCCAAGGACTACTGGCTCTCCCCGTCGGGGGAATTCGCGTTCGGGTTCCAACAAGTCGCCGGCCAAGGCGACGGCTTCCTCCTAGCCATTTGGTACAACAAAATCCCACAACGAACCATCGTGTGGTCCGCCAACCGGAACGGGTTGGTGCAAACCGGGTCGACGGTCAAGCTGACCAAGGATGGCAGCTTGATGCTCGCCGACCCTTCTGGCCGGCAGGTTTGGGGCCCGAACGGAGTTGGGCCCGGAGTTTCCTACGGTGTTCTGTACGACACGGGAAACTTTGTACTGACCGATCGAAAAGGTGTCGTTTTGTGGGGGAGTTTCGATCAGCCGACGGATACCATATTACCTACCCAGATCATGAAAAAAGGTAACAAAAGGTTTATGTTGGAATTGATCTAGTGATAGAAATTTTTGATCCGATTCGTGCGACCAAATTTGTTTCGATCTGTTTGAAGTGAGTATTATCCTATATATCCGCAATAGTGTAGGGTGAAGTATGGGTATTGCTTCTGATATGCCCGTCCAGTTTAGTTCTTCTCGGTTTTATTTATCAAGATTTACATCAATATCTACATGTATATCTCATCTTATGATCTTTGTAAAATCTATATTTCCATCCCATAAAAATATAAGAACTCTACCTTTTAACTTATTATACTCGACTATTCATTCTACTATATTTCTTCTTCATTTATGAAAGGTTTTCTCCAATTTTTTTTGTAATTTTTTTAATCAAAGTTCTTTTGTTTAAAATTAGAAATGGGTGGATTCGCTCCGACCCATACCCTCACGGGTATTACTCACACTAACCCGCACTTAGGGGTCGTTTGGAGAACAAGATTTGGATGATGGATTTATTGAATCCATAAATTTGGCAAAATATTTTATTTTTTCTACTTTTTGTATCGTGAATTGTAGTTTTAAATCTCTAAAATCTAGAGATATCAAATATCTCCTAATTAGAGAGATTCTACATCTTGATTTTAGAGATTTTCTCTCTCTTACTCTATTTCTTCCTTTTTTTATATATCCCACTAAATATCCTTATTGATAAATTTTTCAATATTTTTTTGAGCCAATTTAATTATTTTGGTTAAGCATAAATATGTCATTTTATAAACAAATATAATTTCTTTTTTATTGTATGTTAACAATCGCAGTTATCAAACAATGAACATTATCAAATCTTTTTTCAACAATCCGGAGAGTTCAAATCTTTGGATTGTTTAGAATATAGAGATTTAGACTCTAATTCTCCAAACGAGCCCTTATTGTCGGATGGATATAGATATTGAGGTGATCGCCCGTCTCATTATCATCACTAAATCTAATGAGTTCCAACTCATTATCTTTTGAATAAGTTCATTGTTATAAGGAAATGAATCTATATATTCACTTCTAATTTTCTTTTAACTCCTTGATTTAGAGCTGAATCGCTATTCGTCGCCCTAAAATTCAAATTTTATCGCCCTAAAATGCACCAAATTGGCAATCTTACCCTTTCACCCCAATTTCCCGAAACAAACAATCTGTTATCCTGCTAACCGCCGCCGACCTCAACCACGACGCTGCTGTCACTGTGGGACTCTTCACTCCGGCAGCTGCCCACCTCAATCTAACCGCCGCTGGTGCTCGCTGCTGGGATCGAGCCAGAGGAGTAAGAAGACGAAGAAGAATACCGCCGCCTAACTCCTTTGTCCTGCTGCTGATAATTATTCTCTCCAGCCCACTGGCCACCTAAATCCAACCATCGTCGCTTGCCTACTGCTGATGCCGGATTCTTCTATTGGTAAATTATCTTTGCATCATAAATAAAATTGTAGTGGGTTGGTTGGCATAGCCGTAGGGCCTGCTGATGAAGAAGAAATGGTGTAGAATACAAGAAGTGTGCATTTGTTTTTTTTTTTTTTTTTCCAGGCGTCGGAAGGGTGAAAATCCATCTCCGGCGTGATTGGGTTTTCAATTTTTTTGTTTGTTATTTTGGTGTATTTTAAACTTGTAATTCATTAATTTGTTTTTTGATATTTTATTTTGTTATTGAGTATAGGCGTATACCTAAATGGGTTTGTTTTAGTGTTTATATAAATTTTGAAAGATAAGAATTAAGTTAAGGTTATTTGAGTCATTTTAATAAAAGTTAGGGCGACGAAGAAGGTGTTTTAGGGCGACGAATAGCAATGCCCTAGTTTTATCTTTTCTTCAAATTTAATTACTTCTCTAGGCCAAAAACAAATCACCATTCACATTACAAACATTTTTGTTAATTTTTCTCTCTAAATTCTTGATCTTTTACTAACTTGAAGGTACCGAAGTGATATCCAAATACTCATCAACGAACTACTCCACCGGAAGATTCAAGTTCATGTTCCAAACCGACGGCAACTTGGTGGCCTACACGACTTTCTACCCACAAACAGTCCGCAACTACGCGTATTGGGCAAGCGCGACGAAATCCACCGGAAACTCCGTCACCTTCAATGAATCCGGCAGCGTCTTCCTCTCCTCCGACAACGGAACGATCCTCCTCTACGTCTTCACCAACCAAGAACCGACCCAAGATCTGCACCAGAGACTGACAATCGACCACGACGGCGTCATTCGCCTCTACGCCTACCCAAAACAGAGCAGTACTTCCGCCGGCAGGAGATGGCCGGCGGAATGGACGGCGCTCAGTTTCACGCCGGCGGACATCTGCGGCCTGATGCGAGCAGATACCGGCAGCGGGGCTTGCGGGTTCAACAGTTACTGCCAGATCGAAGATGCCCAGTTTCCCAATTGCAAATGCCCAAATGGGTATAAGTTCTTGGATCCTTCCGATGAGAGCAGGGGATGCCTGAAGACTTTCCCCCCGCAGGATTGTTCTTCTTCGGCGGGAGAGGAGGACGGGCAGTTCGATTTGGTGGAGATGGTGAATACGATCTTCCCCTCGGGTGATTACGAGTACTACCAATCGATATCGGAGGATATGTGTCGAGATCTCTGTTTGAGCGATTGCTTGTGCGATGCGGTGACTTACGAGAGCGCGTCTTGCTGGAAGAAGAGGGCGCCATTGACGAATGGGTACATGGATCAGGAGAACACAGGGAAGACTCTGCTCAAAATTCGGAGGCAGAATTCGACTTATTCGACGGCGGGGGAGAGGAAGAAGAATGATCAATCGAGGAAGCTAATGGCGACTGCGGGATGGGTTCTTCTGGGTAGCTCTGTTTTCGTTAATTTGATGTTTATTGTGGGTAGCTGTCCATGGAGGAAGAAGAATCGGAGGATGAACCGAGTTGGGGATGAGTCGGATGAAGCGATGGAATCGGCGAATCTCCAGAGGTTTACGTACAGAGAGATGGAATCGGCGACGGGAGGGTTCAAGCAAGTGCTCGGCAGTGGTGCCTCCGGCACGGTTTACAAAGGGGTTTTGGGTGAAAGAGCAGGGGAATTGGTTGCAGTCAAGGTGCTCGACAATATGCCTGAGAGAGATGGTCACGACGTGAGGGAGTTCGCCACTGAAGTGAAGATAATCGGCGGGACCAACCACAAGAACTTGGTGAAGCTAGTTGGATACTGCAACGAAGGGCAGCATCTGCTTCTGGTTTACGAGTTCATGAGCAATGGGTCGTTGGCCGATTCGTTGTTTGGTGGTGGAGAAGGGACGTTTCCCAGGCCCAATTGGTATACGAGGACCCAGATAGCTTACTCGGTTGCGAGAGGACTGGTTTACCTTCACGACGAATGCAGCACTCAGATTATTCATTGCGACATCAAGCCACAGAATATACTGCTCGATCAAGGAATGACTGCCAGAATTTCGGATTTCGGAATATCCAAGCTTATGAAGACGGATCAGACCAGGACCACTACCGCGATTCGCGGGACCAAAGGTTATCTGGCGCCGGAGTGGTTCAGGAATGTGCCTGTGACGGCTAAGGTCGACGTGCACAGCTTTGGCATTGTGCTTCTGGAGCTGGTTTGTTGCAGGAAGAGCTTTTTGCTGGATTTCGAGAAGGAAGAGGAGATGGTACTGGTAGACTGGGCCTATGATTGCTACAGCAGAGGGAAGTTGTATAAGCTGGTGGAGAAGGATGAGGATGCGATGGAGGATTTGAAGAAAGTGGAGCGATTTGTGAAGGTTGCGCTTTGGTGCATTCAGGAAGATCCTTCGTTGCGACCTGGGATGAAGAAAGTTGTTCATATGTTGGAAGGAGCGGTTCTTGTCTCTGAACCTCCCGATCCCAGTTCCTTCATGAGTGCCATATGATATGCTCGATATTGTCCTGTGAGGACTTTCGTTATTTAATTTGTGTATCTTTTTTGTGAAATCTTTTAGAATTTAATCAAGTACATATGTATAGAAATAATTAAGTTTATGAGACAACAGTAGTAATATGGATACAAATGGTTAAGATTTTTTAAAGTCGTGAACATTAGGAAAAGACACAAAAGAATTTCTATGGCCAATCTCGAGTCTTTGACAATTTGAATGATGGAGACAAATCAACTATTTTCAAAATATAAAAGCTTATATCAATTGCATAATCTCATATATGAATCATAGTAATGTAAAAAATAAATAAAAAACTTTGAACACAAAAAAGTGAAAACCTTATGCAAGTTCTTGCCACTAATATTAATAAGCCAAAATGTGTGTGGCTAAGTTACTAAAAGGTTGAACGATCACTAGAACTCATGGGGAGAGATCACTCATATTGTCGAGAGTGGATGTTGTGGATGTGGTATACACCGCAAGAGTTTGGCGATTGCGATTAGGAGTGTGTAACGGTTTGGTTGTCACCATATTGTACCAGATCAAGCCGACATTTGTACCGACCATATAGTCATTGATATGAGCTTGGATTGCTTCCATTCCAAGTTAGAATTGTTTGTTCAAGAAGCTAAGTCAACTCATTTGCACAATATGAATTTTTGGCTGAGTATTATGATGAGTTCGGGTAGCCAACTTTGCGAGCTCTAACCTTCCAATTGGGTTGATAGAAATGCGAGGTTAAGGTGTTGTCTTGAAGATAAACACTTCCTCTACAAGATGGCATGGGATTCGGGTCCATACAAGGTCGTTAAGGCTATGTTTCAAGACCTCAAAGTAGTTGTCTCAAAACTGGCGAACTGCCAGAATTTGGCCAAGTCTGGAGGCATGGTCAGGAAGGTCATTTTGGAGCTCCATTCAGGGAAGATGGGTTCGAATCAGGGAAGTATCTTTGTACCACTTGAAAGTGTGTTTGTTTGTCTACATAAGCAAGGTATTGGCTAAGGAGATAGAGACCTGGAGGGATGTGAACATGAGGGTCAAAGTTGCTATGGAACCTGTTTTTGAGGCAGCTTACGTGAGCTACAAGTTTTGGGTATTATGGACGAGTTGGGATTCCTTTTCTGTTTAGGTCTGTTACTTTTAGACGTAGTAGGATTCATTAGCTTCCCTTGTTTGTTTTGTACTCGAATTAGGTTTTAGTTTGCTTATTTAAAGACCTACAAACTTCATTGTAATAGTTAGACGTTAATCAATTAAGAACTTTTTCATTGAGTTTTCAACTCGTGGATTGTCCTTGTTGCTTGGTTCAAATCGCCAACAACGAGCGAGCCTTGTATCGATTGAGTCATCACCTCAATCGTGGTCAGACGAGTCAACATATTTATTAGATATGATAATTTGTCGATTTATTGACTAATTTGATCCAATTGTCATTATCCGTATAGGTATTTAGACGGACCCAGAGCAATATACTTAATTACTACCATCTGGAAGAAAAACTTAATACTGATGTAGTTGTTCGGATGATCATTCTAAGTTTCAAACTACAAAGACAAATTTATTTTTGTTTGAATGACTGAAATTTTAGTGCCCAAAAGTATAGAGACAAGTAGACAACTAATCTTATTGGCTATCTATTTCAAGCTGGCAGGCTTTGGTTGACAGTCCATCACTAACTGGACCCAAGTTCTGAAGCAAGTGCATTCTGGTCCTGCCCAATAAAAGCCCATAAATCAATCAAATCCTTCACTTTTGCTCTAAAAACACTTTGGTCCCCCACCTAGCATATTTATTCCTTACTAACTCCTAAAGTTCTTCATTTTGTTGTTTCTGGTGTGGCTGAAATTCTCAATCTTGAATATTGGTAGATGGTCTTGCAATTGCATCGATTTATATTTTTACAATGATAGAAATAGAATCGTCCACTCATAGGCATGTCAGTTTTGTATTTTGACTCTGTACTCTGTAGCCTTTTCAAGAGAGTCACATAATTTCAAACATTTTTTTTCCGCATAATATTTAATTCTAAAGTGTTTGAATAACATTTCTAGCATTTTAAAAGAAAACGCATAAAAAATTGTATGTCGATTAGAAAAATTACTAATGAGCAATTTTACAGAGTGGCATGGTAAAGTACAGAACACCACACATGAGCAAATGACTATTTACTGACACGATACTGGACTTCCCATTTCTACCCACATACCCCTTGAATACAGCCTTAATTACACATATTGCCACCCACTCGCATACCCTCTCTCAAATCTCGCATCAAACCACACTACCATTTTCAGATTACATTGCAATCTGAAAAATACACAGTAAGACGCACAGAGGCGACGCAAACACAGCAGCCAAGCAGTGTCTCTGCTGCACAAGAGAAAACCAATCCAACAATTATCTCTATCCTTTACTCTCCCTCTCTTTTTGCCTCTGTACCCTTTTGCTTCTTTCCTCTGCTGCTCTCTTTCTTTCTTTGTTTCTGCTTCTTCTTCTCCTCTTCTCCTGCACTCTCTGGTCTTTGCTTGTGCCGTCAATGCAAATCCTCAACACATAATCGAATCTCCGTGTTTCTTGATCTGGGTATCGACTGTTTCTTCTTAGATCACTGATTTTTGGGGAGAATCCACCTGGGTCTTGGTCGTTTTTCACCTTCACTTCGGCAGATTCAAAGAAATGGGCCTCCAGCTCAGTATGCAAATAAGCTTCCTTCAATATCAGGTTTGGAGTTTCCCCCCTCTCTCAAACGTTTTTTTGAAGGGAGAGGAAGAAAGTTTGTTGCCTTGTCGCATATTTTGCATTCCTTATCTTCCGTCGTCCTCGAAGCTCATCTGGTTTTCATTTCTGTTCCTTCCAAGTTCTGTGTGTTGATGAACTGAAGTTCTCTACTTCTCTTGTATGTATATCTCTGGATCTTATTTTCTATTTGGGGTTTTTGTAAACCCCTAGTATTTTATGGTTCCCAGATATCGAATTGGGTACTTGTGCTATTTATTTGTTACGTCTTTCTCTTTGATTCAATCTCTCTTTTTCCTGCAAATTGGAAACCCCATGCTTATGTCAGTTCTCTTTGGTGGGTCTCTGCCATTACCTTCTTATGTCACTCTTGCCTGCTTATAGAATCTTCTGATTTGGTCTAGCAGAAGCAAGTTTTCTTTTGCTGCTGAAAAAATTAGTACTTTATGAGGAAAAGTTCATGAGTTGGGACTTGAAGAGAAGTAGGCAGCCTTGTTCTGTATACTATGATATAATCCATAAGCCAAGGCTTGTCTTTTTATTCCGAGTCATGGCAAGTTTGAGACTTGGCTTATGTTACCATTGCTTTGAGGTAGATAGATCATGCATTGGGGTTTTATCAATTTCACTCAACTTTAAAGTTGGTCTCTTTGGATAATGTGACCCAAGAGAGTAAAGTTTCAAATTTTTTTATTGGTCGTCCCTGCATAACTATGAAATTAATGATCTTGGCTAGCTTGACTTTGCATGGAATGTAGGTGTAAGAAGATGGTTTTGTGGCTACATTGGGATTGAATTAGTAATGGCTCTCTTATCTCTGGCTTTGCAGGGGAGTTCTTCTTCTGTATGAGCTTTCTAACTATTGGGAGATAATAAGGAAATTATGGGTAGAGGTAGGGGAAAAGGAAAGAGGTTGACTGTGAGCAATCACGACGATGCTGGTAGTGGTGAAGAGGAAAAGGTTCCTGCACAAAAGAGAAGAGGGAGACCACAAAAGCCATTGAAAGATGAGTTCGAGGAAGAGGAAATGGAGACCATGATGGAGGAGGAAGATGTGGTGGAAAATGGGAAAGCAATGAATAACACTCCTAGCAAAGAGGCAAAAAGTCCAACGGCATCAGAGAATGGGAAGAAGAGGAGACGCAATTCTCAGCTGCAGGCTAAGGGAAAACTGCCAGATTCCGTAATGAAGGAAGAGAATGTGGTAGTAGCAATTACCAATGACCCAATCAAGTCTAACGGGTTTAGGCAAAACGGGAGCAGGCGGAAGAACAAGCCTCGTCGAGCTGCTGAGGCTGGAGTTGAATGCAAATGATAGGGCCCCACTGAATGATTGTCATGTGTCAAGATTGGTCTCGGTTTTAACTCTGGCGGATGAAGATACAAAGTGAGGCCTTAGGAAATGAAATCTCTATTAGTTTTGCGATGCTGGTTTTTTATCTAATTGTTTCTTTTTCTCCCTTTTGGGGTTGATCATTCGAGCAGGCAGGCAACTTCATTATTGTTAGTTTCTCTTCTTGCAACAGTTTATAAATGCTGATATTCTGCCTGTAATTTTGATTGTGACGGTGTTCATGGCTTCATACAATCCAATCCAGTGGCTTTCTTGTATCATATGATGTTCATGTCTTGCTGTAGTTTTTCGTTCTTTCGGTTATACGAAATGGCATCTACAGGAGGTAGCATTTTATAGTTGATCACTCAAAAATCTGCTTGCCAACTGCTCTTATGTTTGACCATGCTTAGTTTAGAGGCTCAAATGTTCCACCTTTAATCTTTTTCTTGTATCACTCATACTTTAATGACTAGTGCAAATGGCGTTTTCATTGGAATGTAAGCAAAAATGGGATGGTGGGTTGGTTGAGATTATGTTAGTTATAGATAGGTGTACCTAGATCTTTCCATTGTAATTTGACATGGTTTTTAAAATCAACAGATGAATCTTGTTTCTGTGTCCAAACTAAAGTTTGGTAAGACTAAGAATTTTGGGGGTCTTGGCCTTTTAGGTTTCTTGTTTCAGACTCAAAGTTCTCTCATTGAGCGGTTGTTGAAGCAGAACAAAGGGTTTGTTTCCTTTTGTTGTAATGATACTGCTAAATATGAGTTGTTGAAGGACTCATGCAATGTCTTTATAGTAACTTAAGGTGGTGGGATGTTTTTGCTGAAGTTAGAAGAATGGCAGGTAGGTGTGGTTATGATGGGGTGGAAGAAGAAGGCTAATTGTCCATTTTTATCATTCATTCCCGTGACAAGACCATAAAGATAAAATTAAAAATCAAAACTTTAAAAATTAAGGTAATAGTCCATTCATAAAATGGAGTATGGTTAAGATCTAAAAGGATGAGTATAGAAGTAGGGGCAAGGAAAACTAAACACACATTTCTATCCATTCTTACCCATTATAAAGCTAAACACACATTTCATCCTCATTCCTACCCATTATATTTATAACGCATCTTCATACAAATCTCATGTCTGGTTTTCACATATTAATTAGGTGTGAGCAAGTTAGTTGTGATTTTTACCCTCCTTTTTTTCCTAATGAAGATCAGTGTACAATGATTAATGTTACATCGGTCCGTATTAAATCATTTCTAAATCTAATTCAGCTTTTGTAAATCGTCTTAAGAATACCAAAAAAAATCACCATATATTGAAATTAAACTTTATTATATTGAATATAATGCGATTTTGATTCATTCTGAATTTTCATTACCACCTCGTTCCCGTCGTCCCCATAGTAATCTCATATCGAATAAATAAACCACTCAATTGCTTCATATTAACTCGGTACAAGCTAATCCTAGGCATAAATCATTCGGATCCAACTCTGGAATCCGTCCAGGTTTTAACACGGATGTGGAAGACACTATAAAGTCTAAACGAGTAAACGTTGATTGTTGACTGAAAGCAGGGGCATCTTATTGGGCCCGGGGCTCCGACTAGGCCGGCCATGTGGGCCTGCTGGAATATCTGCTGCTGCTGCCATTTTTTCTTTAATTATTCAAACCTTCTTGCTCAAGGTTACTTACTTCTTGCCTTAAATCCTTAACATCCAAAAAGAAAAGAAAAGAAACAACGGAGAAAGAATCTCTCGTGATCCACCCTTTTCCCCCTTTTGTCGTTTTCCTCTTCCAGCCATTCTTGTGATTTCAACGTACAAATTCATTAACGTTTGGAGAATATGAGTTTAAATCTACAGATTATCAACAATCTAAAGATTCTAACTCTTCGGATTGTTGAAAACAGATTTTGAAATGTTTATTGTTTGGTAATTGTGATTGTTAACAATAAAGTAAAATAAAAAATTCATTTTTATATTAAATAACATGTTTATCCTTAATAAAAAATTAGAGTGGTTCGAGAAATATAAAAAACTTTGTTGATAAATATATTTCATGTGATAAATAAATAAAAGGAAGAGAAAAATTAGGAGAGAAAAAATCTCACGAATCAAGATACAGAATCTCTCTGGTTATGAGAGATTTGATATCCGCAGATTTTAGAGATTTGAAATCTCTAAAGCTAGAATCCAATATACAAAAAATAACAAAAAAACATAACTTTCTACAAAATCTACGGATTCAATGAATCCATGTCCTGAATCCTGTTCTCCAAACGACCCCTAAAAGTATCATAAACCTAAACTATGACTTCCATTTAGGATGGCAATGGGTCGGGTTGGGTCGAGTTTTGCTAAACCCAAACTCATGGATTTATCGGTGAAAAAACTCGGGAGAAATACACAACTAGGATTATGCCAAATTGATTAAGCAATGCAAGTTTTGTAATTAAGTTTTTGTTGCCCTTTAATATTTCATTTGTTGATGCATTTAGCCTTTCAAACCTTGTTGTTTAAGTCTATTTAATTGCCTTTATGACTTTCCTTTCATTTAAATTAACTTTTGATTAATCGAGTTAGCCAAGCATTTGGAGAAGGATCCCCTTCATGAATAAATAAAATTGCAAAATAAACAAGAACGGGCGGGGTTTCCGTTACATAGGTGAATGGCTCTATGTATGTTTAGATCACATTCGTGCAACTATCCAAGATCACGGTTCATCGGTGATGTGCCTTTGCCCTCTTGGCGATTAGGATGCTCTTTTGGGATGCATTTCGTTGGTGTTTGGCTCATTCTTACACTAGTGCTTTATTTTGTGGTGATGCGCAGGTGATTGTCAGGATGATCAATGCGAAAGACTCGTCGCACATAGTGAGTGGAGTTTTTCCTGCAAGGAACTCAGGTGTTGTGGACTTCATTCCTGTATACAACTTTTCTTTTCGCTCCCCGTGACCCCGTGGGTATATTAGGGCTGCGTCCATTCTTTGCCTGATCCAGTGCTGGTGGGAAATATGAAACATGGGCTTGACTTGATTGGGCCCTACGCGGCTTCTGGTCTTAATCTTTAGCCCATATGAATTTCAAGAAAGAGCTCGATCATCTACAAGAAGAAGAGGCTCTTCCACAAGTGGGCCGGGCCCGAAAATAGATAATGAGGGTCCAAAGTATGGTCGTCAACAGTGGTCCTAGATTCTATTCTATACACAAAAGCATATATATACTCAGTCCTCAGTCAGCATACATGGGATAAGAGGATGCCCTAATTTCAATTAATCAACGCCTTCTTATCTAATTGCTACGTAGTACGTACTCAAAGTCATTGCATTGTTTCTACTTGGACAAATTGAGGTCAACATTTTAATTAGCTAATTAAGGTTTTCTTTCTGCCATGAGTTTTGACTTTGACGTCTAGTTGATAGATTTTCTTTTATGACTAGTAGATAGTTAGTTCATTACCAACCAATTAAACATGTGTGGATTTCGAATTAACGTGGATGAGGTGGAAATATTATCATATAGTGGTATGAAATGTTATACTATTCTCGATAATTTGAATTACTAGACCAATTGAATCTGGACATACCACATATAAGAATTTGTATTTAAAAGGTCTTTTATAAAAAAAATCAATTGATTCTAATAATCTAAGTTATTGAGAAATGTTCAGTATGAATCTTACATTATTTACTAACATGCTCCATCAAACGAAAGTTTACTTATGTTCCAACTATCACGTGATTACATTGAGATCGTTGGAATTTGAATACAGTAAGATCTTATCAAAGCATTTGATATATATATATAATACCAATAACCATGGAACGGTCTTACTTCCACTCCAAATTGTATCCGGATTTCCAAATGCATGCACGTTTGCTTCCACACATACTGGATAAACTTCTTCATTAACAATAAGTATACATAAACAAGTAGGATAATATATGGCAAGCTGGTTAAGCAATGCAAGTAGTGTAAGTTGGTCTATTTTTCAATATTTTCTTCCTCCTATATGTATGGTGGATACTTTTCTTATTCTACGTGGAAATTAAGCCAGTCTCTTGTAATCTTGTTGGTCAACTTTGTTGGCCGGTTTTCATGTGGTTTGGTAAGGTTTGAAGATTTATTTTGATGGCTGATTTTGGCCTTGAGATTTTAGAACTCCGATCTTAGAATAGATATATGATTTCATTCATGCTATCACTGTTAAAACTTGTGAGAAACCCCATCATATAATCATCTTCTAAAATCCTAGTTGTTTAGTAGATAATGTACAACGATCAATTAGATGATTACAGTTTAACAAAATTTTCTATTTAGAATTAGATATTCCGAGAACAGTATAATGATATTAAAATTAAAAAAATCTACTTATACGATAGGGAATGAAAATAGAGTTTTCGAGCCTTTAAGTGAACTACCCTAGCTAGGACTGTTAGTTTGGCTTGGTTAAGCAACCATAACCATTAATCATGCAAAAAAAAAAATCAGGTGAATTTCCCAAAACCAAAACCAAATTAGGGGAACCTATATGATAAGTCCCTTAACGGTTTTGATTGGATAAACCATACACGTAGTTTGGGAACTTCAAAACGAAGTCAGAAAAGACAACAAGAAAGATGAAGATAGAAAAAAGTCCACTACACATAACTTATAGTTGGTGACAACACGTGTAATTGACAGGAATATAATTGACTTAGTCAGGGTGTTATTGATTTCTTATTAATTTTTATTTTATTTTCATCATAACCAATAAGATGGTGTATACAGTTTTAAAACACACAACCAAAATCATTAACGTTCATATGTGTGCAGTTTCCGTTAAAACCGAAAATCGAAAACCAAACCGAAAGCCCTAACCTACCTTCATCACGAATACAGCACCACTAGAAACCTCGGTCTAGCTAGATAGTCCTCCTCTTATTTTGATACAACATCCCATGTTGGTTGTTAGTCCTCCTGTATATTTTGATACAACATCCCATTTTGGTTGTTGACACACTTAGCTTGGTCCAATTCTCTTCCAGTTTCCTGCTATTTCGTCCCTGTTTTCAGTATCTCCAAATCTGAACAAGTGGACAAATCTTCCAAAAATTTGATGCGTTTGGTTCAAGTTCCATTGCACCAAGACCATCAACCATATATAACTCGTACATCACATTTTGATACATGACTACAAGATTTCCTCAACGTACTTGTGATTGCCGAACTACCTACAAAAATGTTTGGCTAATTTACCTTTATGCCTTCCTAACTAACTAGTACATCAATTAATGAAAGGCGTTACAGATTTGAATTCACACATGGTTTGGAAGGTTTGGCATTCATTAGTACTCCTACATACTGTCATCGTAGTGGCTACGGATAGAATCATAGAACCATTGTGTCCGTCTGGAACACTCTACATGGACTTTTGAGACGTTCATAATCCTCGAAGTTTGCCGTCTTTGATAAATCTCTCTCCTCATAATGAAAATTAATCAAAGGATAAATTATAGACAACTCAAAATTATCCATCCATTTGAATGAAAATACAATCAGTCTAGAACAATGTATAGATATGTGAAGCAAAAAATACTATTGTCAAGTCAATCAAAATATTTACAGATTCGCATGACCTACGTGGCTTTCCATTTTTCTCCTAACCAATACTAATCCTCTTTTATGGACTTCCCTAAACCAAAAAAATATATATATAAATTTGTTACGTGATGATAATATCAGAGAGGGAGTAAACAGTAATTTTCGATGCACACCACTCTCTCTATAAATATAGGGGAAAGAGAGGAGACGAGAAGCTACAGATACCAATTAGTTATACTCTCCCCTTCATCGGCGGAAAATCAGATATGGCGACGGTTTTCAGAATCGGTGACGGTTTATTCTCCCTCATCTCCTTAAAACTACTCTTCTTGTTTGTTGGAGCTGTTGTTTGCCTTCCCGGCCGCGGCTCGCCGTCGCCGTTGCTCGACGGTGGTCATCAACACAATATTTCGACTAATACGTCGGCGTTCAATCGTCGTAGCTTCCCGCCGGGCTTTCTCTTTGGGACTGCGTCGTCTGCTTATCAGGTAACGATAACTTCCGATCGTCTTTTTCATTTCATAATTTATTTTTTTTTATGGATGATATATATTTTATTTTATTTTATTCATTTCAGTATGAAGGTGCGGCAGCGGAAGGTGGGAGAGGACCCAGCATTTGGGATACTTTCACTAAGATTCCAGGTCATAATATTTTTTTTTTTACAGTCTCTATCTCCCTTAAACACTCAGTACAGAATAATTAACCGTCTCATGATCTCCACTTGGTCACGAATACAAATGTTAATTACAGTATGTTATTACCCTTGTTATTATAACCGAGCCGGATCGGCTGACCGGATCAATAGAATCGTCGACTCGATTAATGATAACGAGTTGGTCGGTCCGTCTGGTCAGTTGTGTATTTTTAATATATTCAACGGAAAAAAATATAAACGACTAACAATTATATAACACTAATTTGTTTGAATCAACTCTCGGTTCGATTCTGAAAACAAGACGCGCTGTTATACGGTAACATTTAACTGATGGCAAATGTTGACGATTGGTGAAAATGGCACAGGTAAAATTAGCGACGGTAGCACTGGGGACATTGCGGTTGATTCGTATCACCGTTACAAGGTACACATTAGAACTAATCTTATTATTGAAATTTAGTTATGCACCACTACTTATTCATCTATATTTACTCCTTAATCCAATATTAATTCAGGAGGATGTTAAAATCATGAAGAACATGGGTTTAGATGCCTACAGGTTTTCAATATCTTGGTCTCGAATATTACCTAGTAAGAATGCCACCCTAACAGTTTGATTTTTTATCTTCTATCTGACCCTTGAGATGATTATACCTTGGCTGATTAATTAGTCCTAATTAATAATAATTAATCAGATGGAAAAGTGAGTGGTGGTGTTAATCAAGAAGGAGTCGCGTATTACAACAACCTCATCAACGAACTCCTGGCTAACGGTACGTAAATAGTTATCTATTTTTCATCTGGTGTTTAAATTCCTAAATTAATGTTGTTGTTTTCCTAATTAATTACTCAACGATTACTTCTTGCAGGCATAAAACCTTTCGTAACCCTCTTCCATTGGGACCTTCCTCAAGCTTTGGAAGATGAATACGAGGGCTTCCTCAGCCCTAAAATAGCGTAATCTCTCTAACGATATCTATTTCTGTTTGTTTTAAATATGTTTGAACCTAAAATGTACATCTAGAAGTGAAATAGAGACGACACATGGGTTAGATAATTATATTTTTTTTTAATATAAGTGCACTTCCCCTCTAATTATGTGTAATCAACTAATCATGATTCATGAGAGATTACCTGCAACAGGGACGATTTCGCTGCATACTCTAATGTTTGTTTCAAACTATTCGGGGATCGAGTTAAGCATTGGATCACACTGAACGAACCACTCACCTACACCCAAACCGGTTACGTGACGGGAGACTTCGCCCCGGGTCATTGCTCGAAATCGGTCAATAGTAACTGCACCAAGGGCGACTCCGCGACAGAACCGTACTTGGTAACACACAACCAGCTTCTTGCTCATGCGGCCGCCGTGAAGGTGTACAGAGAGAAGTACAAGGTAATAAATGAATGCATAGCAATTATCTAATTAGTTCATGTATGGTCAAAAATCCACATTGCAATCCTAATTGGTTAAGGAAATGAATGGGATAGTTCATGATTGTAGTTTCTAATGAAAATTAATAACGCAGGCAAACCAAAAGGGGATGATAGGGATTACACTAGTGTCATCTTGGTATGTCCCCTTCTCTCAGTCCAAACATGACCATGAGGCTCAACAACGCGCACTCGACTTCTCGTATGGATGGTACGTAACTACAATCTATGCTAGATTGGTTGTCAATGAGTGACGGTTCTTGTATTTTGATCCGGTACATAAGCAATTAACCGAATTTGTAGGTTTTTGGACCCGTTGATTAGAGGGGAGTACCCTAAATCCATGAGGACCCTCGTAGGGAACCGATTGCCCAAGTTTTCCGAGGAGGAATCGAAGCTAGTGAATGGCTCACTTGATTTTCTTGGGTTGAACTATTACACGTCTAGCTATGCAGCCAATGTGAATCCAGTCAACTCCCTGAATGCGACCTACTTGACAGACTCTAGAGCCAAGCTCTCCAGTAATTATAACTCGATATTTAATAATTAATTTATGTTATAACTATAGCTCGATATTTAACTAAACTATTCATTTTTAATTCGATTTTATTTTTATGGATGAAGGCGAAAGGAATGGGGAACCCATTGGCCCTCAGGCTGCTTCCAAGTGGCTGTACATTTACCCAAATGGGATCGAAGAGCTTGTAATGTACACGAAGGAGAAGTACAATAACCCACTTATTTACATTACTGAAAACGGTAAGAAAATTGTAGTCATTTAATTACCCTATATTGATTTCTTGCTTAAATTATGTTGATTAATTATTGCTTATGTAATTGGGTAGGTGTGGATGAGGTAAATAATGAGGGTTTGAGCTTGGAGCATGCTCTTGCCGATGAAACCAGGATTTATTACTATCACCAACATCTTGCTTCCCTCAACAAAGCAATCAAGTGAGTTTACAAAAAGAAAAGAGAACATTTTATGTTCTCACCTCTTTGTTATGAGATTTTGGGTGGATCTAATAAGTTTTTTTTTTTGTGTTTAATGTCTGTGTTTTTGTTTTGCAGGAGAGGAGCGAATGTTAAAGGATACTTTGCGTGGTCGTTGCTCGACAATTTCGAATGGGCATCGGGGTACACAGTCCGATTTGGAATCAATTATGTGGATTACAAAGACGGGTTGAAAAGATATCCTAAACATTCTGCACGTTGGTTCAGAAACTTCCTGAAAAAAGAATAGGGTTAGTAATATATACCCTAAATTCATTATGTCTATTCTGTAAAAAAATAAAGATAGGCAATCAAGTACATTGAATAAACTTTCGTATGATTAAAATGAATGAGATTATATGATTATTTGTGTGAGTGTGACAAAGGAGTCGTCTAATACGTCATCTCGCCATATAGTGGCATTGATAACGATGATCAGGGTGGCTTCGTGATCAGCTTTGCCAGATTATCGTGGATTCTAGGCTCAGCTTATTGTATATTCGGCTCATTAAGTTTACCAATTGGGTCTACAATCTCTTGGGCTATACAGACTTGGTTAGCCCAATATTCCCAACAACCATTTTGCACGTCTGATCTTGGGCTCTTCATGCTTGGTATGGGAAGGGCCAGACCCTGCGGCCCATGTACTAACAAGGAATGCCAACGAGTCGAGTTTGTGGCGAATAGTACTAAATTCGGGCCTTGCTCCACCCTGCAAATCGTAACTCTTACATACTTTGATACATATCTCCATTTTTTTCCCAAAGTCAGAGTATTAATCAAAAGTCACAAATCGGAAGAAAGAACGGCGCGGGAGTCGACCAATAGTTGAACTCCCGATGAGAGGGCCTTTTGTGCCACATGATGGACATCCCTATTAAGGTGACGGACACAAAACAGAAGGAAACATTATATTCCGTTTCCTGTTGTTTCGTCTAATATCTCCAAATTTGAACAAGTGAACAAGTCTTCCAAAGATTTGATGCGTTTGGTTCAAGTTTTTACTGCACCAAGACAATCGGCCATAACTCGTAGATCACATCTTAACACATGACTACAAGATTTTCTTAACGTACTTGTCATTGCCGAACTACCTACAAAATGTTGGCTAATTTACTTTTTTGCCTTCCAAACTAATTAGTACATTAATTAATGAAAGGTTGTTACAGATTCGAATTCACAAAGCCATGGACTGGAAGGTTGGCAGTCATCACACCTACATTGTGGTAATAGTACTGACGTACCACTGTGTTCGTCTAGAACACTCGTACATGGACTTGTGGGGTGCTCATAATGGCCGAAATTTACCGTCTTCGATAAACCTCTCTCATCGTAACAAAAATAAATCAAAAAATAAATTGTGAACAACTCAAAATTATCCATCTATTTGAATGAAAATGAAATCAATCTACAATGTATATATATATAATAAATTTGTCAAGTCAATCAAAATATTTATAGATTCGCATGGCGTACGTGGCTTTCCATTTTCCCGCCAGTGTTTGCTTTTGGAAGGGCTTTTGGTGGGATCTCCCACACCAAATGTATGGAGATTTTGGCGAAACCTTGCTCCTTCTTCTTCGGCGGCAGTGGTGTGACAAGTACGTGCGGATTTCAAGTGATGCTGACAATATGGTACGATAATTGTTTGACTACTCTTATTTGGTTTGTTTTTTAGTCCGCGAGGTGGCCGTAATTGTTGTGGCTCCACTTGCGTTATCTGGTTAATCCGCAAGGATTGCTATGAGAAAAAAGTTAAAAACAGAAAAAATTAGTTACAAGATGATAATATTACAGAGGGAGTAAACGGTAATTTACGGTGCATACCACTCTCTGTATAAATAAAGGAAAGAGAGGAGACGAAACTGTAGAAACGAATTAGTTACTCTCCCTTCCATCGGCAGAAAAATCCGAAGAATCAACGATATGGTGACGGTTTTCAGAATCAGTGACGGTTTATTCTCCCTGCTCTCGTTGAAGCTACTCTTCTTGTTTGTTGTTGCTGTTGTTTGCCATCCCGACCGCGGCTCTCCGTCGCCGTCGCCGTCGCTCGACGGTGGTGATCAACACAATATTTCGACTGATACGTCGGCGTTTAACCGTCGTAACTTCCCGCCGGGATTTCTCTTTGGGACCGCGTCGTCCGCTTATCAAGTAACGATGAATTCCGCTCGTCAAATGATGTCATATATAATTATTTTTCTTGTGAATGATATATATATTTTATTTTCTTCATTTCAGTATGAAGGTGCAGCAGCTGAAGGTGGGAGAGGACCCAGCATTTGGGATACTTTCACTAAGATTCCAGGTCATAATATTTTTTTTTTAACCGATTATAATAACGGGTTGGTTAAATCTTGCGAAACTCGAATCTAATTGGTTCATGATTCAATGTTTTTACGAAAAAATTAAAACTAAAACAAATATTATGAGAGGCAGAAACATGTAGAAAAGTAAACCATAATTAGTTTTTTTTTCAATTTAAATTAATTGTTGCTTCATTTTCCAATAGCCCTTCTTTCTATACATTCTAATCTATAATCGGTAAACAGTTATGTGACACAAAATTTCCGAATCAACTTCCAGTTCGGTTCTAAAAACAAAGATTATTACACCATTAAAAACAACTAATGGTATATAGATGTTGATGATTGGTGAAAATGGCAGGTAAGATTATCGATGGTAGCAGTGGGGACGTGGCGGATGATTCGTACCACCGTTACAAGGTACACTAATCAAAATTTATGTAGGATTAGAGCTTTCATTTCTAATCGACCTTTTAATTATGCACTGCTAATTCATCTCTATTTACATCCTAATCCAATGTTATTGCAGGAGGATGTTAAAATCATGAAGAGCATGGGTTTAGATGCCTACAGGTTTTCAATATCTTGGTCTCGAATATTACCTAGTAAGTATGCGCCACCTTAATTACAATTTGATTTTTTTTTTCTTTCTATTTCACCCTCGAGATAATTATACATTTGCTGATTAATTAATCTTAATTAACAAAAAATTAATCAGATGGAAAAGTGAGTGGTGGTGTGAATCAAGAAGGAGTCACGTATTACAACAACCTCATCAACGAACTCCTGGCTAATGGTACGTAAAGAGTTACCGATTTTTCATCTGGTGTTTAAATTTCCAAAATTAATGTTGTTGTTTTCCTATTTAATTACTCCACGATTACTTGCAGACATCAAACCTTTCGTAACCCTTTTCCATTGGGACCTTCCTCAAGCTTTGGAAGATGAATACGAGGGCTTCCTCAGCCCTAAAATAACGTAATATCTTTGACAATATCTATTTCTCTATGTCTTTAAAATCGATTAAAATTTTGGACTGTATATCTACACGAAAAAAATAGAGGTGACAAACTGGATAGATAAAAAATTTCTTTTAATAAGGAAATTTCCACTCTAATTATGTGTAATTACAAGAGATTACATGCAACAGGGACGATTTTGCTGCATACACTGATGTTTGCTTCAAACTTTTCGGAGATCGAGTCAAGCATTGGATCACATTGAACGAACCACTAACCTATACCCGAACTGGTTACGTGACGGGAGACTTCGCCCCGGGTCGTTGCTCGAAATCGATCAACCCTAATTGCACCAAGGGTGACTCCTCAACAGAGCCATACTTGGTAACACACTACCAGCTTCTTGCTCATGCGGCTGCTGTGAAGGTGTACAGAGAGAAGTATCAGGTAATTATCAATGAATGCATTAACATTTTATAATTTTTTTTTGGCAAAGTCAAGATTGAAAAAGTTAGTCATGATTCAAATTCCACATTGTAATCCTGATTGGTTAAGGATTTGAATGGGCTAGTTCATGATTGTAGTTTCATGATGAAAATTAATAACTCAGGCAAACCAAAAGGGGGTGATAGGGATTACACTAGTGTCATCTTGGTTTGTCCCCTTCTCTCCGTCCAAAGATGACCTTGAGGCTCAACAACGCGCACTCGACTTCTCGTATGGATGGTACGTAACTACAACCTATGTTAGATGGTCGTTGATGAGTGATTCTTGTATTTTGATTCGGTACGTAACTAATTAGCCGAATTGTATGTAGGTTTATGGACCCACTGATTAGAGGGGAGTACCCTCAATCCATGAGGACACTCGTAGGGAACCGATTGCCCAAGTTCTCGAAGGAGGAATCGAAGCTAGTGAAAGGCTCACTTGATTTTCTTGGGCTGAACTATTACACTTCTAGCTACGCATCAGCCGACACAAATCCAGTCAACTCCCTAAAGGCTACCTATTTGACAGACTCCAGAGCCAATATCTCCAGTAATTATAGCTTAATGTTTAATAATTAATTTACATTATAATTATAGCTCGATATTGAACTAAATTATTTATTTAATTCGATTTTATTTTATGGATGAAGATGAAAGGAATGGGAAACCAATTGGCCCCCAGGCGGCTTCCAATTGGCTGTACATTTACCCAAATGGGATCGAAGAGCTTGTAACGTACACGAAGGAGAAGTACAATAACCCACTTATTTACATCACTGAAAACGGTAAAAAAAAATGTAGTAATTTAATTACTCTGTATTGATTTCTTGCTTAAATTATGTTGATAATTATTACTATGTAATTAGGTGTGGATGAGGCAAGTAATGAGGATTTAAGCTTGGAGCAAGCTCTTGCCGATGAAACCAGGATTAATTACTATCAACAACATCTTGCTTCCCTCAACAAAGCAATCAAGTGAGTTTACAGAAAGAAAAGAGAACATTGTTGTGTTCTCCCGTCTTTGTTATGAGATTTTGGGTGGATCTAAGTTTTTTTGTTTGTTTGATGTCTGTGTTTTTCAGGAAAGGGGCAGACGTTAAAGGATATTTTGCGTGGTCATTGCTCGATAATTTTGAATGGGCTTCGGGATACACGGTTCGATTTGGAATCAATTATGTGGATTACAAGCTCGGGTTGAAAAGATATCCTAAACATTCTGCTCACTGGTTCAAAAATTTTCTAAAAAAAGAATAGGTTTAGTCTTATACGCCCTAAATTCATTATGCCGATTATGTAGAAAAATAAAGCTAGCCAATCAAACTCATTGAATAAGACTTTCCTATGATTGTACATCATGATGATTGGGATGAACGAGATTATATAATTGTTTGTGTCACAAAAGAGTCGGATAATATTGTACGCAAAAAATGTGAGGCCAATATCTTTAAAATTTGGGTCTGCAACCTTTTGGGATCTTTAAATTTGGTTAGCCCAATATCTCCAACAACCATTTTGCCCCAGTCTCGATCTTGGGCTCTTCTTGCTGGTATGGAAGGGCCAGACATTGCGCTCCATGTATGATATCCATCAATATAACAAGGAATGACAATGAGTCGAATTTGAGACGGATAGTACTAAATCCTTGTCCTGCGCAACTCTACCATTCTTAATCTGTCTTACCCCACAAGGCCATGACAAATGAGAAACTTTCTTCTCATACTTTGCCCCGTACAAATTAGAACGAGAAAATAATATATATCGTTATTAAAATAATTCGAATAATTATAAAAAAATTTCACAATTTGAGAAATTTTACAATGCTTTAAAGCATTGATACTTTAGTTTTTTGTCATTATAGTACAACTTGATGTTGTACCTTCAATGTTATGGTACAACTTCAGGTTGTACCTATACTTTTTTGTATATCTCTTTATGGTACAAACCATAGTTGTACATTTATATTATTAGACAATTTGAAGTTGTATCATAACATAAAATATCCAAATTCTCTTATGATTCAACTTCAATATACATTTAACATTATTATACAACTTAAAGTTATATTTTAAATCACCAATACTTAGTAGAAATGGTCTTTTACAATTTACTCAAATACCATTTCTTCCCCTTTTTTAATATTTCTTCCCCTCTTTGTGCCATATATAGGTTTAATGACACAAATATTATTATTTTTTTAAAATTTACCACCAATATGGCGGATTAAAAAGTATTGACAAGTATATTGTGTTTTGGAGAAAAAGTTAGGCGAGACCACGTGAGACTGAGGTGTGACCACCTGAGTCTCAGGTTAATAGATGGGAAGAAAGTCCCAGGTGTTGGCACCTGAGACTGAGGTGTTACCACCTGAGACTGAGGCGTGACCACCTGAGACTGAGGTGGCACCGCGCAGAACAATCCTAATTCTAACCTTAAACCCTAAACCATGAACCCTAAACCCTAAACCCAAAACCAACGAATTTCGTATCAGTTATTCACACCACAAATGGCTAATAGGTAAGAGACATATTTATTTTTTAATTATATTATTCAAATGCTATTATGATTGTGTTTAGTTTAATTAGTGAGTTTTTCTGTAGTGATTTTAGAAGATTTGAACTAGTTGTTCGGTGGAAATCGGAGAAAGTAGAGGATAATTTGGGCGTCAAATTCGTTGATGGTGGTAGTTTTCAGTTGACGGTTTTTCAAATGTAATAGTTGTGGTTTGAAGTAGTTGTTGTTTTTCAAATAGTTGTTATGGTTTAAGAAGGTTGTTGTAGTTGTTGTTTTTCAAATGTAGTTTCTTGGCCAAATTATAAAATGTCCGAGTTGTTGTTTGTTATTTGTTGTTCCGAATAGTTATCGCTAATAACATCATACATGAATGTAAAAATAGTTCAAGGATAGTCCACATAAATAGTCCACATAATAGTCCACATAACAAATAAACAACAAATTCAGACAGGAGCGTAGGCCACGTAGACAGCGACGTGAGCATCGTGATGTACCTAACCCGCTCCGGATTTCAGATCGACAGCGATCACAGCCCGTTCAGCCTACTACGACCTTCCGGTTTAATCCGTCGTTTCAGCTAGGACATCAGACAGGCGCCAGCGAGGTGTGGTACCGGCGGCCATCTAGTGGATCAGCATGGTGGTCGTCGTGGTGGTCGTCGTGGTGATGATCGTTAGAGTTTTTTTTTTTGTATTTTTGTTATGTTATTATTATTTGGGATATGTATGTGGACTATTCTTTGAACTATTTTTACATTCATGTATGATGTTATTAGCGATAACTATTCGGAACAACAAATAACAAACAACAACTCGGACATTTTATAATTTGGCCAAGAACAACAACTACTACATTTGAAAAACAACAACTACAACAACCTTCTTAAACCATAACAACTATTTGAAAAACAACAACTACTTCAAACCACAATTATTACATTTGAAAAAACCGTCAACTGAAAACTACCACCACCAACGAATTTGACGCCCAAATTATCCTCTACTTTCTCCGATTTCCACCGAACGACTAGTTCGAATATTCTAAAATCACTACAGAAAAACTCAATAATTAAACTAAACACAATCATAATAACATTTGAATAATATAATTAAAAAATAAATATGTCTCTTACCTATTAGCCATTTGTGGTGTGAATAACTGATACAAAATTCGTTGGTTTTGGGTTTAGGGTTTAGGGTTCATGGTTTAGGGTTTAGGGTTAGAATTAGGATTGTTCTGCGCGGTGCCACCTCAGTCTCAGGTGGTCACGCCTCAGTCTGAGGTGGTAACACCTCAGTCTCAGGTGTCAACACCTGGGACTTTCTTTCCATCTATTAACCTGAGACTCAGGTGGTCACACCTCAGTCTCAGGTGGTCTCGCCTAACTTTTTCTCCAAAACACAATATACTTGTCAATACTTTTTAATCCGCCATATTGATGGTAAATTTAAAAAAAATAATAATATTTGTGTCATTACCCCCATATATACGAATACACTCATCAATCGTTAAATAAAATAAACACCACATGAAACACAGGTATGCATGTGAACCCATTCGTCTCAGTCTGATTCGTAAGTCAGAGAAGAACCCATCTTTTAATTATTATGATCTCAATCGTTATCTCCAAATTTTCTATTGTCTTCTCAATTATCAACCAAAACTTTATTCTTTTCAAAGACAATTTAACTTTTGTTTGGAAGTTATTATTGTTAAATATATTTATTATTGTGACTTGTAAGTACATTTATAATATTGTTAGAGAATAATATAAGATCAATAATAACCTTATCCCAATAACCAAGTTATTGGTACCAACTAGTTTATGATATAGTATCAAAGCTAGTTTGGTCAAATGGTTGTATCTTCGAATCTTCACGACTCTACTATTAACAGTTCATTTAAGCACAAGGTGTGATGGGCCTGTGCAAACTTCAAACCCATGAGTTGGGTTTCGTTTGAGGGGCGTGATAGAGAATAGTATAAGATCGGCATTCTCCCAATAACTCAAGTTATTGGGACCAACTGGTTTATGACAAATATTATATATATATATATATATATATATATATATATATGTATGTATATGTGTGTGTGTGTGTGGCAATGACTAGTATACTCCATCAGTATACCATATTCCATGTGATATGATCTTTAGATCTCATTTTTTGAGCTCTTACCAATCTCAACGGTCAATTATATTTTCTATTAAATTGGACATCGGGTTTAAGTTTAGCGATCGGGGTGTAAGTTTGACCTAAAAATCCACTGCCCCGTCCCTGAGGGGTCGAGACGGTTCAATTTGTCTATAGAGTCAGTTTAGGGACGAGCCAGCTTTTGACGCTATAAGGGTTGGGTAGGGTCGGGTCACTTTTTGACCCTGTGACCCTAAGCAACAACAAATTATTCAACCCATATTGGACCTCTTTGTAAAGTTTTAAAAGTTTAGGTATTAAATTGTAAAATTAAAAATTTTGGGTACCAAAACATAATTTTACCATCAAAATTTATGGAGTTATTTGTAAAAAAAATAGGTACTAAATTGTAAGAAAAAATAATTTTGGGTACCAAAACATAATTTGTAAAAAAGTAGTGTGTTGATTAGGGTCGACCCACTGACCCGCCCTGTCTCGACCCGTCCCACCCTTGAGGGTGAGACATGGTCAAGAAGGAGATAGGTACGGGACGGGTCAGTTATACACTTTGACCATTCAGGACGGGTCAGACAGGTTCAGGGACGAGTCAGGGCAATTTTCAGCCCTATCTAACACGTCGACTCAAACGAAAGCCAACACATGGGTTTGACCATTTGAAGTTTGCACAGACTCACCATACCTTGTGCTTTTAATCAATTGTTAATATTGAGAGTCGTGGAGATTCGAACACACGACCAGTTGGTCAAATCAAATATGATATCAATGTAATAAACAAGTTGATATCATTTAACAAATACTTTATGCATGCTATCATAATATTAGCTACGAGAGGATTTATTAGTCGCCGAAGTTTCACACAAAATTACAGTTCTCTCATATATATATATATAGACATGACATATATAGATAACCCACTTCTTACAAAGCTTACATGACATGGAAATAACAAAATCGTATCCCTACCACATAATTAAATCCAAAATCTTGATCTTATTTCTTTGCATTGTATAGCATTTTTCAAATTGAAGCTCTCCACACTCATTTTCCACTCATTTTCGATTCGTTGCATGCAGTGGCGGAGTCACGTTAATCCTGACAGACTATAACTTTACTCAAACCTATAAACATATGTAAATTTACATGTGAAATTGTAACAAATTTTAAAAATAGAATTTAGCTCTGTGATCCCATCCCGACTTTAGAGATGGCTTTATATTGGGATAATTTGATCACGTTGAGATTGCAAGGGACAGGGTCAAAAAATAGATACGATTGGATAACATGGAGATTCTGATTGACTGGGATAGGTAGGGCTCTGGCGTCTGGACACATGAAACATGCTGATATACAGCTCCCATTGACTACTGCAGGCACCAATAATTTATGCAGATAAGAACCCTCTCTCTATATATTTGTGGATAGTTACTGTTTGTATTGCGGTTTATGGATTGTTATTTATTACTATATGTGGGCATATATTTATTTTTTTGAGTGAATTTTACTATTTTTTTTTGGAAGAATATAGATTTATATATGTAATTTTTTTTATGAAGATCTTGTTTGTTTTGAGACTGGACTCTTATTGTTTTGTTTTGGAGTACATATCGAGATGACTTTTCGAGAGGTCCCCCATTTTTGTATATATTGTTGGGGATCTCCTACAAGAACTTGGGTATAATTTTAAGTTAGGTAACTTGCATTGATCTAAACCGTTAAAATTGACCACATTTATTTTAAACCATTGATTGAAGAAATAAAAAATAAATAAATAACTAAAAAAATAAATGGCAACATGAGTTGCCTGTCACCACATTCCCAAGTTACATTTTTTAATTTTTTCTTTCCTTTTTTTCACATTTGGTTGTCTTTCCATATTTTAACATTTCCTTTTTTAATTCTTATTGAATTAGAAGTGTTATGTAAGGCTTCCGTAATAACTTAACTCTTTACGTAACACGACTTTAATACTCATTACGTAAAGAGACCTTCTATTACGTAAGGCTTCCGTAATTATATTTTACAACTATTATGTAAAATACACATTCACTACGTAAAGGTTACGGAATGATAGTTATTTCTTACGTAACACTTAAATCGGAAGCGTTACGTAAGGCTTCCGTAATGACTTAGCACTTTACGTAACGCAAGGTTAAGACTCATTACGTAAAAAGACCTTCCATTACGTAAAGGTTACAAAACGATAGTTATTTCTTACGTAACAGTTGATTCAGTAGCGTTACGTAAGGCTTCCGTAATGACTTTGCATTTTACGTAACGCGAGGTTAATACTCATTACATAAAGACACATTCTATTACGTAAGGCTTCCGTAATGACCTTTTACAACTGTTACTTAAGATTATCATATGTTACGTAACCATTACGTAATGCCTATTGTCGTTTACGTAATACAACCTGTGAAACCTGCTATAGCAGGTAAAAAAATTCAAGTTACCTTACTTCAAATTACCATAGGAAATCCCTATATTGTTGTACATTGAACACGTTTAATTTCACAATTCTTATAAAAACTCTTTTATCTCACCCAAAATATGTGTTTATCAGTTAAAATCAGTTTTATTATGAATCTTGAATCTCTGTGTGATTTGCCAAAGGCATTGCAATATAATTACACATTTGTAACCAAAAAATGAGTTAATCATTGAATTGGATACTGCCAACTTATCCAGCTGCCAGGATCTAAGAAGAGACAAAAGGGCGATCAATCGAACAAGATATTCCGACGCGGGCTCTGCACCTGCATGGGCCGTGGCGAGTAGTGGGCATAAATTAAGAAGAAGATAATACAAGTCGATGGATTATTCTAACTATATTATACGTATTTCTTATCCTTCCCCCCAATATATACGCGTATACTTATAAATTGTAATTAAGTTAATTATCTCTTTTGGCATCTTCGATCAGTTCTCTACCAGCAAATATGGGCCATTCCTTATCTTTTTTTTTTTCTCTCTGCCATTCCTGATCGTATCACCGGATACACGATGAAATCCGTAGAATATGTATGAGTGATGCGTTATTTAGATGAATTTTGGGTATTATATATCATTATTAAAAAAAATACTACATTTTGAATTAATCAATTTTTTGGAGTATTATGTTCTCCCTGAACCAACCGTAGTGAGTGAATTCTCGATTCTAATTCTCTATATGATGTATGATTATGACGTGTTGTCACTGGTTATTCAACAATTCAATCATCCCTCTACATTGGCAGAGCCACTTGTAAGGACAAGTGGTTTGATAATTTTTAAAGGGGGCCATGTAAGAAAATAATAAAAAATCTATAATCAACCTCTTTCTACGATTTTCAAATTGGTGCGATAAGTTTAGGCCGGGGTAAATGACACATTTGGTCACTGAGATTACTAAATCGTGACATATTTGGTCACTAGAAAAATTTAATATCAATTTTGGTCACTCGAATTACTGACACAGGTCACATTTGGTCACTCTTCTGTAGCCTCTGTTCAACTCCGGTCACTCGAATTATTGAAAAATGTCACATTTAGTCACTCGGATTACTGAAACATGTCACATTTAGTCACTCTCCCAAAAGTTTCCGTCGAACTACATTAATGGAGTTGGACGGAAACTGACGGGAGAGTGACTAAATTTGACCAGTTTCGGTAATTCGAGTGACCAAAATTGATATTAATTTTTTCTAGTGACTATACATGACACAATTTAGTAATCTCAGTGACCAAATGTGTCATTTACCCGTTTAGGCCGGCCATATTTTACTTTAATTTATTCATACCAAAACCACCCTTTAATCTTGAATTACCCCGGCAGGTCTCAAATAATTCTCTTCCCTTCACAGTTCAGACGAAGGCTAGCTAAGCTAAGTCTATATATAATATGAGTGGATGGTCGTGAAAAGCAAACCAAGAAAATCAGAGCAGAAGAACCATCAATAATGGCGATTCTCCCACTCTCAAGAGCCACGCTCCTTCATCTTCTTCTGTCTCTCTATCTTTTTGGTCATGCCATCTCATCTTCAGCCACGGGCACCAGCAGTGTGCCGGCCACTACATTCGGCGACGACGTCCCGCCGGCCAACCGTTCAAGTTTCCCGGCGGGATTCATCTTCGGGTCGGCGTCGGCTTCTTACCAGGTAAATTAACTACCATCGCTTCTTCTATGACATTTTATCCACAAATGAGGTTTTTGTTACCGCTGAAATAATCCCGTCGCTAATGTTAGGTAAAGGCGACGAATATTTGATTTTTTCGTTTGAGGGGTTGATTTTTTATTTGGGTTCAGGTTGAAGGCGCGGTAGCTGAAGGTGGGAAAGGACCTACCAATTGGGATGTCTACACTGCCAAATATCCAGGTTCTGACTTCTAGTCCTACTTATTTTCATAACCCAATTTAATTATAATCGATTATGTTAATGGTTTAAGAGATGACAAATTCAACTAAACATACAACTACCACAATTTTGATGGTTGGCAGAGAGGATAGCCGATCGTAGCAACGGGAATGTGGCCGTCGATGCGTATCATCGTTACAAGGTAATTAATAGTGACCGTGACAACTTATATTATATTGGTTTACGTTCTATATTCGACGATCTCATTCGAGATGTACGATGCATCAATTAGGTACAGAGACAAAAACATATATTTGCAGAGATGAACCTCGATTCACACTATAGTTAAAGCGTAAGCAAGTTTGAGATTAAAATGCAAATCGAAGTCGAACTAGTAATATAGAGATGGAATAACAAAGGCTTATTCGTCAAAGAAGGAATAATACAGAGATGAAATGTGTCATAAGGGGTCCACTATGTCCACACAACAATAATTGTGTTTATGTATATTATTATTTTATTTCAATTCAATGCTTATGTTATGTATATAATATGTTTTTTTTACAGGAAGACATAGCAATCATGAAAAGTTTAGGATTTAATTCTTATAGATTTTCTCTCTCGTGGGCTCGAATTTTACCAAGTAAGTAATTTAGCATAACTTGCTATCTCTGTTCCATCTTTTTCACTTTTTACCGTGCAGTATTGATTAAATAGCGAATCTAATAAATTAACGTGGCTATACACGATCATCAGATGGAACGATCAGTGGAGGTGTGAATAAAGAAGGAATCGCGTATTACAACAACTTCATCAATGAGCTATTGGCTAATGGTAAATAAAATGCACTCAACATCTCCTAGTACTTTATGTAAATAACACGTTAGTACGTAATAAGATCTTTAAGAGTTAAACATATCTCGATTTATTTTGTTACTTATTATGTCGTCGTAACACTTTGGTCTCCTTATTAATTAACGAATTCCTCAAATGGTGGTATCTCCAGGCATTAAACCTTTTGTGACCATATTTCACTTCGACCTTCCTGAAGCCCTGGAAAAAGAATATGCCGGCTTCCTTAGCCGTAAAATTGTGTAAGTGCCCTACCACTCTCATTATTATATGAAGTAGCAGTGATTAAAGAGTAAAATACTTTAATAAGCGTGCGGACTTCCTTGCTAGTCGTGGACATATTTTGTCGTTTGGTGTGCACTCTATTTCTTGTTCCGATCCTATTCTGTACCCGTACATTTTGTATGACTGTCAGGGGATTTCAGAGCCCCGATTGGTTGTGAATGAAGGTTGAGATGCCCTGCATCCATTTAAAAAAAAAAGAGTAAAATACTTTCTCTTTTTCCCCCTAACAAAGGAATACTATGAAAAATATATCAGGAAGGATTTTGTCGCCTATGCGGATCTTTGTTTCAAGCACTTTGGAGATCGAGTTCAACACTGGGTCACAGTCAACGAGCCTCTATCGCTTGCTTTGTTTGGCTATGGCCAGGGAACGTTGGCGCCTGGCCGATGCTCGAAATGGATGAACTTGAACTGCACTGGGGGAGACTCAGCCACCGAGCCATACATAGTCGGACACCACCTCCTTCTTTCCCATGCCTTCATCGTCAAATTGTACAGAGAGAAATATCAAGTAAAACATTTTGTAGTACTTCATCCTCCATATTCTCTAACGATGTGATTATATACAAGGTCACTGAAAGATACTTTGTCGATCTGCAGGCAACACAAAAGGGCAAGATCGGCACTGCCCAAGTGATACAATGGCTTCTTCCTCTCTCCGATTCGAAGGAAGATCACGAAGCTAGGCAACGGAGAATAGATTTCACGCTTGGATGGTACGTGTTTTTAGCTAGTTTTTTTTAGGGTTTGGTTAGAATCAGTAAGTTGATCAGTCACATGATCACCCCTTGGGTTTGCAGGTTTCAGGACCCATTGGCCACCGGAGACTATCCGGCATCGATGAGAGCTAATGTGGGGAAACGATTGCCCGAATTCTCAAAAGAGGAAGCCGAGATGTTGAAAGGCTCTGCCGATTTCGTGGGGTTGAACTACTATACATCTTACTACGTTTTCAATGACCCTCCTCCGGCTAATGCTCTCAAGAGCGCTACGACTGATTCTCATACCAATTTTTCACGTAAGTAATTTCCTTGAATCTAAAACCTCTAAACTACTAGTAAACGTAACTAATCTTATGTATTTTTTACTAATTACCTGACTTGTTTCGTGTCGCTAATGAAGCCACGAAGAATAATGTCGATATCGGCCCAAAGGTATGCCATATTCCAAGCCATCATTAAATTGTTCATGAAATGGATGGTTTATTAGTTAGGATGGTCACCACAAACTCACAATAACTCGCTTTGATGGTCGAAAAGGTTTATATTTAAGATTAAAAATACCCAACACTAGCTATATGTAATCTAATTACCTTTCCATCAATTATTGTGCTGCAGGCAGGGATAGTTTGGCAGTACATTTACCCCAAAGGGATTCGAGATGTTGTTCTCTATGCGACAAAGAAGTATCCTAACACACCTATTTACATCACTGAAAATGGTGAGCCTACATCTTTTATTTATTTTTTATATAGCGATGGCTTCATCCGAATGAATTAGAAAGGTTTTTTCCTATAATGTATGCTAGTAATTCTAACAATTTTTTTTATGATATTTAGGCATGGGGGAGGTCAATAACGACACCTTAAGTATCAAGGAAGCTCTTAACGACACTCTGAGAGTCTTTTTCTATCGTGAGCATATAGCATATCTCAACAGTGCAATCAAGTAAGATCAATATACCACGATTTAATTTAATGTTTCACATGCTTGTCTACAAACTATGGTTATTAAATTTTCAAATGTCTTGACATTTCGTGTATATAATTTTAGAATGTATGCATTCATAATAAAAATTAATAAATAAATAACTTTTGCACAATTTATCTGGTCATGCAGGGATGGTGCAAATGTGAAAGGACATTTTGCTTGGTCAATAATGGACAACTTTGAATGGGCGGAGGGCTATACGATCCGATTCGGCATAAACTTTGTGGACTACAAAAATGGGCTTAAACGATACCCTAAACAATCTGCCATCTGGTACCGTAACTTCTTCAGGAATTAGTCATGATCTATCCGACTTTGATAATTGTACTTTGTTTGAGTTTTCATGTTGTCATTTCCGAAAAGACATATTCTATGAGAGATATGAGTATGTTCATTTTCCAATAAAATTATTCATCAAGTTTTCGTTTGTCTTAATACTCTCGTCCTCTTGTCACTCACCTTATATATCCTTTCTCAACAATATTTTAGTGATAATGAAAGTATGTATGTACATAGCTTTTGTTGACAAATGAGTTCATAATCATCTCCTCAAATTAGAAACATCTCAAATTGTGTCACCCCTCTATCCACCCAATGATCGATCATCTCAAATCACGAGGCTAATGTTGTTGCCGATCATTTTTGCTATATCATTAATCTAAGTATCTAACCTATTGATTTCGTCCGACGGTTATCCATGTTTCTTTATGCTAATGTGTGCATAATTTACCTTGTATTGATTTTTGTATAACTATATGAAATTAAAATTAAAACCAATGAACTAGAGACCTACCATGAAAGGATTCATTTCACACATAATAAAAATGATGCTTGTTGGGAAACGTTGTCTGACTGTCCCCAATTCTTACATGGGCCATATCCTTATCTTCTCTTCTCATTTCCTATAACAAAATATTTTCTTCTCATTGTTTTCTAAAACTCTACAATTAAATTAATTATTACTTGGCACATACTGATTTCTAAATATTCGCATCTACATTAATTGATGAGTCACACTTAATTGGGACAAAAAATTAATGTCGTTGATTATATTATCTTGAGTCTTGACATAGGTAATGCTTTAACATGCATATTAAACATAAAACTTCGCAAATATGACCATTCAATAAAAAATATAGGACAAAACTTACCAAGGAAAAATATACAATTCAAACCAACAAAATGTACTAATTATCCTTAAGGAATTTTTTTATTTTCTCTCTTGGTATCCAAACTCCATAGTAGTAGAATAATTCCTCCCATGATATAATGGCGGATGTAGAGGTAAGCCAAAGGCAAGCCACTGTTGAACTCAAGATGGGAAAGAATGACACACATACTCTATTTTCTAATTCTGGAAGAGAAGAGACATCATAAAAAATTTGGCCGAGTTTTGGTGTTGTATAAATTTCGTGGGAAAACAGAGAGGGCTGGTGGTATTTATAGAAAGTGAATGGTTGGTTCAGATATGCAAAAGTCAATTGGTTTGCCTAATTGGCTTGATGCGGGTTGGATAAAAAAATCACCAAAAAAAAAATATATAATCAATTTTATTTGGCCAAGAACGACGAGGCCGAGAAGAGCGAGCAACAAAGACGGCTCGAGAGCTCATTTTCTTCTACTCTTTCTACTAGTATTAGTGAGTTTCTCAACTTAATACCCATTGGCCATTTCCAAGTACAAGTGAGATGTCTTTTAACTCCCTTCCCTTTCCTTCCTTTTCATTCACACCACTAAAATCCCAACAAGAAGAATTTGAAAGAATATGGGTTTTGAAGAAGTCTCAACTTGAGATCTTCATTTTCTGTATTGTATCTTATGTAGATCTATACGTAGGATGAAACATGAAATAAGTAACGACTAATCTAAATTATATATGTTTAAGGGAAAGCAAAACGATCAATTAGGAAGAGTGGTTACAGTTACACGATGATTACAAAGGAGTAGAAGACAAATTGTAAAAGACTACCATTTAAATATCTTATAATTGATGTCAAACATACTGTTTACTTAAAGTTATATATAAAATTTTGAAATTATTAATGTCGTAACATACGCGATGGCATTTTACTGGGCTATGATTAGAAGGTAAAAAGCACCTTTGGGGGAAAGCGTGGAGATTAAGTCTACTTTAACAAACAATCCCTACTCAATTTTATTGTAGGCTCATGATTATGTTTACCAATTGGACCTATAGCAAGCTGTTCATTTGCCCGATATCTCCAACAACCATTTTGCACTTGCAGCTAGCTAGATTTGCAGACGCTCTTTTTTATAATGGAGAAGTGGCAGACACACTGGCTAGCTTCTATTTGTGATTTGGAATGAAAAAAAATGTTGTAATCGTTTGTTTGGAGGAGGATCGTAGATTTTGAATTCGGATTTTTTGCCCCGTGGTGAATTTCAAATCGGGCTAGTTTGCGCCGCTTAGAGATTATGAACCCTAAAAATTTTCTTGCTTATATGTGCCAAAGACGCATTCTCAAGGGGCCGAGGTGTAGTTTGAAGAGTCAGCATGATTTTAAATGTTTTTCGCAAATCTCCGGGTTATCTTGACCGTCTTTACTTTTAATGATCATATCGTTCACATATGATTTCGATATTCCGACCTCTTTGTTTACCGGTGAGTTTCAAATTCATGATTCAGTGGAATCCATTCCGATTTTTATATGTATTATTATTCCATCTGTAGTTTAAGAGATGACAAAACAAGACACAAAACTGGCATTTTGATTGTTGGACTTGGCAGAGAGGATAGCCGATCATATAATACTAATAGCAACGGGAATGTGGCCATTTAATGGGTAGCCGGTCACATATAGCAACGGGATGTGGCTGATTCCCTTTAAGGCCCAGGTCATCGTACATGCGCCTGATTGTGTTTAATTACCAATTGGGCCTGGAGCCCTGGAATCGCTTGGGCTCGATCTTCATACTGTAGCCTCGTCTTAGCTCATCTGCAATAAATATTTTGCACCATAAAAGAAGTAGCGAAATTTTCATACGTTGATGGGAGATGCTAAAATGTCGGCACAGTCTTGTGCTTACAATTATAAAAAAACTGGTTAATTTTGTCCAAGTGTCGATTGTATTAGTGTCGCTAAAAGTTACTGCAATATTTACAACAACAAAAAAAAACAGTACTTACATTTTTTGACATACGAATATGGCGATTTAAAACATTGTGACGTTTAAAGTTTCACCAGCCATATCTTCGTATATTTCATTTCGACATATGAAAATTCCTCTTTAAAACCCTGCAACACAAGAAGTATTGGCACTTATATCTTCCGACATATAAAATTTTTAGTATAAAACGTTGCGACATTTACGAAAAAATGTCGATACCTATATCTTTTGACATATTAAATATTGTTATAGAACATTGTGAGATTTGAAAAAAGCTAGCATCGATATGTACATTTGTCGACATTTATTTTGAAAAATATCATTAGGTAGTTAATTTTATGACAATATATATATATATGGCAAGTACACAACAAAGTACTATACCAGATTACCCGTAGATGAAAAAGGTCAACATGTTCTCAAAGTATTTGCACAGGTTTGATCTGATTCAAATATTGTCGATTGGCTCCTTTTTCTCTAATATTTAGAGAATTCATAAGATTGAGAACCATGTATATATGCATTATGTTTGGTATTATTTGGATCAGTCGATTTGGTCCCATTTTTGGACCAAACCAGTGCACTTAGAACTCGAATTCTTCATATAGACGCCAAACAGAAAGTTATATTTCGGTTTTGAATTACCACCAGAAATCTCCCTCCAGCTGCAATATAACGACATCAACGCATTGATCTTGTAGATCGCGTTAAGATTGAAACTAAACCTAATGAAGTACGTACCAAGACGTTCTATTTTGTACTTTGTGTTCGTGATTCGGTTTTTTGACCGACTTTCTATTTTTCTCGAACATGTTTTATTGTTTTCCTCGTTAAATTATAATAAAGTTATTTTACCATTATAAAAAAAGAAACTAAACCTATCCTAGTATCAAGACCTACTATTGATAAAACTGAAAATTCATGGAAGACCAACTTACGAAATGATTCACCAACTTATTGGGATATGTTGAATATTCTTTGCTTCTTTTCTTTCACATGCTATATATTACATATATATGTTATTTAATCAAAATTATTATATATGCGTTGGGATATGTTGACTGCTCTAGCCTCTAAGGCATCTAACTTCAGATACAATTAAAAAATACATATATAGGAGACTGAAGATCCGTATCTGCACAAATAGACCACACTAGCTTAAAATAATCAATTCAACAAATCCGCCCACCTACTCTGCTACTCATCGTTCAACACGGATTACCTCAGTCAACGAGAAGTCTAGGCTATAGAAGAAAACACAAAGGCAACACCACCATGGTTGTTGTTGTTGTTGTTATTTGGGTCTCCCTTGATTGGACGATGTAAGAAGCAACTGAGGGAGTAATGGGAATCATTGGATTCATGTCGAATGATCGTTAGTAACTCAAGGCAGAATTTAAAAGATGATATGCAATATGACAATAATGTTAGAGGTCGCGATTTGGGAGGTTGACTGATCTTTTTCAGCTAAGTTTCTTTAGTTTTTATCTCTGATAGTTATGATTTTCTTGATTAGCAGAAGAAGATAATGTGCATGTAAGTCTTAGAATATTGGTGACCATAGCCTCGCTAAATTCCTTATATACTAATTTCACGAGCCTCCCATAAAAGTCTATAAGTGAGTAAGTACATGGTATCCACTCATTGGGTCCGTATCGAATTCGAGTTGCCTTAACTTTATAATTTGACCACTTATAATTAGCCCAATTAAACGAATAGTTTGTTTATGAAACCTGCATTCCACATAACACGCGCGTGGGAAACTAATTTCTCAATCGTTCTCAAATTTTTAACTGCATCACAACTTATACGTACATATAACTCTATGTATTGTTGATATGTACTTTGATACCTATTTGCGGGGGGAGGGCACAGAATCACGTGAGAGTAGTCTCACTACGTACCCAGTGGCGTAGCCAGGATTTTATTTAAGGGGGTGTCATAAAAAAAATTACATATGTGGTCTCGTGTTTTATATTATGAAATTATTCTATAACTATATAAATCGGTCAAACTATCAAGATTCCACACTTAATATATCCCACCAAATAACCATTCACTACTTTAGTTCACTAGATGAGAAGGATGATCAATCGTTTTATAGCATAAAATGTTATCAACTTGTGCATTGACAGATGATAGTAGCAAATCAAATCTATTCTCACAAGCAAATACATTGATAGAAACTAATTTTCATGTATAAATTAGTAGATAAAATTAATTTAATAGTTTGTTGTGATTTAACGGTAG